ATGTTTAAGCTAATTCGCTTTTCAAACAGTTTTTGTGATTTTAGTTGAACTATTTTCATATTTATTTACATATCACATGATGTAAATGTGAAAGTTTTATTACCGTTTAATTGGGGGGCTCGAAGTTGCACATTTTAGCATTTCGACATTGAAACGGCAGTATAAAAAGGCTGGTAATTGTTGTTTGTTTGGGACGTTAAATAATAAAGTGTAATGCAAGGAAAGCATCCATGCTTAAAACGACATCATGAAACTATTGACCTTTGTTTTACTATTTCGCTCAAGCAATAACTTACCAGCTTTGAGCTTCAAAAATTCTACAAAGATCAAATTTTGGAACTATAAAATATCCATAATGTGTTCATTGACAAAATTTTCTGCACTATCTAAAAGAAACAGCCAAATTCGAGTATTTTCAAAAAGCGGTACAATTTAGTCTTTGGGTTCGATTCCCAATGCACTGTTATTATACAACAAGGAGTATATGCATAACAATTAGCAATTTCCCATCATAAATGAGGTTGAAAAGTTTTTTTTGTGGAAATAATTACATCTGTATTCTTTTCTATGTTAAAGAGTTGAACGCTCAATATGCACACCAGCGTAATATAGGAAAGCGTATTTAGGGCAATATATATAAAATAATTTCATTTTAAAGATGTAATGTTCTTGACAAATGCACGTGGTCTGATGGGAACACTGATATCTTCGACATTCGTTTACTCAGAAATCTTTCACAAAAAGAAAAATTTGTATTCTTGGCAAATGTCTCATGAATTCTTTACAAATACGATGAAAGTGGCTTTAGTGTATGAAAAGAATTATATCCTATATATTTTTTGTAAATATGACACTAAAAATGCTTCGTTAAACATTTTGCTTTTCAAAGAATCTATAGATATGACTATTGATGCTTGCCTTTAATTTTTGATTATGTTCAAGATACCTATTTGCAGTCCCTTTTTGGATATATACAATCCAGGTTTAGAGCTTCATCAACCCAAGTTGTAATGTACTTCACGTGACGTAAGTATTGACGTCACGTGACGTAAGTATTGCCTTTGAAAACTTACGTATATTAATGTATACTTTTATGTAATTGCTTCCATAAGAAATACATATCCTGAAAATGCCCGTCCTTAACCTTTTTCAATTTCTAATTTTCGTTGAGTTTTGACGCGTTTCTTTGGTGTGGAATTAGCATTAGTGTTCGTACTAATTATTCCAATGTGAACTGCAAATTTTCTTGTTTCAACATGACCAATGTGAAAAATATATCAAATGTCATCAGACAATATAAATCACATAATTTTTGGTAGGATGAATGTCATTCTTTATTGATTTCAGCAAATCTGTACGTATACAGCTGATAGCTTCGTCTCATAAGGTCTTTCCTATTCATATTGTCCTGGTTGTGAATAAAATTGACCAGTTTGCTTTGGTGCGTCGCAACTGATGTAGAAAATTTTAAACTCTTTGCTGATTTGAGAATGTTCAAAAACGCTACTTGATTGAATAGCAAAATATCGAATTTTGATTACAAATTGTGATTGACTACCTTTCAAGCCAAACCGTGATTTGATTAGCAACGGTCTGCTTTACATCTTGAACAGTTTGAATAGGGTGTACTTCACATTGGAATAGGGTTTGGGGTTAGCAATAAGGTTATCAAACTAAAGAGTTGAGTTATTAAATAGTCAGAATAGTGGTTGTGCTCGTGTTAGTGTTAGCATAAGTAATGTGCGTCTTTGTCTCAGTGTTCGTGCTAGTTTTAGTCTTATGATAATGTCTTCATAGTGAAGATGTCTTCATGCTGGTGTTGGTCTAAGTGATAGTAGCAGTTTTAATGCTCATTATTGTTGTTAGTCTTTGTGTATGATGCTCGTGTTAGTTTTTTTCTTGGTGCTGGTATTTCTGTTAGTCTTGGTGAATTTGTCACCGTTTATTAATTTTACAGTTTATTTTGACGACAGTGAATAGAGAAGAGTATGGTGATGATTTTACTGTTTTGTTACAATGACGGGGTGGAGAATATTATATCCAATCCTATCCTTGCCTCTCTTTTCCTTACTTCTGTTGTTGTTGCCTCTTCTCTTCTCGATGTTTGTCAATTTTTATGAACTGTTGTGCATGCCTACCCTCTACTCTGCCTTTTTCTCCTTGATTGTCCTTTATTCTTTTTTCCTCTTGTTTCCTCTCCCCTTTTCTCTATCGTCTCCTCTTCACTCTTCGATAGGTCTTGTTGTATCAAGAAATTTTTGTTCTTATGTTGGAAAACCAGTGTAGCACTGTTTCTTTTATGTAGTAAAATGTAGTTTGATGTGCAAGGATCGTCCTTTGTCGTAGATAAAAAAAATTTATGCATTTGGAGCAAAAAAGTGAAAACATTTGAGCTTGGTTTGGAAGAAAAGAAATGGACTAGAAATTAATTTAAATGGTTAAAAAGAAGCTATCAAAAGTTTATGTATTTATTTAAAAAATGAAAGGGAGGATGAGAGGAGATAAGGAATTTCTAAAAAAACGTAATTTTGCTGCATATATTAACACCGCTTAAGTAGGATATCCATCAATCATTTTTTGATCTTTAGAACTGTAATTAAGAAAAAATATAGATTGTTCGATTTATAGAATTAAGTAAGAAAATAATATATTCTTTATTCTTGTCTATCTTTATGTCCACATCTTTATCCTAACTTTCTGTGAACCTTCAAGTTCACTTGCGTACCTTCAAGCTCACTTGTGTACCCTTCATATTCACCTATGTGTCTACCTCTGTGACTACGTAACTAGTTTGCCTCTATCTGCGTACACCTATTTGTACTTTAGTGCTTTTTACGTCTTTCTTTATGTTTACCTTTGACTTTGGGTATACCTTTTGGTGTACGCTTGTGTCTACCTTTATGTCTACTTTGTGTCAATCTTTATGCCCGCCTATATTTATGTCTACCTTAATTTACGAATGTTCTTGTTGTTGCAAGACATAACACGATATAATGAAATCAGACCATACCTATAGGACCTATAAGACCATACATACGTCGAAGTCACGTGAGAACAATTAGACCATACATACGTAGAAGTCACGTGAGACCTATAAGACTATAAATACGTAGAAGTCACGTGAAACCTATAATACCATACATACGTTGAAGGCATGTAAGACCTATAAGACCATACATACGTCGAAGTAATGTGACAACTATAAGACCATACATACGTGGAAGTCACGTGAGACCTATATAACCATACATACGTAGAAGTCACGTGAGACCTATGACACCATACATACGTTGAAGTTAGGGGAGACCTATAAGACCATACATACGTGGAAGTCACGTGAGATCGTGTGAGTGACAAACATTGCACATGAATCAAGGAATGTATTTAGTATATACATATATAAAATGGGTTCATAAAAAAAACCTAAACAGGTTTCTGGGCTGCTTATAGTATAAGTTTGTTTTCGAAGGAAATGATCAACGAAGGTTAAGGTACAGAAATTTGAGGATTAAACAGAAGGTAGAAAAATTGGTTCATGATTGATGTATAAAGTGGAAGATGAGAGCTAGGAGCAGATGAGATTTGTAAAAATGTAATTGTGCTGTAAATATTAATTTCGTATGAGAAAGAATAATTTCATATGAGAAAAAATTAAAGATCCTTAGTTGATGTTTAGGAAGAACAAGTTAGGGGCAATAGTGATTGCTCAATCAATTTGGTTGATGTGTAAAGAATAAATTTACTTTTTCATTTAATGTAAAGAATGACTATTTTGATATTTTAGACAGAAAAGATAAGGTTAGATTATAGAATGGAAAGATTTAATTATTTGTGTCGTTACAGTTGGATGCAGTGGCTGTTGGAATTGTTAAAAAAGGAGAATGGAATGCAAAGGAAAAAGTTCGCGTTTGTTGAAAGTTTTAAATAGCGTTAAATATTGTAAGAAATGCGAGAAATATAGTCTTTGACATGAAAATTCGTGACATATAGTCTTTGACATAAAAATTGCTTGAGCTACAGGTCTTTGCCGTTAAAATTCGCATCCTATAGCTACTCTTTTGCGTAAAAATGTGTGAACATACACTTTTGCATGAAATTGCATGCAATTGCATGAAATATTGTCTTGCCCATGGAAATGCGTGAACTATATTCCTTTGCATGAAAGTTTGTGAAGTATAGTCTTTGCCACAAATAGGCATAAAATATAGCTGGTCTCTAAAGTGAAAATGCGTGAACTATAGTCATTTACTTGAAAACCAGTAAGCTATAGTCTTTTGCGAAAATATGCGTGAAATATCGTCATTGGCGTAAAAATGAGTAAACTATACTCTTGCGTAAAAATGATTGAATTATATAGTCTTTGTCATGAAATAGCTATAGCTAGTCTTTCGCATAAAAATGCGTGAAATGTAGTCTTTTACTTGAAAATCCTAAGAAGGTTATATACAATGAGAAATTATAGGCGTTCAACTGCTCTTGAGTGGTCAAGTGGTCTAGTATGCAATCTATCAACATGGTGATGCCTGGTTCAAACCCGGGTTGAGTCAGCTAAGGTTTGTAGCGTGAATTTTAACAGGAAGCTATTGGGAAGGAAGCTTTCGTATGCGTCAAATTTTTTCGAGTTTTTTATCACTCGCGACGTTCGGCAAATATTGAACATGTTGAATGATTTTGCCAAAAATAAGAATCTCCGAGCTGAAAATAATAGAGCAAGTTTGGATAACAAAGTAAAGTGCATGAACGTGAGCAATGAAGAGCAAAAACAAAAGTTTTATGGCAGGTCAAAGTGACTTACCAAGCGATGTAATTTTGAAGGACAAGATTCCCGACCTATGGCCCGACTACACCAGCTGGATTACTGTACCTGCTTGAAGGTTCTTGCAAAATTCTTCTCTAATAGTATAAGACAGTGCGAACAGGGAAAACATAAAAGAAAACAGCACTGTTGCGAAACAGATAAATTTAAAACAAACGTTAGCTACGTATAGCTACGTTTCCTATATTCCTTCCGTATATTTATTACTAAACTATGAAATAACAATACACACAATATTTTTACTACACACACTGTTTTATGGATTGCAGTTGCCTTCCTCATAGCTATTCTCTAGATTAAAGGCTGCAAAAGGGAAAATCTTTAACTGTGCAATACTAAATCTGAAATTTTCTGTATTACATGTCTTTCAGCAAAGCGTCTTGTTTGTCGAATTTCCTGAAACTCCGGTGGGTTTCCTTCGTTAAAACGTCGCTATAGTTAACCACAATTTTTCTCTATGTTTCTTTCGCTTTCTGACCATTTAAAGCATTGATTTCATTTAGGCACAGTTTTCCGTCGATGTATGCACTGTGAAAATGCGACCAATTAGTCGACTGTCTTTTCTTAGTTAACTGCTGAAAAAAATTAAAAAATTCCCGTCGAAGTTTTTTATTTGGTTTACAACAATTCCATTAAAGGTTTCTCTCGTACCTGATGATTTGGCATCAATAAAATATTGACTAAAATTTAAATATTATTCCCCGTCGATGCACTGACACGGTGACAATGCGCGCCTTCAGTGTATTGCGAACGTTTGTCCTTTTTTCGAAAGATAATCACTGAAAAAAAATTCAAAAATTGCCGTCGAAGTTTTTTATTCGTTGCGTTATACACAACCACGTTGAAAAAACTGTTTAAGTATCCCAAAACCAGGGATCCAAAATCCACAGCGCGTGGAACATGCGCATTGGAGAACACTTGGATCAACATTATGATCGCAAAAGGGGACCAGCAAATGCCAAAGACGACAATTAACACTATTACTGTTCTTGTCAAACGATTTTTTCTTGACCCCTGTACTTTGTCCATCATTTCAAGAGTTTGTAACGAAGGGCTGTTAGAACGTACCGCCATTTGGCGAACATCTCTGCCACTATCTTCGTGATAACGAAGTATTCTAACATAACAGTAAGTCATTATAGACAACAGACCACATGAACAAGTTGCAATCATAAAGATCGTGTACGATTTACTTGCTGTCCATTCAACAAAACAATAACTCTGTCCTGGATCATAGTCGAATTTCGCCCAACCAAAAAACGGAGGTATAGATAATACTATTGCAATAAACCAGGTAATACAAACATAAAAAGCACATTTACGGCGAGTGTACTTGCTCTCATAACATGTCCAATAAACTATAGCATGGTAGCGATTTATGCTGATCATGGATAAAGCCATACACGATGCTACGAACGTGAGCAATGTTAAAAATCCAGATATTTGACAAAGCGTCTTACCAAGCACCCAATCTTGGGCAATAACAGTTATTATAGTCACAGGGAGATTAATGACCGCGACAAGAAGATCTGCGACAGCCAGGTTTAAGATAAATACATTCGCTTTTGTTTGAAGGTTTCTAGTCGTACCAACGATGTAGAACAGGCTAAGATTGGCACAAAGTGCTGCTATGAATACAATGACCAAAACAATTGTTTCAAGAATCGTCCACGTATTCGCCGCCATTAAAACTAGCGTAACTGCTTTGGTCACTTTTAAAATCGATGCTGTTCTAACAATATGAACACGAGAGGTAGCAGGAGCTGTACATTAAATGAAAATTTCAAATTTGTATAATCGCACAACGTTTATCCTCTTTTAATTTGCGGCTGTTTATTCATCACAACACACGATGATATAATTAAAGTTACCATGAAATACTTACATGCACTTGTCAACTATTAATGAATAATAATGAAATTTCAACATAGTACGAGCTTGCTGATTCGTGCAGGATAATTTAGCAAATACAGCTCATCCAATCAACACCGCCAAGTCATTGTATGAAACATGAATCCAATATGTTAAAGTGCTACTGAAGTGAAATTTTCATATTTCGTTTTTCGATACAAACGTTTTCTCTGTATTTTACTGATCATTTTGAGCTATCGCCCACTGAATTTAGTCGATGGGAACGCATCGAACTTTGCGTTCAAACATGGCATATTTGCTTGTTTTGATGCAAATTTGACTTTGAGTGCGTGACGTCATTTAAAGGACGGAAGTTCAATTTTAAAGCTCTTAGTATATAAAAATTATATACGAACAAGCATATTTCCAACTGGAATTTTACATATTTTATAACTTCTCTTCGCAAAAATTGCGTATATTTAGTGACAAATGAGCAACACGCATAGGTAAGCAACATTTACAATCGATTAGAGTTTTATAAACTTCTTGAATTAACTTATATTTCTCAATAAACTGGGTGTCGCATCCTTGACGTAGTCTGTGGTTTTAAAACCCATGCAATATTATCACAACGCACATAATATAAGGAGAATAATTTTTTATTAAGTTAGTCAAACGTAACGATACACCGCAAGTTTAAATATGGCGAGTAGGCAAAATTCTGCAAAAAATCGTCGAGGAGGACAATATTGTGTTGCTGGTTGGCCCAACGGAAAAAGTTGTACAAACAGTCAACACACAGAGGGTGTCTCAGTACATCGTTTCCCCATGAATGACAAGGAGAGGCTGGGTAAATGGACAAAATTTGTTAGGAGACATAGGCCAAAATTCGTTCCTCAGCAGTACTCTGTGCTATGTTCAATGCATTTCGCAGATTCTGCATTCACCGTTAACGCAACAGTTGCAAAATCGCTAAACATGAGACGACAATTGCGCTCTGACGCTGTTCCAACCATAGACTCTGTAAAAGGCATTTCAATCCAAGGTGATAAGAGCAATCGCGACCACAGAGTTGTAAGTACAAAATTATACAAGTTAAATTACACAAGTTTGTATGCACAACCTGGAAATGCATGTAAATGTGTCTTATTATCTTCAACAGGTGTTGCGTGAAGTAACACGAAGTGTAAAAGATGTTGAACCCGCTTTTAAACATACTGATGATGAAGGGAATTCTGACGAGTGTAACACGACAGAAAGCGTTGATAGTGAACCAGTTAGAGAAAAAGTCCCAGAAGCCTTAAACAAAACGTTCTCGGATCGAATTTCCAAAACTGAGGCAATCCAACGGCAATTGGATAGGAAACAACTATCTTCAACACCATTGTTTCCCACATGTAAGTTGTTCATGCTACCATGTATAATAGGTATGGCCAGTGCATTCTAAAAGTAAACACATTAAATTGTTATTTATAGATCAACAGCAAGATGTACTGCAAGCAAAAGGTTTAGACAAAGAAAAACAAGCTGCTTCAACAGGTCCTTCAGATCCAAAAAAAAAAACGCGCTTATGCAAAAATTGTGGACAGCCAATGAAAGGACATCCAAAAAGTCATTGTCCACAAGAATTACTTGACAAATATTCTTAGCAGGCCAACTTTAAAGTTAGTTATAAAATAATATACGATACTACAAAAAATGTTTCCTACTTCTATCAGTTTCTTTCCTGTGCTGACTTGTAGCCAGCATGTTCTTGGCCTAGGGGATTTCGTAATGGAAATTGTTTTCGGATGTCTGTGTAGATACATGCAGGTAATGGTCTAGAATTTTCCCAACCAAGGCATCCACACAGCCATCGAATGACCCAACGGTATGCAACTGCTCTCAAGTATCTATGAGAAATTCAAAATAGTAATTTCTATTTGATTATTTATTTTGACTTCACATAACAAAATTGTGAAGCATCACAGCACAATAATGAACCACATAAAGGTAAAAAGTAGAGATACATGGCAAGATATTAATCATTCGTTACAAAACAAAATTAGAAATCAAAAATGTACTAACTCATTTTCATGTATTCTACGACCCTTGTATGACCTTCCATCTTGGTCTCTTAGAAGTGAGCCAACATTCTTCAAGACTGTAGCATGTGTCATAATCGTGTATTCTTCGTGAAGAGTAACACAGCTAATTTTTTCAATGCTACCATCGAATACCAGTTTATGTAAAGTAGGCCCAACCTCTTGACAACAACGGTATTCAATGGCATCTGTCAGCAGTTGAGTACGACACAAGCTACATGCACACCTATAAAAAAGTGGTTTGTTATCATATTTATGCACCACGACATAAGGACAAAATAACATGTTTAATTCATGGTTTAATTTCTTCGACCGACACAAAATTCTCTCCGACTGCGTTCGGAAGAGGTTCATTTTCGTAAGGATTTACAACTGAATTAGCCACAACTGTATCCTCATCGCCGGAATTCGAAAGTAAATTTTCATTTGCCATATCTGAGTTTTCAGTATCCGAACTGCGTTCGCTTTCACTGCTTGAAGAACTCATATTTTATTGTGTATATGTGTTAAAAATCTAACAAAATACTAGTAAATCAATGCTCATACTTCGACTTCCGTCCTTTTAATTACGTCACATCCGTATAATATTTCAGTAGTAAAAATTCGCACGCGTAACCCAACTTTGAGCAAAAATTTATTGATGATGCCGTGCTTCAATATGCATAAAAATTATACCAAAGTGATCAGGAAAGATAGAACTATTTGATTATAGAAAAAAATCGATACCCAAAATTTCACTTCAGTAGCACTTTAACAATTAATTACTTTGCTGACATATTCAGTCATGCATTCAATATTGACAATAACATATCCGTACTTACGCAATTGTTCCTTATTTCATCTGGCGCACTGGAAATGCCAAAGTCGACGATATTTGACTAGTCTTCTCTGAATTAACGAACAATAAACTATATCCATATGTACAACGAGACATGAAGTGCGAGAAAATCTTATAGAAATGGATACGTGAAACCTACTAGACCATACATACGTAGAAGTCACGTGAGACCTATAAGACCATACATACGTCGAAATAATGTGAGACCTATAAGACCATACATACGTGGAAGTCACGTGAGACCTATATATAACCATACATATGTAGAAGTCACGTGAGACCTATAAGACCATAAATACGTGGAAGTCACGTGAGACTTATATAACCATAAATACGTGGAAGTCACGTGAAACCTACAAGACCATACATACGTAGAAGTCACGTGAGACCTATAAGACCATACATACGTCGAAAAAATGTGAGAGCTATAAGACCATACATACGTGGAAGTCACGTGAGACCTATATGACCATACATATGTAGAAGTCACGTGAGACCTATAAAACCATACATACGTGAAGTCACGTGAGACCTATATAACCATACAAACGTAGAAGTCACGTGAGACCCAAAGACCATACATACGTGGAAGTCGCGTGAGACCTATATAACATACATACGTCCAAGTCATGTGAGACCTATAAGACCATACATACGTCGAAGTCATGTGAGACTTATAAGACCATACATACGTAGAAGTCACGTGAGACCTATATAACCATACATACGTAGAAGTCACGTGAGACCTATAAGACCATAAATACGTGGAAGTCACGTGAAACCTATAAGACCATACATACGTCGAAGTCATGTGAGACCTATAAGACCATACATACTTGGAAGTCACGTGAGACCTATATAACCATACAAACGTAGAAGTCACGTGAGACCCATAAAACCATACATACGGAAAGTCACGTAAGACCTATAAGACCATACATACGTCGAAGTCATATGAGACCTATAAGACAATACATACGTGGAAGTCATGTGAGACCTATAAGACCATACATACGTGGAAGTCACGTGAGACCTATAAGACCATACATAAGTAGAAGTCACGTGAGACCTATATAACCGCACAAACGTAGAAGTCATGTGAGACCTATAAGACAATACATACGTGGAAGTCACGTGAGACCTATAAGACCATACATACGTAGAAGTCACGTGAGACCTATATAACCGTACAAACGTAGAAGTCCCGTGAGACCTATAAGACCATACATACGTCGAAGTCACGTGAGATCGTGCGAGTGACAAAGATTGCACATGAATCAAGGAATGTATTTAGTATATACATATGTAAAATGGGTTCATAAAAAAAACCTAAACAGGTTTCTGGGCTGCTTATAGTTTAAGTTTGTTTTCGAAGGAAATGATCAACGAAGGTTAAGGTACAGAAATTTGAGGATTAAACAGAAGGTAGGAAAATTGGTTCATGATTGATGATTAAAGTGGAAGATGAGAGCTAGGAGCAGATGAGATTTGTAAAAATGTAATTGTGCTGTAAATATTAATTTCGTATGAGAAAGAATAATTTCATATGAGAAAAAATTAAAGATCCTTGGTTGATGTTTAGAAAGAACAAGTTAGAGGCAACAGGGATTGCTCAATCAATTTGGTTGATGCATGTGTAAAGAATAAATTTACTTTTTCATTTAATGTAAAGAATGACTATTTTGATATTTTAGACAGAAAAGATAAGGTTAGATTATAGAATGGAAAGATTTAATTATTTGTGTCGTTACAGTTGGATGCAGTGGCTGTTGGAATTGTTAAAAAAGGAGAAAGGAATGCAAAGGAAAAGTTCGCGTTTGTTGAAAGTTTTAAATAGCGTTAAATATTGTAAGAAATGCAAGATATATAGTCTTTGACATGAAAATGCGTGACATATAATCTTTGACATGAAAATTGTTTGAGCTACAGGTCTTTTGCATGAAATTGCGTGAAAAATAGTCTTTGCCGTAAAAATGCGTATCCTATAGCTACTCTTTTGCGTAAAAATGTGTGAACATACACTTTTGCATGAAATTGCATGAAATATTGTCTTTCCCATGAAAATGCGTGAACTATAGTCCTTTGCATGAAAGTTTGTGAAGTATAGTCTTTGCCACAAAAAGGCATAACATATAGCTGGTCTTTAAAGTGAAAATGCGTGAACTATAGTCATTTACTTGAAAACCAGTAAGCTATAGTCTTTTGCGAATATATGCGTGAAATATAGTCATTGGCGTAAAAATGAGTAAACTATACTCTTGCGTAAAAATGATTGAATTATATAGTCTTTGTCATGAAATAGCTATAGCTAGTCTTTCGCATGAAAATGCGTGAAATGTAGTCTTTTATTGAAAATCCTAAGAAGGTTATATACAATGAGAAATTGTAGGCGTTCAACTGCTCTTGAGTGGTCAAGTGGTCAAGTATGCAATCTATCAACATGGTGATGCCTGGTTCAAACCCGGGTTGAGTCAGCTAAGGTTTGCAGCGTGAATTTTAACAGTGGATAGTGCGGACTCATTAATTAGGAAAATGACTAAGTACGATTGTAGTTTACTTATTTTCGTAGGAAAGACTTATAGTTCGCGTATTTTCACGCATTTTCATGCGAAAAATATAGCTAAGTTACACATTTTTTTAATATTTTCAACAAAAGGCTACAATTTAGGCATTTTTACATATTTCCACATATAAAATATAAAGTACACATTTTTTGCAAATTTTCACTAGAAGACTATCATTCACGCATTTTTACATATTTTCACAAAAAGACAATATTTCACACATTTTCAAATACTTTCAATCTTTTTCACATAAAGACTATAACTCATGCATTTTCACACTTTTCACATAAAGACTATAACACACATATTTTCACATAAAGACTGTAATTCATGCATTTTCACACTTTTCACATAAAGACTATAACTCATATATTTTCACACAAAGACTATAATTCAAAATTGTAGCGAGAGACTTGCCGAGCGGAAATCGAATTCGTGTGATAAAAATTAATGCCCAATATAAAGTTCTGATTAGAGCCATAGAAATAGACCAAAAAAAAAACGAATTGTAAAGTTAAATTTATTGTGACGTTTCGTCTTTACTCAAGACATCTTCAGACAAATAATTAATAGGATGTTAAGACAAGATATTATATTTACAAAAAGGTGTTAAATTACTACTAAAGGAAGCGGTGTCGAATGGATACATGATAAGGAAGTTAGGAAGTAAAATAAAGAGAAATTAAAAGAGGTTAAGTGGAATGGAGTTTCCTTGCACATTAAGTGAAGGCTTGTATTTATTGATTAGAAGGCTTTCATGAATGGAGAGTTCATAAGTATCGTTGGAAGGTGAGATTATTTTTAAGTCGTCCAGTTGCGTTAATGTGAGCAAGAATGCTTGTTGATGCAGGGTGGGAAACTTGGTTGCCTGTAAGGGGGGATATTCCCAAGTGCTCCGAAAATCTGGTGTGTAGATGACGTGTGGTTTGACCCACATACGAGGCGTTGCAGCTTCGACACTTGAATAAATAGACTACACCAGATCTCAGAGGTTTGGGAATTTTGTCCTTAAAGGGGAAGAAAGAAGAGATACGTTGAGAAGGGCGGAAAACAAATTTAATGGATATATGTGGGAAGGCTGCAGCACAAAGGCTACTGATTTGTGTGCAAATTTGAAGGGAGTGTATGCCGGTGAAAGGAAGACAGAAATAGATGGGCATTTTGTGAGCAGTCAAGACAGGTGGTTTAGGGGCAAAGGTGTTGTTAAGGAAGCCACGTGTGATTTGGTCAATTATGCGTGAAGGAAAACCGTTTTTGGTGAGTGACTTTCTGGTAAATTCGAGTTGTGTATGAAAATTTTCGTAAGTAATTTTCTCCAAAATTGACTTTATACACCTTAAGAATGTCTCCGATCGTGAAAATTCAAGAAAACTAACGCAACATCAACATATCCAAGATCGCAAACTTTTCCGTCTCACATCCAAACATGACAACAACATCCCAATCGACCCTGATAAAGTGGTGTTCAATTTCTCAAACCGCCTCATTACTGACAGAGAGAAAGAAATCCTTTCAAAAGGCTTAAACTTTTCCATCCCACCGAAAAAGTTAAACATTTGCACCTTCTTAACACCCTTTGAAAAACTCTACAACCGTCTCAAACGAGAATCTGTTAATGAATCATCAGGATTTTTTCCAGACTCGATCAAATGCAAATTAAAAGACATTGCCCACTCAGGTTTCCGAAGTTACAGCCCACCACCTTTTCTATATTCACAAGAAGACTTGAACATTTTAAATAATTTAAAAAACGACAGAACTATCCTCATCACTAAACCTGACAAAGGAAATGGCATCGTAATACTTAACAAAGACGACTACACAAAGAAAATGGACACACTCTTATCTGACACTACAAAGTTTCAACCTCTGAATGGAGATCCAGTCAAAGTCACTTTACAACGAGAAAATCAAGTGAAGTCTTTATTAAAAAAGTTGAAAGATGCCAAATCTATCGGCCAAGAAACTTACAAAGAACTTTACCCTACTGGTTCACGAATAGGTATATTATATGGCCTTCCTAAAATACATAAATGTAACATCCCTCTCAGACCCATTCTTTCCTCCATTAATCACTATTCGTATAAACTAGCAAAGTTTTTCATCCCACTCCTAAAACCCTTCACTATAAGCAACCTCATCATCAAAGACTCTTTTTCGTTTGTTGAAGAAATCCTAAACTGCGATATCAACTCCAGTAATGTTGTCCTTGCTAGTTTTGATGTCCTATCCCTATTTACTAACATACCTGTTGACGAAACCATCCACATAATATCCAAAAGCATTTTTAACAACCACCAGTACTTCAACGGACTCACTGCAACAGAATTTGAAAAACTACTCTCTCTAGCTGTTAAGAACTGTCACTTTATCTTTAACGGGAAAATGTATCAGCAAATTGATGGTGTGGCTATGGGCAGTCCATTGGGCCCTCTCTTTGCTGATATATTAATGTCCTTTCACGAAAAAATCCTGGCTCAATAAATGTCCTTCTTCATTCAAACCACTACTTTACCGACGCTACGTTGACAACTGTTTTTTACTTTTTCATTCCTCCGATCACGTCCCTCTCTTTCTTGACTATCTGAACCGACAACAACCTAACATCACATTCACAGCTGAAGTCAAACAAAACAGAAAGCTCTCATTTCTTGACATTGATATCTCTCGTACTAATGGAAAATTCACCACTTCCGTCTACCGCAAACCTACTTTCACTGGCCTTTTCACTAACTTCCACAGCTTCATCCCACTTATCTACAAACTTTCATTAGTCTCCTGCTTACTTCACCGCATCTTCAATCTTTGCTCTACTTACGAAAATTTTCATACACAACTCGAATTTACCAGAAAGTCACTCACCAAAAACGGTTTTCCTTCACGCATAATTGACCAAATCACACGTGGCTTCCTTAACAACACCTTTGCCCCTAAACCACCTGTCTTGACTGCTCACAAAATGCCCATCTATTTCTGTCTTCCTTTCACCGGCATACACTCCCTTCAAATTCGCACACAAATCAGTAGCCTTTGTGCTGCAGCCTTCCCACATATATCCATTAAATTTGATTTCCGCCCTTCTCAACGTATCTCTTCTTTCTTCCCCTTTAAGGACAAAATTCCCAAACCTCTGAGATCTGGTGTAGTCTATTTATTCAAGTGTCGAAGCTGCAACGCCTCGTATGTGGGTCAAACCACACGTCATCTACACACCAGATTTTCGGAGCACTTGGGAATATCCCCCCTTACAGGCAACCAAGTTTCCCACCCTGCATCATCAAGCATTCTTGCTCACATTAACGCAACTGGACGACTTAAAAATAATCTCACCTTCCAACGATACTTATGAACTCTCCATTCATGAAAGCCTTCTAATCAATAAATACAAGCCTTCACTTAATGTGCAAGGAAACTCCATTCCACTTAACCTCTTTTAATTTCTCTTTATTTTACTTCCTAACTTCCTTATCATGTATCCATTCGACACCGCTTCCTTTAGTAGTAATTTAACACCTTTTTGTAAATATAATATCTTGTCTTAACATCCTATTTATTATTTGTCTGAAGATGTCTTGAGTAAAGACGAAACGTCACAATAAATTTAACTTTACAATTCGTTTTTTTTTTGGTCTATTTCTATGGCTCTAATCAGAACTTTATGTTGGACTATAATTCATGCATTTTCACGCTTTTCACATAAAGATTATAATTCACGAGTTTTCGCACATTTTCACAAAAAGACTATAATTCACGAATTTTTACACATTTTCACAAAAAGTCCATTTTTCACGAATTTTTGCGCATTTTCACAAAAAGACTATAATAAAAGACTACGATTTGCTGCCCTCATTTGTGAGCAGCATCGTTGTCGCTACAAGCACAGTATTAATTCTTCGCCGTTTATCAATTCTTTCAAGATGTTCAATTATCAGCCATTTTGTTATGCTAGTTGTGCGCATGCGTAATTTTGTCGTCTAAAGTGTACTTGTTGTTGGCTCAACGCACACAAGAATTTTTTGTCATTCATGACAAAAAATATCAAACACGTTTTGATATTTAGCTCATCCGTCACGAATGACAAATTTTGTTCAAAACTTTCCTGCATTTTTGTCGATCCAACTTGTCGCGAATAAAAAGTACGCTCAACAAGTTTGCCAGTGTGCGGCGGGCTTTATGCTTGCGCTTATATAAAGGACTATTTCACATGCTTCGTTGATTGCCTTTGTTTCATTTTTTTGTCATAGAGTTTGTTTATATTTAGATACTGTTACGCATGTGTGCAAGTTTTTGAGCTTGTCAAGTCTGAGTGTAATGTAGTTTAGAGCATATTGAAGCTAAGGAGTTAAAATACTCCATTGAGCAATGAAAAGGAAGCTATTGGGAAGGAAGCTTTAGTATGCGTTAAATTTTTTCGAGTTTTTTATCACTCGCGACGTTCGGCAAATATTGAACATGTTGAATGATTTTGCCAAAAATAAGAATCTCCGAGCTGAAAATAATAGAGCAAGTTTGGATAACAAAGTAAAGTGCATGAATGTGAGCAATGAAGAGCAAAAACAAAAGTTTTATGGCAGGTCAAAGTGACTTACCAAGCGATGTAATTTTGAAGGACAAGATTCCCGACCTATGGCCCGACTACACCAGCTGGATTACTGCACCTGCTTGAAGGTTCTTGCAAAATTCTTCTCTATTAGTATAAGACAGCGCGAACAGGGAAAACATAAAAGAAAACAGCACTGTTGCGAAACAGATAAATTTAAAACAAACGTTAGCTACGTATAGCTACGTTTCCTATATTCCTTCCGTATATTTATTACTAAACTATGAAATAACAATACACACAACGTTTTTACTACACACATTATTATATGGATTTCAGTTGCCTTCCTAATAGCTATTCTCTAGATTTAAGGCTGCAAAAGGGAAAATCTTTAACTGTGCAATACTAAATCTGAAATTTTCTGTATTACATGTCTTTCAGCAAAGCGTCTTGTTTGTCGAATTTCCTGAAACTCCGGTGGGTTTCCTTCGTTGAAACGTCGCTATAGTTAACCACAATTTTTCTCTATGTTTCTTTCGCTTTTTGATCATTTAAAGCAGGGGTCTCCAAACTACGGCCCGCGGGCCAGATGCGGCCCGTTGGGCCTCTCAATCCGGCCCGCAGAGACACTTAAGAAAGCCAATTTCACCACTCACATTGAAAAAACTGAACAGACTAATTGTGATTTTGTTATGATATTACTCTTCATTGAAATTTAACCTTTAAATTTTGAATAAATATTTTCTTAACTAATGAAGCTTGTGTAATGTACTTCGTTTTATTAAAATATTTGTTCTTTGACCAGCGGTATACGGTTCGTCGGCCCTCAACATGCTTGATAAAGTTCATGTGGCCCTCTGGCTGTAAAATTTGGAGACCCCTGATTTAAAGTATTGATTTATTTTAGGCACAGTTTTCCGTCGATATATGCACTGTGAAAATGCGACCAATTAGTCTACCGTCTTTTCTTAGTTAACTGCTGAAAAAAATTCAAAAATTCACGTCGAAGTTTTTTATTTGGTTTACCACAATTTCATTAAAGGTTTCTCTCGTACCTGATGATTTGGCATCAATAAAATATTGACTAAAATTTAAATATTATTCCCCGTCGATGCACTGACACTGTGACAATGCGCGCCTTCAGTGTATTGCGAACGTTTGTCCTTTTTTCGAAAGATAATCACTGAAAAGAAATTCAAAAATTGCCGTCGAAGTTTTTTATTCGTTGCGTTATACACAACCACGTTGAAAAAACTGTTTAAGTATCCCAAAACCAGGGATCCAAAATCCACAGCGCGTGGAACATGCGCATTGGAGAATACTTGGATCAATATTATGATCGCAAAAGGGGACCAGCAAATGCCAAAGACGACAATTAACACTGTTACTGTTCTTGTCAAACGATTTTTTCTTGACCCCTGTGCTTTGTCCATCATTTCAAGAGTTTGTAACGAAGGGCTGTTAGAACGTAGCGCCATTTGGCGGACATCTCTGCCACTATCTTCGTGATAACGAAGTATTCTAACATAACAGTAAGTCATTATAGATAACGGACCACATGAACAAGCTGCGCTCATAAAGATCGTGTACGATTTACTTGCTGTCCATTCAACAAAACAATAACTCTGTCCTGGATCATACTCGAATTTCGCCCAACCAAAAAACGGAGGTATAGATAATACGATTGTTATAAACCAGGTAATACAAACATAAAAAGCACATTTACGGCGAGTGTACTTGCTCTCATAAGATGTCCAATTAACTATAGCATGGTAGCGATTTATGCTGATCATGGATAAAGCCATACACGATGCTACGAACGTCAGCTGATGAGACGAACTGTCTCATGATCTCTTCATTCAAACCGTTTTTCAAAATAATATCATATAGTTGTTTAATTTAGAATATGCTTAGGGGCTGTTTACATGATCCCGGCTAACCGGGATTCAGTGTGGCGTTAAATGATTTTGAGTGATTGAAAGGGGGCAAAACTTCAAGCGAAAAAATTACTACCGTTTGTTAAGCGCCACGAGTGATTTATGTTGTTATTCTCAAATTAGGCCAAATTTGTTGTTCGATTTTGAATGTTATGCGTATAGTTGTTAAATCAGAATATTGTGAAAGTGCTGAAGAAGATTCATCTGATGGTAAGTATTAAATCTTTTCCATTTGCCAAAATTATTTAACGCTTGGCTGAAACCCTGTAAGGGATCATGTAAGCAGCCCCTTAATCGAGAAAATAATTCTTTTATGACCTCGCCATTTTTTCGTTCAACATAATGCTGACGAGTCTCAACACAAAATTAACTATCGTTAACACAAACAGTGTAATAAATCGTAAATATCTCATATGTAAATGGCAAACACGAAAAACAAATACATCTCATTAATCACGAATAATTTCACTATATTTTTGCAGTTTTTTTTAACATTAAATTGTATTTCTATGCATTTGAAAAACGCGAATGTTTTTAGGGTTTGTGGCAAATATTTTTCAAAACCTATGCTGGGGATACTTATCTAAACATTCGTCATAATTTTGAATGCTCAAACGCAATGCAGATTGGTTAAAATTGTTTTTTCGTACATTCAGATTGGCTACAATTTTTTTGATTGTTTTCAAAAAAATTCCGCCAGTTATTGTTATTTTATAAAAGAAATAAAAGATGATTTTCGTATTTTCACTGGCTTATGCAAACCTCGGAGACGTTTGTGAGAACTCTCGAGCATGTGCAACCCTTCTCCTTCGTGTTTAACGCAATAAACATTTTTTATTTCTTAATGGATACTTCATTTAAGAAGTATCAGATACCAGTGTTTTCAAGGAAAAGAGTTGAAAAACTATATAAGTGTTTTAGTAAATTTTAGTAAATTACCCTGATGTCCTTTCAAGTGTATGTAAGGTGTTAATGCTATCTTAAATGTTCTGTAGATTAGTACTCTCCATTACTTTAGTTGCTTTAGTTGCTCAATGACTTAATCTTTGCAAAATTTCCAACTGGTCACAGCTGCTTATCATCCCCAAACTAATGGCCAAGATGAACATACATATGGTAATATTAAAACGGCATTTGTCTTAGGTTGGCATTTTAATAATTCTATATTAGTATAACTCGACTAGAACTGCATTAACCTTTTGCCCTTTTTTCACATAGGCGGTAAATGAGCAGCAGAACGACTGGGACTTGTATATAGAGCAAGCCAGCTGGGGGTATCCGCTCCTCTTATGAGATAATGCATATTAGGAAGCCAAGATTTCCTTTTGAGGTAGCTGATCACAACAATGATTTATATTCATTATGAATAATGAATATGAATCGAAAATAAAAAAAAATTTTAGAAATGCAACGTTGTGCCACAAAAAATATGCCAATATCCTGAGACTTATATACAAGCAGAGTTTAAGGGTCGTTATTGGCTTAGAGAAAAAATCCAGCACTGTATATCTCGCGGCAAAAGCCTAAGAATATGAATCGCATTCACTGCCAACATATTCTGAACCAAATGTAGTGGCAGAATATGTTTTGGCTAAACAAGAACAACTTCATGAAATAGAATCAAAAGGAAAATCTGTGAAGTATTGCTTGCAAAAGAAAAAAAGACAGGTATACGATGCTGGGTTTTTTTCTCTAAGCCAATAATGGCCCTTAAACTCTACTTGGATATTAGTCTCAGGATATTGGCACAATGTTGCATTTCTAAAATTTTATTTCATTTTTTATTTGTGATCTTATTTGCACATGTGATAATTGTAAAAAATACTCAATTCTTCAGTTAATTGTGTTGTGCTGTTTTTGCAGTTAATAGAGAATAATCTGGCTGCCAAAGAAAAGCAGAAAAAATATTATAAACCTTTTGCCATTTTCGCATCACATAGCGATGAATCACATATACACAGTTTGGGAGCTCATTGACTCACAAGGTATATAGTACCTTCTGAAGATATGTAAAAATAACTACCAGCGTCTTCCCTTTAGGACGAGGAATCTGATTGCGAAAGGGAAGAGGAAGCAATCATCACAAGAGACTTGCAAGAAGATTGTAATTGCACTCTACAAACTTTGTATATACAGATGGAGCATTTTGTGAAGAGTACTCTAAGAAATGTTATTGACGAGGGATATTACATGGACCAACAGAGAATGTGGCCGCTTCTCGGTGAGATTGTAGAAGGATTAGTTCACGTTCATTCACATATAGAAACTTTCAATTATTGTATGTACTAACTGTGTGCTGGTGTTACTAAACATGAAAAAAATGTGAACAATTTTTGTTTAGCTCAATAAACATATATAAAGACTTGTTATTTGCCATTTTTGGATGAATTGAAAAGCTCGTTTTGGACTTCCAAGCTCCTTTTCATTGAATCGCATTGTCATAAAGAAATTTATCCTTGTTGGAATATGTATTTGTCAATATAATTATAGCCATGCTTGAAAAATTCACTCTAAGCTTCAACTTGAAAAAATGAAGATCATGAAGAAAAACAAGCATTACAGTAAGGAAGAATTTATAGCTACTGCCTTTTAATGTCATATACTTTGTATACATGTCTATATCCGGAAAACGGTAACCAATACTTAGCACAGTAGCTTCTTGGACATTCTTTTATCTCTCCAAATCGCATATCTCACGGTTTAAGCAAATGACATCACTTCAGATAAGCTTGATGCTGAAAAATATCAAGGGATAAATCAAAATGGCTGTGATGGTGAACATGAGTATCCTGATTTGATTCCTCTTCCATTTGGCTACGCTACGAGAAAATCAAGAGTTCGGAATGAAATTGAGGTTTTGCAAATGCTTGAAAGGAGGGCTTGCTTCAGTTGTCAAGGTAACTTTTTATTACATACATCGTTTAAATAGACAGTAATTTGGTCGTGTGAAGGAAATTTTGTACGTGAGTTGGAAATGCTTTATATACGCTTAGGTACGTAATAAATTAGACGGCTGTCTCTATGCGTATATGCTGTTTTTCTTCTTAAGCTTGTTTTGACAAATGTATATCACACTCATCAACACTTTGTTACCCCACTCGTCGCATCCGTGACAATGTTAGAGATGTTTTTTTTTTCTCCATATCTTTGTATCTGAATATTTTTTGCGTAAACAATGCTCTAATATTGATGACACATGTTATAAAAAAAAATGTCATATGACACATGTAGAAAAAACACTTGAAAATGAAACTTCCACGAATGTAACGAAATCAAGAGTGACAGAAAAGAAACGACGACGCCAGCTTGAAGACAGCTAGATGAAATGGAACACAGTTCAAGCACCTAACGTGTAATCGAGAGTTTTGGATGAGGACATATAATAGATACAATTGTATTCTTCGCTCTATGGGGATTGCTCTCTAGGATAGACACCTAGCACAATTGTATCTATATATACCATGTATTTATCACACACTATTTACTTTTCCTATTACGTGCAAGATAGTAGGCAAGATTTTCCTCATGCAAGATCATGCAAAATACGAGGCAAAATTTTACTCTAGCAAGATTTTGAAAGATGTAAGGCAAGTTTTTACTCATGCAAGATCTTGCAAGATATTAGGCAAGATTTAATCTGCATGCATGGCATGAAAATGTGTGAAAATGCAAAAACTATAGTCTTTGGCATGAAAATATGTGAAATTGCGAAGACTATAGTCATATACTTTTACATAAAGACTATAACTCATATATTTTCACATAAACACGATACTTCATACATTTTCAGACTTTTCACATAAAGACTATAACTCATATATTTTCACATAAAGACTATAATTCATGCATTTTCACACTTTTTATATAAAGACTATAACTCATATATCTTCACATAAAGACTATAATTCATGCATTTTCGCACTTTTTGCATAAAGACTATAACTCATATATTTTCACATAAAGACGATAATTCATGCATTTCCACACATTTTCACAAAAAGTCTATAATTCACGAGTTTTCGCACATTTTCACAAAAAGACTATAATTCACGAATTTTTACACAATTTTAGAAAAAGTCCACTATTCACGAATTTTCGCACATTTTCACAAGAAGTTTATAATAAAAGACTACGATTTGCTGCCCTCATTTGTGTGCAGCATCGTTGTCGCTACAAGCACAGTAGCAATTCTTCATCGTTTATCAATTCGTTCAAGATGTTCAATATATCAGCCATTTTGTTATGCTAGTTGTGCGCATGCGCATTTTTGTCGTCTAAATTGTACTTGTTGTTGGCTCAACGCACACAAGGATTTTTTGTCATTCATGACAAAAAATATCAAACACGTTTGATATTTAGCTGATACGTCACGAATGACAAATGTTCTTTAAAACTTTCCTGCATTTTTGTCGATCCAACTTGTTGCGAATAACAAGTACGCTTAAGAAGTTCGGCAGTGTGCGGCGGGCTTTATGCTTGCGCTTCTATAAAGGACTATTTCACATGCTTCGTTGGTTGCCTTTGTTTCATTTTTTTGTCATAAAGTTTGTCTTATTTAAATACTGTTACCCATGTGTGCAAGTTTTTGAGCTTGTCAAGTCTGAGTGTAATGTAGTTTAGAGCATATTGAAGCTAAGGAGTTAAAATACTCCATTGCGCAATGAAAAGGAACCTATTGGGAAGGAAGCTTTCGTATGCGTCAAACTTTTTCGAGTTTTTCATCACTCGCGACGTTCGGAAAATATTGAACATGTTGAATGATTTTGCCAAAAATAACAATCTCCGAGCTGAAAATAATAGAGCAAGTTTGGATAACTAAGTAAAGTGCATGAACGTGAGCAATGAAGAGCAAAAAACAAAAGTTTAATGGCAGGTCAAAGTGACTTACCAAGTGATGTAATTTTGAAGGACAATTTTCCCGACCTATGGCCCGACTACTCCAGCTAGACTACTGTACCTGCTTCAAGGTTCTTGCAAAATTCTTCTCTATTAGTATAAGACAGCACGAACGGGGAAAACATAAAAGAAAACAGCACTGTTGCGAAACAGATAAATTTAAAACAAACTTTTAGCACATAGCCATTGCTTCCTATATTCCTTCCGTATATTTTATTACTTAACTATGAAATAACAATACACACAAGTTTTTACTACAAACATTATTATATGGATTGAAGTTGCCTCCTAATAGCCATTCTCTAGATTTAAGGCTGCAAAAGGCAAATCTTTAACTGTGCAATACTAAATCTGTGAGTTCGTATTACATGTCTTTCAGCAAAGCTGTCTTGTTTGTCGAATTTCCTAAAAACATGCGGGTTTCCTTTGTTGAAACGTCGCTATAGAGTTAACCACAATTTTGGCTCTATGTTTCTTTCTGCTTTTTTGATCATTTAAAGCAGGCTCCAAACTACGGCCCGCGGCCAGATATGACCCGTTGGGCCTCTCAATCCGGCCCGCAGAGACACTTAAGAAAGCCAATTTCACTAAATTATTGACAAACTGAACAGACTAATTGTGATTTTGTTATGATATTACTCTTCATTAAAATTTAACCTTTAAATTTTGAATAAATATTTTCAACTAATGAAAGTTGTGTAATGTACTTCGTTTTATTAAAAATATTTGTTCTTTGACCAGCGGTATACGGTCTGTCTGGCCCTTGGGGCTCATGCTTGATGAAAGTTCATGTGGCCCTCTGGCTGTAAAGTTTGGAGACCCCATCATTTAAAGTATTGATTTATTTTGGGCACAGTTTTCCGTCAATATATGCACTGTGAAAATGCGACCAATTAGTCTTCTGTCTTTCTTACTTAACTGCTGAAAAAATTCAAAAATTCCCGTCGAAGTTTTTTATTTGGTTTACTACAATTTCATTAAAGGTTTCTCTCGTACCTGATGATTTGGCATCAATAAAATATTGACTAAAATTTAAATATAATTCTCGTCGATGCACTGACACTGTGACAATGCGCGCCTTCAGTGTATTGCGAACGTTTGTCCTTTTTTCGAAAGATAATCACTGAAAAAAAATTCAAAAATTGCCGTCGAAGTTTTTTATTCGTTGCGTTATACACAACCACGTTGAAAAAACTGTTTAAGTATCCCAAAACCAGGGATCCAAAATCCACAGCGCGTGGAACATGCGTATTGGAGAACACTTGGATCAATATTATGATCGCAAAAGGGGACCAGCAAATGCCAAAGACGACAATTAACACTATTACTGTTCTTGTCAAACGATGTTTTCTTGACCCCTGTGCTTTGTCCATCATTTCAAGAGTTTGTATCGAAGGGCTGTTAGAACGTAGCACCATTTGGCGGAAATCTCTGCCAATATCTTCGTGATAACGAAGTACTCTAACATAACAGTAAGACATTATACACAACGGACCACATAAACAAGTTGCAATCATAAAGATCGTGTACGATTTACTTGCTTTCCATTCAGCAAAACAATAACTCTGTCTTGGATCAAAGTCAAATCTCGCCCAACCAAAAAACGGAGGTATAGATAACATGATTGTTATAAGCCATGTTATGCAAACATAAAGAGCACATTTACGGTGAGTGTACTTGCTCTTGTAAGATGTCCAATAAACTATAGCATGGTAGCGATTTATGCTGATCATAGATAAAGCCATACACGATGCTACGAATGTGAACAATGTTAAAAATCCAGATATTTGACAAAGCGTCTTACCAAGCACCCAATCTTGGGAAATAACAGTGATTATAGTCACAGGTAGATTAATGACGGCGACAAGCGAATCTGCAACAGCCAGGTTTAAGATAAATACATTTGCTTTTGTTTGAAGGTTTCTTGTCGTACCAACAATATAAAACAAGCCAACATTTGCACAAAGTGCTGCTATGAATACAATCACCAATACTACCGTTTCAAGAATCGTCCACGCTGTCGCCGCCATATAGTTGTTTAGAGCAACTGTAGGAAGGAAACTGTAGGTTTTGTCCACTTTAAGACACTACACTGTTAAAACAATGAAGAAACGATTGATATTGGGAGCTGTATACATAATGAGATATTGGATTGGTAAGATTTCCAAACAAATTTTATTCTCCTTTGACTACATGTCGATCCCAACAAAAAGTTCACTATGAAGTACCTATATATACACTATACTGGTGAACTTTATTAAAAAAGTGCACCATGAAGTACCTATATATACACTACACTGGTGAACTATATTAAAAAAGTTCACCATGAAGTACCTATATATTCACTACACTGGTGAACTATATCAAAAAAGTTCACCATAAAGTACCTATATATACACTATACTGGTGAACTATATTAAAAAAGTTCACCATGAAGCTAAGTACCTATATATACACTACACTGGTGAACTACATTAAAAAAGTGCACCATGAAGTATCCATATAAACACTACACTGGGGAACTACATTAAAAAAGTGCACCATGAAGTACCTATGTATACACTACACTGGTGAACTATATTAGTTAACCATATAGCAAAATTTTAACATATTACGATCTTGATAGTCGCGTGTCATTCATACAGGATAATTTGGCTTGATAGATTATGAAATAGACGTATTTTCATTATTAACGCGGTGCATGCGCAGTAGATTGTGATCTAAGTAATCATGCCACTGTAAACATTACAACCTCGTCGTTTTTTAGATGCAGTAAATAAAATTCCGTAAATTCAAAGACCTAAATTCTTTGCCAAGGCTTTCTTATATACAACTCCTAATGTCACTTATTACTTTATTGCTTTAACAGTGTGGTGTATAAGAGTGGGCAAAACCAATTACAACCAATTATAAACGCTGGTTTTCATTCCTTAGAGTTGTTCAATGCAACTATGGCGACAGCAGCGTGGACGATTTTTGAAACAATTGTTTTGGTCATTGTATTCAAGGCAGCAATTTGTGCCAATGTTATAGCCTGTTCTATATTGTTGGCAGCTACGATTGGGAACCATGCTCATCTTAAACCCGACTGTTGCAGATTTACTTGTCGTCACGCCACCTTTAATCTCCCTGTGACTATATAGTCACTGTTTTTGCCCAAGACTGCGTGCTTGGTAAGTCAAAAGAGGTAAAATTTGTTTTTTGAATTATACGAACGCAATATTCGAAAGGACTTAGTCGAACTTATTATAGCAATGAAATTATCATTAGCCATGAAATAAGCACAAACTCAAAGTAATATAACAATAGAAGCGACATACAAAAACTGGCACCTGCTTAATGACAGAAAAGTCTAAACTCTACTGACCTGTTAACTCGTTTTTCACTTTGAAAAACCGTCTGACACAAACAACGTTATCGTCTGACGCAAAAACTTTAAAATGTTTTATGGAAAAAGTCAAAAGTATTCCCAAGATAGTTAAAGTTAATGTCACAACGCATATTGGCCGGCAATTATAATCGACTAACGCCTCATCTTGCAGCCGAGCATTTCATCACGTGACACAAAACTGATTGGTTTCTTGGCATGCATCGCGTGGACTTTTTCTGAAAAGTCCTATATTGCACTCGGCATGAACATAAAACAGTTTTTTTATAATAACTATGCAAAAAAGGACATCAAAGTGTAATCATATTCTCTGACAAAATTTATCAGTTCGGACTTTATCATCGCAGCAATCGTTTGTCTGTCAATCAAAATCATATAATCACACTATTATTATCAGGTGTGCGAAAAGTAGACAATAAGGTTATCCCTGTATAAATTATCTCCCAAAAATAAAGTTGATAAAGTTTTCAACCTAAGTTCGTACTTTTCACTTTATAAAGAGAAATATACAATATTATTTACATGAGCAGCATTTAAAAGTTTAAAATGAAAAAAAAATTGAGTTTTGTGTGAATGAAGATGGTTAGGCTTTTAATTCAGCACCATGTCTAGGAGATCATACCAAAGTTCAAAGGAATCAACATTTTAAATTATATAGCAGCGATTTGTTCTTAGACTACGTTCAAAGAATACCGATACTAAACTCTACCGGTAGATTTTCATAACGTTTTGGACTGTTCACACAATGCCGTTAGAGTGTTGTTCCGTTTTGATGTTGTGTTCACACTGCACCGGATCGACGCCGGCTTTCAATTTATTTGAGTTGTATTTATTTGAAGTCTACCTATAATTGCTTACCATATCAACACGTCATTTTTACCAGAGAAAAAACGTTTCGCTGAACTGTAATGAAACTCTTACGGTTAGGTGTTCACACGTAACGGAAACGGCATAGTTTTATACCGTTTTCAAACTATTACGGTTAGTTTTAGGGTTTCATACTTTTTCATACTGACGTCAGGTGAACATTACCCCAAACCGTAAGTGTTTTCCATCGTTTTCAAACTATTACGGTTAGTTTTAGGGTTTCATACTTTCTCATACCGACGTCGGGTGAACATTACCCCAAACCGTAAGTGTTTTCCATCGTTTTCTAACTATTACGGTTAGTTTTAAGGTTTCATACTTTTTCATACCGACGTCGGGTGAACATTACCCCAAACCGTAAGTGTTTTCCATCGTTTTCAAACTATTACGGTTAGTTTTAGGGTTTCTTACTTTTTCTTACCGACGTCGGGTGAACATTACCCCAAACCGTAAGTGTTTTCCGTCGTTTTCAAAGTCTACCGGTATCGTCTAAACGGGGTCTTAAAAGCCTAAAATGAGTTGCAAATTTGAAAAATGTTGATAGTAATGACTCTAAGCCAATTCTTAAATTGTGCATTGTTTAGTAGCACTCTATTAAAGATAGCACACGTGATAAGTCGTTTTTTCTCCATGCAGTGAGGGCCATTACAGCAAACTTAAACGCCCGTATTTTGTTTAAAGCTCTCACTCGTTCACGCTCATTGAGTAGGGCAGGTACGATTATTCGAAAACGGTATTCTCACACAACTGTAATAGCTTGATTTGAAGTAGTTCAGTGAAAATTTTGCCATTGATGGTGAAATGACTTTGCCATTGACTAGAGAGGAGCTTTTAGGTCATTTTTAGAATACGTGCGTTAATTTTTCGGCATGTGTAGTTCATTGCGTTTTCTTAGGGAATATTTAGAAGCCGTTCTTTGTAGTTTTTCTAATGCAAGAGTACCTTTCTTTAGATGGGGAGACTAAACTGGAGCAAAATATTCAAAAAGAAAACGACAAAACAGCACCTTCTGGCCATCCTGACACTCGCCCATTTCCAAATGGTTCCCTGGTAACCACATGCTGTAATCTCTTCGTCAGAAAATGTTTCAGCCAATTGTCATAAGCAAATTGCGTTCAACATTGCAAAAGCTTTAGACGGGTCCATAAATAAAACATCCAACCTTTTCTATTCCAATTCTCTTTTGCCCAACCGTGAAATGCATTGCAATTGAAAAAGGCAAGACCTTTCTTTCATAAATGAAAGTAGAAAAAATAAAGCCTTTATCAAACGCTGTCTCTTGATCTTTTCAGCGAAGAAATAGCACTCGAACCATTCTTCAAAATAATATTATACAGTTATTTCTTTTCGAGTTTGCGTCTTCCGTTGACTATAGAATGACTTCAACTTTATTCTCAAACTGAAACTTCTTCCGTTGACTATAGAATGACTTCATTTTCCTACTTTATTCTCAAACTGAAATGTTTGCTTCTTCCATTGACTATAGAATGACTTTATTTTCCTACTTTATTCTCAAACTGAAATGTTTGCTTCTTCCGTTGACTATAGAATGACTTCATTTTCCCTACTTTATTCTCAAACTGAAACGTTTGTTTCTTCCATTGACTATAGAATGACTTCATTTTCCTACTTTATTCTCAAAATTGAAACGTTTGCTTCTTCCATTGACTATAGATTGACTTAATTCTCCCTACTTTATTCTCAAACTGAACGTTTGCTTCTTCCATTGACTATAGGATGACTTCATTTTCTACTTCTGAAATTTCCATTGACTATAGAATGACTTCATTTTCCTACTTTATTCTCAAACTGAAATGTTTGTTTCTTCCATTGACTATAGGATGACTTCATTTTCCCTACTTTACTCAAACTGAAATGTTTGTTTTTCCATTGACTATAGAATGACTTCATTTTCCCTACTTTATTCTCAAAACTGAAATTTCCATTGACTATAGGATGACTTCATTTTCCATTTTATTCTCAAACTGAAATGTTTGCTTCTTCCATTGACTATAGAATGACTTCATTTTCCCTACTTTATTCTCAAAACTGAAATGTTTGCTTCTTCCGTTGACTATAGAATGACTTCATTTTCCCTACTTTATTCTCAAAACTGAAACGTTTGCTTCATCCATTGACTATAGATTGACTTCATTTTCCCTACTTTATTCTCAAAACTGAAATGTTTGCTTCATCCATTGACTATAGGATGACTTCATTTTCCCTACTTTATTCTCAAAACTGAAATGTTTGCTTCTTCCATTGACTATAGAATGACTTCATTTTCCCTACTTTATTCTCAAAACTGAAATGTTTGCTTCTTCCATTGACTATAGGATGACTTCATTTTCCTACTTTATTCTCAAAACTGAAATGTTTGCTTCTTCCATTGACTATAGAATGACTTCATTTTCCCTACTTTATTCTCAAAACTGAAATGTTTGCTTCTTCCGTTGACTATAGAATGACTTCATTTTCCTACTTTATTCTCAAAACTGAAACGTTTGCTTCATCCATTGACTATAGATTGACTTCATTTTCCCTACTTTATTCTCAAAACTGAAACGTTTGCTTCTTCCATTGACTATAGAATGACTTAATTTTCCCTACTTTATTCTCAAAACTGAAACGTTTGCTTCTTCCATTGACTATAGAATGACTTCATTTTCCATACTTTAGTCTCAAAACTGAAAATCAACGCTTATGAGGATATGAATACAATACAATGCAAAACGTATCGTTTGTTCTTCTCAGGGAAGACAAAACAATAAAATGAAGATTTTGAAGTCGTGACGCGAAAGTCACGAACTTTTTAATGTTTGGATCAATTCAATAACACAACATCATTTGTTCTAGAAACTTTGTAGTAAATCATTTGTTCTAGAAACTTTGTAGTAAATCATTTGTTCTAGAAACTTTGTAGTAAATCATTTGTTCTAGAAACTTTGTAGTAAATCATTTGTTCTAGAAACTTTGTAGTAAATCATTTGTTCTAGAAACTTTGTAGTAAATCATTTGTTCTAGAAACTTTGTAGTAAATCATTTGTTCTAGAAACTTTGTAGTAAATCATTTGTTCTAGAAACTTTGTAGTAAAAGTTTTTTTTACCTTTTACAGTATTTATAACCGAGCACGAACTAAACAAAGCTTTTTCGTGTTCTTCCAAATTTTTCTTCCATAAAAGTTTTATTAAAATTCATCTTATGCGACCATCTACAGTATAATATTTCTCATACATTATTACGACAACCACGACATATTTCAGTATTAATGTTAGTGTCGTAATTTTTTATAACATAAAACTGAAACTAAAGCACTAAAACCTCAGGTTCTAGCTACTTTGTTTTGAAACAAATTGAATTATATATCTCCTCACAATTTACAGTTCACATTATCGTTTTGTATTTTCTTTAAAGTTTCCAGAACTCTCCCAATTCCTGTAACAGATTAAACAAAGCTCGTTTTAACGAACGGTCTACATTTAACATTACTTTGACCAAGCAATAAACACACATTTAAATCGTGCATAGGATAAAAACCTCCAAAGCGTTATGCTCTGCGTTTTATATGCACTAGTGCAGCCATCCAGCAGGAAAGTTTTGTTGGGTTTTTGTAAATTTCACAATAGCATGATTTATATTTCTTTAAAAATCTACTGTTTCTACATTGAGTGTTGAGTAACAACGAAAAATTTTTATAAAATAAAATAAGCAAAACGCGAGCCCTGATTGGTCGGTGAAAATCCAACTAATAGCTATACTGGCCGAAAATTTTCACATCTTATATGAAATTCAATAGAAAATACTTAATGAAGCTGCAGGAAATTTTAAGATCTTGAATCAAAAAATATAAAAATTCATTTAAAATCCTATCAAGAATAGCTATCTTAAAATAATAATAATCCCACAATAACGCAAAAGAAAATTCAAGATTTGTAAAAATAAGGCCTTATTGAAAGTGCTCTACATACATACGTATGGTCAGTGTCGTCGCCAGCTCGATAAGCGAAGGCGATTTTATTCATATTTGCATAATTTTCTGCACTACGTAATTTTTATGTCACTTGTTTTTTAGAGACTTAAACATGCATATATGAATATTGTCCACCTACATATCAAGCCGGCGACGCCACTGAGTATAGTATCCACTGAGTATAGTATTTTCATGTCACTTGTTTTTTTAGAGACTTAAACATGCATATATGAATATTGTCCACCTACATATCAAGCTGGCGACGCCACTGAGTATAGTATCCTACATGCGAACAACGTATTTCTAATTTAAGATCTTTGCACGCCAAACATAGAAACACTTTTTCATTTCCTTTCTCGAGGTAAATCATGGATACTTAAGTTCAACGTGCGAGTCAAAGTGTTAAACATGTTGCCAGATTGACACGAGTAAATCATGGATACTTAAGTTCAACGTGCGAGTCAAAGTGTTAAACATGTTGCTAGATTGACACGAGTAAATCATGGATACTTAAGTTCAACGTGCGAGTCAAAGTGTTAAACATGTTGCTAGATTGACACGAGTAAATCATGGATACTTAAGTTCAACGTGCGAGTCAAAGTGTTAAACATGTTGCTAGATTGACACACGTATAATTAAACGTGTGTATTTGAGAGTGAAACATTATGTATGATTTAAAAAAAAAACATTTAAATATACTCCACCACTGAAATGAATCGCAAGAGAAGAGATGCATTTAATCTGACCGAGAATGAGTAAAGTGGCGTGTAAGTCTTATTTGCGTTGCTCTTTTGATTATACGCATTATAACACGTACCTTTCCTGATCACGCATTATAACACGTACCCTTCCTGATCACGCATTATAACACGTACCCTTCCTGATCACGAATTATAACACGTACCCCTCCTGATCACGCATTATAACACGGACCTTTCCTGATCACGCATTATAACACGTACCCTTCCTGATCACGCATTATAACACGTACCCTTCCTGATCACGCATTATAACACGCACCTTTCCTGATCACGCATTATAACACGCACCTTTCCTGATCACGCATTATAACACGTACCTTCCTGATCACGCATTATAACACGTACCCTTCCTGATCACGCATTATAACACGTACCTTCCTGATCACGCATTATAACACGTACCTTTCCTGATCACGCATTATAACACGTACCTTTCCTGATCACGCATTATAACACGTACCCTTCCTGATCACGCATTATAACACGTACCTTCCTGATCACGCATTATAACACGTACCTTTCCTGATCACGCATTATAACACGTACCTTTCCTGATCATGCCAAGATCACTAGCAAAACTACCCGAAACCAACCAGGTTCCACATTTGAACAAACTGCCCGCATTTATGTAAACACCATTCTCCATCATCAATTCGGCAACGTATTTCTCCCTTTCGAAAGTCAATGGTTTTAGATATTCACGTAGATCAATCCATATATAGAGACCAGAGCAGCTAGGCAACATAGGTATATTTAGCGTTTTCAACGCCGTTGTGACGACAGCGTGGCATTGTCGAAGTCGCTTTATATTTGTTGGAATTAAGACATTATCCAGCCAATCTAGTTTACGGTAACAAAAACACATGATAGTGAATTACAGAGTCAATTGAACTTAAGTGAGAATAGGATAGCACGAGCATAGAATTACGTTATTTTAAGTTGTTTGGGGGAACATGAGACAACACAACTTAGAAACGAATTACATGAAATTATGATGACAGGAGCTCAGAATAAGGTGAACTTAGGATTATAGCCGAGCTTAGATGAAATTAGGATAATACATGCTAAGAATAAGGTGAACTTAGGATTATAGAGAGTTAGATGGAATTAGGATAATACATGCTAAGAATAAGGTGAACTTAGAATTATAGAGAGTTAGATGGAATTAGGATAATACATGCTAAGAATAAGGTGAACTTAGGATTATAGAGAGTTAGATGGAATTAGGATAATACATGCTAAGAAAAGGTGAACTTAGGATTATAGAGAGTTAGGTGGAATTAGGATAATACATGCTAAGAATAAGGTGAACTTAGAATTATAGCCGAGCTTAGATGAAATTAGGATAATACATGCTAAGAATAAGGTGAACTTTGGATTACAAGAGCTTAGAATTTCATAAACTTAGGACAACACGAGCTTAAAATTATGCGAACTTAGAATTGCACGAGCTCAGAATTAGGTGCACTTAGGATTACACCAGCTTAACATTATGTGAATCTAAGTATACGATTTCACGAGCTTAGAATCGAGCTCAAGATTTAAAGCAGCTTAGGATTAAAGAAGCTTAGAGTTAGGTGAACTTAGAGACTGCAAAACCGTCAAGGACAGTTATTTTGAAGAAAGTACGTAGCTACGTATGTGCAAATGAAGGTGCAAGAAGAATTAAACAGTTACTCACCATAATCTGATATCATATGATTGAGCATTTCCTATCGGAAAAGAATGGGAATAACACGTGAGATCCTTATTAAAATGAAGGATCGTTATTACTACATGGTATCCTAACCTAACACCGATTACCACGTAAAAAACCTGTTCTCAATCATTTTGTATTGGACAATGTGGGTGATTTGTTGACTAATTTTCAAAGTGACAAATATTTTTTTAGTTTGTTGTCAAGAGTACCACGTTAAGAAGAGGTACGCAATGCGTACGTGTGGGTGTACATTTTCAAAAAGTGCAACGGTACAAAACATAAGTACTGTACGTACCTGAATGTAAAGGGGAGTAGAATAAAATATTGCGATATTTGTTAATGATGCCAAAATGTCTTTATTCCGAGAATACATGACAGCAACTCGGATTCCCGAGAGACCAAAGTCCTGAAAACAGAAATACACTCAACATGTTCATATTCAAAAAGTTCATTTGCCTTTCCAGGCTGCATAGCGGATGTACAAAAAAACTTAACTGTTAGGAAAACGTTGCTAAATTCATCAGCGCGCAAGAATTGAAAAATGATTCGTGGGAAAAGGTAAAACGACTTCTAGCGGTCCAGTTTGAGCTTAAATTTATAGCTTAAATTAATGCAAAAATGATTGATTTACGTATAAAAGTTTTAAAGAGTGACATTTAAAAGAAAAAGAAAAAATAATCTGAAATTTGGATGCCAAGCATTCTGCCTTTTCGACTTACGCAATATTCGAGTTAAGCTAACACATGTTTACAGGGGGGACAGAAGGAGCATAAAAGTGGGGAGGGAGCATATTTTAAAAATTATGAGTACCAATCCACAACATGTTCCTAAGTAAACGCCATTTTGAATTTAGCAACGCCCGTCGCCCAATCGTAAATGTAATCAACTAATGAAATGGAAGAATTACAAAAGGTTCCTGCGTGATTCCGTAGAAGTCCGCTCTGCTACATTGTAGAGACATACGTTTTATAGTCAAAACAGAATATCAGCAAACATTCTCTTTCTTTAACATTCTCATTCCCTTTAAAATATTTCTATTTTAGTGCAAAGTGGGTGCACCACCCCCTTCTAAGAAATGTGTGGGGCTTAGCCCATTCCCCCGCTTCCAATACAAAACGTTGTACCTTACTAAATCCCCAAATGATATGCAAACGATGAGGATCAAGAGATCTATAACAAAAATAGCAATAGCAGTTTTATATCAAATAGCACAGTTTTAGAAAAAAATTGAAACTTGTTTTACCGCATAGACGAAATGCAAGTCGAATCGCACCTTAAATACGAGGGAATTTAAGAAAAAAAGGCAATTCGTACTTCGCCGAATACAATAAAAAAGTCTTCCCTCACAAATGCAAAAAATATCGGTCACGTACGTATGAATATTGCATAAAAGCCCGTGATAGCGTTTACAGTAGTTGCTTGTAGTATGATGAACAATGAAAAAATATTTTAATTATGAGTTATTTAGCTCTTCAAGTATTTAGACAGCATGAGTGTTGGTAACCAATATTTTCAGTGTGAGGCATAACATAATACCGAAGTGGTAAATCGTAACTCAATAAATCTTGATAAAAATCAGCTCAAGCATCGAAAAAGTTGATAATTCACAAGGCAATGAATGGCCTACCCTTTTACAGAAACTGCAGACGTCATATTAACACCTTCTTCGAAAATCGACAAACAGTAAAGTTCATCCGAAATAAGATGCAAGGAGTGACTACATAACAAATATAAAATGGTGTTAACATACGTACAGTAAACGAATCACGAAATGGATTGATTCTAAGTTACACAAGACCAAGTACGTACCACATACATTACATTAGCGAGTTTTAGCAGAGCCTACGAGTACGACTACGAGTACGATTTACGTCATTTTGGCGCGAAAACATTGTTGCGACAACAAAAACACGTAGCCGTCATCAATCTGAGTACGATGTTTTGTAAAAAATTCGTAGTCGCGACTACGATGTCTTTTTAAGCAAAGAAAGTAGGTATATTTCTTCATTATGTAAGAAATTATTTTACAGTACTATTTTCGAGCATCCAGGCTTTAATTTAGAACCCTTTTTGAGCGCAGATGTACATTAAAAAGGAAAATATGACCTACAAAACTTTCATGTATTTCGCACGCAAAGTGAAAGGTAAACAAACAATAAAATAGTACAAATATATCGTACATAAAACTTAAAATAGTGAAGATTTTTCAGTCTAAAGAGTCCTATATTCTTGCAACACCAGTATTATCGATTCTTTGATATCATTGTTGACAAATAGAGCCGTAGCTGCTTCGCAAACGTCGGTGTTTTACACAATAAAAAGGCTCGTTCTGTTTTTTACAACTAAAGCAAAATTTTGACGAAGCGACAACGACAACAAACTTCCTCGTGCCATTCCCTTACACGGTCGAATTTCGTACTCGTTCTCGTAGTCGTACTCTTGCTAAAACTCCCTAGTATCACATCGCAGAAACTAAATGCAAGTTACTTAAAAGAATATAGCACTGGGACCGAGTCCATTTAAAACAAGACCACATACATTACATTATCACATTGCAGAAACTAAATGCAAATTACTTAAAAGAACACAGCACTGGGACAGAGTCCATTTAAAACAAGACGACATAAGTAGCTATCACAGACAATAAGACCACAGAATAATGATTATACAGAAGGGTCACTCAGGTGTACAACGTGTCCTCATGTCGGCCATTATTCCAGCCGGATGATTAGGATTTCTCACTTGTTTCCAACCATTAAAATTACACCACGTCGATACTTAATAATGAATTCAAGTATATTTTGAGTTAAGAAATGACTTCGGATCATTTTAAAGGCTTGGAAAAAGTCAAAACCCCTAATCATCTGGCTGGAATAATGGCGGCCACCATGCGCGGGCACGACATGCGCGAGGATAAAAACATCAAAGGTTCCGACACGAGTGACCCTTCTGTATGTTCTTATTCTGTGCTAAGACATGCAAAACTAGAAAATATATCATAAGGACTTAGTCCACGCAAAACAAGAAAAAAAATCAATACAAAAGGAGAAAACAATACAACGTATAAAATAACAATACAATACAACAACAGAGCAATACAAAAAACAATACATGAATAATAATACAACAATAATACAACAAAAACAATAACAATACAACAATAATACAACAAAAACAATAACAATACGACAATAAAACAATAACAATACAGCAATACACAACAACAATACAAATAACAATTCAAAAACACGAAATGAGAAAACATATTACAGTGACTGGGTCCATACAAAACAAGAAAACATATCTTAAAGCTAAGGGAGACGAAGTTTTTGTAGAGTGCCGTTTGTTTTACATTGGGTTGCACGATAGGCTTGAGTTACTCAATACACTACTAATTTCTGTGCACCATTGAAAATCAATAAGAATTTTCTTTACCGCTGTGTAAATTCGAGACAAGCTAGAACTTGTTTTTCTGTGTACACAGTACCCAAAGGATTGTTGGGATTGCAAATGAGAAGTCCACGAACGGTGAGACCCTAAAATCAAAGCAAACGCTTGGTGATCGGTGAAATAATTGCCCCAAAACAATATCTCTTGTCATGATAAACTGACAATAGCATTAACTTTTCAAAAGTAATATGTAGTTTTTAAGTTACTCGTAGTATAAGACTAACTTTTCAAAAGTAGTATGTAGTTTTTAAGTTACTCGTAGTATAAGACTAACTTTTCGAAAGTAATATGTAGTTTTTAAGTTACTCGTAGTATAAGACCAGACCTCTTTACAATATGCACGGCACAGGATGGCAAATTCTTTCATTACGTAAGTTGAACAATTACCTGCTTCTTTGCCTTAGCAAGAGCATTTTCCAAGTCATCCATTGTAAGTTCAAATGGCATTTTAGTCTCAGGATCAGGCTGCAGAAGATAATTGCAAAGATGATTCAAAAACTTTACGTCATAATCATTTCCCCAATATTTGAAGGGCCATGTACATACGAAGTGCATTTCTAAAAGGCCTTTGGGGCACATTGACTACTTTCAAATTCTACAAACTTGAACTGCTACCTTCAATATCCGTAGATGTTCTTAGCTAGAATCTTCATGAAAATTTAATGGAGTGCAATACGATGGGCGTACGGGCCAACATTTTTTTAAGGGCGGTTCGTACATTTTGAATCTTAAATGACCTAATTTACACAACTTTTCTGCAAATAATGCCTGACTGCCTTTGTCTGCGTAAGATTTTGAGGGTGCTGTGACCACCCGCCCCACTCCGCCTCCCCACCTAATACGCCTATGTCCAATAAGTAGGAAGGTTAGGGGTGTTTAGTGACATTTTCAACAAAAAGAGATGAAATAAGATTGAAACAGAAATTGAAATGCAGAAAAACGAATATATATTTGATTTAAATATGTAAGTGAACAAGAAATTCCTGTATTTGACCTCAGTTTTGTCGTTAGGAAACCATAGGCAGTAACATAAGAAGACTTAACAAGGTGTTTATTATACGTATAAATTTGTTACCTCACTTGACAAATAAACAGGAAATAGTACAATTTCATTTTCAAGGCAAACATCTTCATCAAATCCTCCATAGTAAGGCGTAGGAATAAGAATCGCCTCTAAAATGAACAATTATAATACTTTACGTATAACACTGTAATAACTGAAATTCTGTTAGTCACAAACAATACACACTGACAGACTTTATATGACAAATATAAACAAACTAAAGTATTTGCTACGTAATGCCAACCTTTTCGATCGCAAATGGAAGCACAAACAGTTTTAACCAAAGAAGCAGCACCGTTAAAAACAGTTATCTACATAAAGAATACGAAAAATGAATTTCCACAACTCTGTACTTTGCACAGTATGTTAAATGACTGTTTCTTAAAATGGAAGCACAAACAGTTTTAACCAAAGAAGCAGCACCGTTAAAAACTGTTATCTACATAAAGAATACGAAAAATGAATTTCCACAACTCTGTACTTTGCACAGTATGTTAAATGACTGTTTCTTAGAATGGAAGCACAGACAGTTTTAACCAAAGAAGCAGCACCGTTAAAAACTGTTATCTACATAAAGAATACGAAAAATGAATTTCCGCAACTCTGTCCTTTGCACAATATGTTAAATGACTGTTTTTAAAATGGAAGCACAGACAGTTTTAACCAAAGAAGCACAAGAAGCACTTGCTTTTAAAGGACTAGAATCAGTCCAAGACATGAAAAATCAAAGATATTCATCAACAAAACAATAACAGTTAATAGTAATATGCCTACAGGAATTACAGTATAAATTAGCGGGGATACTTTATTAAATGCTAGTTGCAAACCCATACAACAAGTAGCTCAAACAAATTCATAAATTACATGTTTTCCGATGCATGCATAGACGTCAGAAAGCTTGAGGTAACTTTTTAAACATTAAACATTACTGCACATACATAAGCATGACTGCATGAGTATGTCCAGAGGCGACCATCCTCGAAAAAACTGAATGACTTTACATTACGAGACCGACTTTCGTCGTGTCTCTATTTCATAAAGAATCCTAAAATTTTAACACGACCGACTTTCTTCGTGCCCCATCAATTCATTTATGGATCATATTTTGTACATGATTCACAAAAGCTGAGGGTGTCAATAACTCCCATCATGTGCTCCCTGTGCAACCGACCTAAATAGCTATACAGTCATAGCTACAGACATAAGTTTTATTGAACAAAAGTATGGAAAGATTAGGAACACTTTGCAAAAATGCATGTGCATGAAGTCATTCCTGCACGAAAACGGACATGCAAGCTTTGATTTAAAATAGAAAATAACCCAAGTTTACGCATCTAAGTGGCGGATTTTTTCTGGAATTTTTATATTTTGTAAACCAAGACCCAAAAGTTCACCCGATCAAAACAAAATTGAATTTTATTGCTTCATTCCTGCTTGTACGTACAAGCCGTTCAAAATGTGGTTTCTTACTCATGTGATACGAAAACGATACGCGTATGATACGAGAAAGATACGCGTATGATACGAGAACGATATGCGTATGATACGAGAACGATACGCGTATGATACGCGAACGATACGTGTATGATACGAGAACGATACGCGTATGATACGAGAACGATACGCGTATGATACGAGAACGATATGCGTATGATACGAGAACGATACGCGTATGATACGAGAATGATACGCGTATGATACGAGAACGATACGTGTATGATACGAGAACGATACGCGTATGATACGAGAACGATACGCGTATGATACGAGAACGACACGTGTATGATACGAGAACGATACGTGTATGATACGAGAACGATACGCGTATGATACGAGAACGATACGCGTATGATACGAGAACGATACGTGTATGATACGAGAACGATACGCGTATGATAGGAGAACGATACGCGTATGATACGAGAACGATAAGCGTATGATATGAGAACGATACGCTTATGATACGAGAACGATATGCGTATGATACGAGAACGATACGCGTATGATACGCGTATCATACGCAAAATTATGTTAACAAATACGCGAGCGGTACTGTAGCTTCAATTTCTCAACTGTGGCAATTTTCAAAAGTCAGCATGCACTCGCTATACATACATGATTAGGATCAATTTCTCAACTGTGGCAACTTTAAAAAGTCTGCATGCACTCGCTATACATACATGATTAGGATCAATTTCTCAACTGTTGAAATTTTAAAAAGTCTGCATGCACTCGCTATACATACATGATTAGGATCAATTTCTCAACTGTAGCAACTTTAAAAAGTCTGCACGCACTCGCTATACATACATGATTAGGATCAATTTCTCAACTGTGGCAATTTTCAAAAGTCAGCATGCACTCGCTATACATACATGATTAGGATCAATTTCTCAACTGTGGCAACTTTAAAAAGTCGGCTTGCACTCGCTATACATACATGATTAGGATCAATTTCTCAACTGTGATAACTTTAAAAAGTCTGCATGCACTCGCTATACATACATGATTAGGATCAATTTCTCAACTGTTGAAATTTTAAAAGTCTGCATGCACTCGCTATACATACATGATTAGGATCAATTTCTCAACTGTAGCAACTTTAAAAAGTCTGCACGCACTCGCTATACATACATGATTAGGATCAATTTCTCAACTGTAGCAACTTTAAAAAGTCTGCAAGCACTCGCTATACATACATGATTAGGATCAATTTCTCAACTGTGGCATTTTTAAAAAGTCTGCATGCACTCGCTATACATACATGATTAGGATCAATTTCTCAACTGTGGCAACTTTAAAAAGTCTGCATGCACTCGCTATACATACATGATTAGGATCAATTTCTCAACTGTGGCAACTTTATAAGGTCTGCATGCATTCGCTATACATACATGATTAGGATCGATTTCTCAACTGTGGCAACTTTAAAAGGTCTGCATGCATTCGCTATACATACATGATTAGGATCAATTTCTCAACTGTGGCAACTTTAAAGGTCTGCATGCATTCGCTATACATACATGATTAGGATCAATTTCTCAACTGTGGCAACTTTAAAGGTCTGCATGCATTCGCTATACATACATGATTAGGATCAATTTCTCAACTATGGCAACTTTAAAAGTCTGCAGGTACTCGCTATACATACATGATTAGGATCAATTTCTCAACTGTGGCAACTTTAAAAGTCTGCATGCACTCGCTATACATACATGATTAGGATCAATTTCTCAACTGTGGCAACTTTAAAAGGTCTGCATGCATTCGCTATACATACATGATTAGGATCAATTTCTCAACTGTGGCAACTTTAAAAAGTCTGCATGCACTCGCTATACATACATGATTAGGATCAATTTCTCAACTGTGGCATTTTTAAAAAGTCTGCAAGCATTCGCTATACATACATGATTAGGATCAATTTCTCAACTATGGCAACTTTAAAAAGTCTGCAGGTACTCGCTATACATACATGATTAGGATCAATTTCTCAACTGTGGCAACTTTAAAAAGTCTGCATGCACTCGCTATACATACATGATTAGGATCAATTTCTCAACTGTGGCAACTTTAAAAGGTCTGCATGCATTCGCTATACATACATGATTAGGATCAATTTCTCAACTGTGGCAACTTTAAAAAGTCTGCATGCACTCGCTATACATACATGATTAGGATCAATTTCTCAACTGTGGCATTTTTAAAAAGTCTGCAAGCATTCGCTATACATACATGATTAGGATCAATTTCTCAACTGTGGCAACTTTAAAAGTCTGCATGCACTCGCTATACATACATGATTAGGATCAATTTCTCAACTGTGGCAACTTTAAAGGTCTGCAAGCATTCGCTATACATACATGATTAGGATCAATTTCTCAACTGTGGCAACTTTAAAGGTCTGCATGCATTCGCTATACATACATGATTAGGATCAATTTCTCAACTGTGGCAACTTTAAAAGGTCTGCATGCATTCGCTATACATACATGATTAGGATCGATTTCTCAACTGTGGCAACTTTAAAAGGTCTGCATGCATTCGCTATACATACATGATTAGGATCAATTTCTCAACTGTGGCAACTTTAAAAGGTCTGCATGCATTCGCTATACATACATGATTAGGATCAATTTCTCAACTGTGGCAACTTTAAAAGGTCTGCATGCATTCGCTATACATACATGATTAGGATCAATTTCTCAACTATGGCAACTTTAAAAAGTCTGCAGGTACTCGCTATACATACATGATTAGGATCAATTTCTCAACTGTGGCAACTTTAAAAAGTCTGCATGCACTCGCTATACATACATGATTAGGATCAATTTCTCAACTGTGGCAACTTTAAAAGTCTGCATGCACTCGCTATACATACATGATTAGGATCAATTTCTCAACTATGGCAACTTTAAAAGTCTGCATGCACTCGCTATACATACATGATTAGGATCAATTTCTCAACTGTGGCAACTTTAAAAGTCTGCATGCATTCGCTATACATACATGATTAGGATCAATTTCTCAACTGTGGCAATTTTAAAAAGTCTGCATGCACTCGCTATACTTACATGATTAGGATCAATTTCTCAACTGTGGCAACTTTAAAAGTCTGCATGCACTCGCTATACATACATGATTAGGATCAATTTCTCAACTGTGGCAACTTTAAAAAGTCTGCATGCACTCGCTATACATACATGATTAGGATCAATTTCTCAACTATGGCAACTTTAAAAAGTCTGCATGCACTCGCTATACATACATGATTAGGATCAATTTCTCAACTGTGGCAACTTTAAAAAGTCTGCATGCATTCGCTATACATACATGATTAGGATCAATTTCTCAACTGTGGCAATTTTAAAAAGTCTGCATGCATTCGCTATACATACATAATTAGGATCAATTTCTCAACTGTGGCAATTTTAAAAAGTCTGCATGCATTCGCTATACATCCATGATTAGGATCAATTTCTCAACTGTGGCAAAATTTTAAAAGTCTGCATGCATTCGCTATACATACATGATTAGGATCAATTTCTCAACTGTGGCAAAATTTTAAAAGTCTGCATGCATTCGCTATACATACATGATTAGGATCAATTTCTCAACTGTGGCAACTTTATAAGGTCTGCATGCATTCGCTATACATACATGATTAGGATCAATTTCTCAACTGTGGCAACTTTAAAAGGTCTGCATGCACTCGCTATACATACATGATTAAGATCAATTTCTCAACTGTAGCAACTTTAAAAGGTCTGCATGCACTCGCTATACATACATGATTAGGATCAATTTCTCAACTGTGACAACTTTAAAAAGTCTGCATGCACTCGCTATACATACATGATTAGGATCAATTCGTTCCAATGGTTTCATGTAGCGCTCGAAAAATGCCGCCAAACTTGTGCGAAATCTAAAAAAAACATAATTATAATTCTCATAAATTCAAAATTACTTTTACAACAGCATGTCATTGTTATTGCGGCAAATGTTCATGCTTTTGGGTCAACAGGTTTATCTCATTAAATTTAATTTTACTATAATTATGAGCGTGCTGACTAACATTTTTAGGGAGGCAATCTGTGAATTTCCAATCTTAAGTGTGATCTAGCAATAAGTTATTGTACTCAGCAAATAATGCCTGATTAACCTTAGCTGCCGAGCAGTATGGGTGGGGTGTTGGCTATCACACCCCTTGCATACTATGGCGATGATTATAATCAAACATGTACGTATGCCAATGAACATATTTTCAATGAAAAGGCCATTAAACAAAGACATTAAGTTCTTAAGGAGTTCATCAAAAGGAGTTACAACACTTTGCCACACTTTTATATTAACATGAAAGCAAGCCAAACTTGATGGTAGAAAAAGTTTTATGCTTACTGCAGGTTATAAAACAAAGATTAAAATATCTATAGAATAAGTACGTCCTGATGTATTAGGAATCACATTGTCTGACAACTTCCAACCAAATATTAAATAAAGGCAAATACGCGAAGCTCTGCTGAAATCTTCATCATCATTTTAAATGTTTATTCAAGTGCAAACCTTGTGGTGAGAATTTAAATGTACATTCAAGTGCAAACCTTGCGGTGAGAATTTCAATGTTTATTAAAGTGCAAACCTTGTGGTGAGAATTTAAATGTTTATTCAAATGCAAAACTTGTGGTGAGAATTTAAATGTTTATTCAAGTGCAAAACTTGTGGTGGGAATTTAAATGTACATTCAAGTGCAAACCTTGTGGTGAGAATTTCAATGTTTATTCAAGTGCAAACCTTGTGGTGAGAATTTAAATGTTTATTCAAGTGCAAAACTTGTGGTGAGAATTTAAATGTTTATTCAAGTGCAAACCTTGTGGTGAGAATTTAAATGTTTATTCAAGTGCAAACCTTGTGGTGAGAATTTAAATGTTTATTCAAGTGCAAAACTTGTGGTGAGAATTTAAATGTTTATTCAAGTGCAAACCTTGTGGTGAGAATTTAAATGTTTATTCAAGTGCAAACCTTGTGGTGAGAATTTAAATGTTGATTCAAGTGCAAAACTTGTGGTGAGAATTTAAATGTTGATTCAAGTGCAAAACTTGTGGTGAGAATTTAAATGTTTATTCAACTGTAAAACTTGTGGTGAGAATTTAAATGTTGATTCAAGTGCAAAACTTGTGGTGAGAATTTAAATGTTTATTCAAGTGCAAAACTTGTGGTGAGTATTTAAATGTTGATTCAAGTGCAAAACTTGTGGTGAGAAAAGCAATTCAATTTTTTATATAATATGTGAAATTTGATTTAGGATAGAATAGGCCATAAATATATATTCTCTCACTAACTACGCATAAAATTTCCTATCCAAAGTCACCTTTTCATCCCCTTAAAATCACCATAATGTGAATGTTCTTCTTTAAATGTGTTACATTCATTAAGCTAAATTATAAAATAAACACAATTAAATGCATGCACTGATTGGTCAAGAGCTGTGTTTGCAATAGCCTGTGCAAAAGGATCTGAGCTCAACCAATCAAATCAATCAATCAATCAAAGAGAATTTGCATATTAATCATGAATACATTTTAGAAGAATATTAAAACATTTTGTTTGTTTTGCATTATTGATGTTTTATAAAAAGAAATAAAAGATGTTTTTTGTGTTTGCACTGGCTCATGCAAACCTTGGAGACGTTTGTGAGAACTCTCAAGCTGGTGTAGCCCTCAACCTTCGGTCTCGGGCTTGCACTGATCTGCTCTCGAGTTCTTCCAAAGGTCTCCTCGGTTTGCATAAGCCTGTGCAAACACAGTGAACATCTTTTATTTCTAAATAAAGAGAGATATAATTTTATAATTGCATTCAAACAAAAAGAAAAATTAAGATGACATTTTGCTAATTGGCTGTTAGTGCAATGTTTTATTGTAAACAATTTTTAAAGAATTTTATCAAGCAATTCCAAAGCCATCAGCAAACAATCGGAATTCATATTCATGAAGCAATCGCTTTAACTTTCTGAAACATCTTCCTTTCTCATTAAAACATCCCATTAAAACTAATACATTTTTATGTAAGGAATTTGAAATCCAAAATCAAATATAAAAGAACATAATCTAAATTTCACTCTCTATTAGGGCAATGTATGACATGGCTTATACACTTCTGTCAAGGGAAGCCAAACCTGTAGCTCTTAGAACTGCATATAGTGTCTCGTGGAAATCAAAATGATTTAAGAATATGGTTGCTTTTGTGCATATAGATGTAAAACAAACCATTATTGTAGAAATGTGGCACACAAGCTTACTATGTACATATGAGATAGCAAGATATAAAAATTAAATGAAGATATGATCTTCACACTTTAATGGACAATTTAAGCAATTGTCTCATGAATTGACTCAACAGGAAGTCACCAGAATTTTTCAGGTTCATGAGACAATTGCTTCAATTGTCCATTAAAGTGCGAAGATCATATCTTCATTTAATTTCAAACACCGCACTGCATATAACAATCTTTCATAAGGTATAAAAATGTTGATAAATGATCCGATCATGAATACCTTTGCAGATACCAAGTCAGCTATTATCTTGTTTTCACTTGTACCCATGTTGATAATGCCCTGAAATAAACATCATACTTTATTAAAACAAGCACTAGGGAACTTGAACACTTTGAGCAATCTTAAAATAAAAACCATTTTATTAATCTAAGTTTGTGATTTCCACCTTCTATAGTCTGAAAAATTCATATCATACGTACTTCATAACGTACATTGTTCAAATTTGTTCACATACACAGCGTTCAAGCATGGGTTTCATGGAAATCAGCTTTGATTGACAAGGTGTGTACATTTCAAAATAAAAGTAACTTATGTATTCAAAATACACCTCTTGAGAGATGGGTTTTTTCATGTTCTACAACTATAGCAACATAGCATTGTCTTGACCAATGACTGTGCTATGCGGTTATAGGTTTGCAAGCCACGTGCAGTTAAGACCAACTTATACAGCTGGCTTTTTCTTGAAAATGCACTTTTAACTGAGTCAAGCATTTACATTTAGCCATTTCATTTGATTGAAATACCACGAATTGCATTGGTTTCAATCAGACAGAACCATTTTACGTAGATGCAAAATTTGTGTCAAATCACCAACAGAGTACAATGTCGATCAATTAAAAGAGTAATTGGTCAATTGAATACAATTGCATTTTATCTAACAATAACAATAACTTTACTTGAGGATTGTCTTTTTCATCATATTTGTTTCTTATATATCGAATCATGTAATGGAGCAGAAGAAAGTCAACATTTTTGTACGTTAAACATCTTTCAGAGACGTCACATGAAGTGCTCTTACCATCCGCCATTTTGTGAAAGAGCGTTGCTTGTGGCCTTGGTTTGGCACGTGGCCTTGACGGTTTGGCACGTGCCTTAATTTTCTCTCCCTCCCCCATGGAGACTGCAGGCAACGTGGTACCGTGGTACTGGCTTGCACTTGTTGGTAAAATAAAATAGTGACAAATAGATCAAATATAAGAGTGCTTTTATGCCCTGGTTTTATTGATGATTCACCAAAATTATGCAATATTAAAAGTAAAAAAGTCCAAAAAAACCAAGTTAGTAACGACACAAATTTTTTTACGAGGTAAGACGATAAAGGCCGAAGAAATCGACCAAATCAGCCTTGAAAAAGCCAACCTAAAAACAACAACCTTGGTACTGCGGCCAATATATTACATATGACTCCGCCGGGCGTGCATCTTTTTAAAGCATTAAAAGTAGTCAATTAACCCCCCTACAACAATTTGTATAATTATATTTCCTGGACCGTTCAATGATTATGTCTTGGGAAGCGCCAAAAAGAAAATGGGTAATTGGGGCTTTTCACCCGCTTCAAAAGATAGGTAAAGGAAGAATTGGAGTTGCTCTGAAATGGAGGTAAAAATAAAGTAAAGCGTCTTTTAACACATACGTTGCTATTAGCTGTTGCATCAAATAAATACGGTTGTCTGAAGCTATATCAAATATATATAGGGCATAGCTAGTCGGCAAGTTTGTTCATGCTATACAACTATTTTGGTATGTAAAAACTGACTGAAAAAACAATAAATAGTACCAATGTTAAAAATTTTACTTAGCCTCGCCGAACTTGCCTGCAGGCTCCGCCAAAATACGAGTATCCAAAAACAAAAAAAGGTAGCCACAAAGTTTCGGTATGATTTCACAGAAAACTTTAAAAATGTATCATCTGTTTTTATGTGATCGTGAATCAACTCAGTTAATGTTTATGATTAAGTCTCTTAAAATATCCTACCTTCTCGTTGTTATTTCTAGAATACGAATTACTGGAGTATTTCATAAAGAGTTCAACCAAAGCTGAGCCATGATATTTAAATCGCCAACCTCTTTCTGAAAGTGCAGTCAATTTTATTTTTTTGCTTTTAGAGGTCATCGTGAGATATTTTATGAAAGGCAACTATAGCACTACTTATGGCGAACGATATATGTAAAAGAAGGCTATCCACGTTCATTCATTGTGATATAAAAACGTGTGTGTATAGGAACACAAAGAAGGATTAAAATGCAATTTAAACAGCTGTATCTAATCATGTGGAGATATCGCCAAAAATTTGTATTTTTTCTAATTTTTGTTTAATTATACGAGAAGCCTGACTTCATTTCTAAGCTCAAATAGAAAGTAAGAACTTCTTTACAAAAAGCAAACATAATGGAAGCGTTATGAAAAGTGTTAAAACCAGCTGCTTGGCCTGTACCGTTTTCTGTACAATCTTATCAACGATTTGATCAAATCTTGTGGAAATATATGTAAGAAAACAGCACTGAACAGCTATAATACATGGAAGCCTACCTGTAATAGAAAAGCCTGAAAATTTTCTAAAGCCAAATTTGACCGAAATGAAAATTTAAGATACGCTGATATTTATAATGACAAGAAAGATGACGCTCAAAACAGGAATGATAATCATTTAACAGACGTTTACACCTGAGGAGTAGTCTACCGAAATGCGTCGTTTCTTCTAGCAGTAAAATAGTTCTTTTAGTATTGTTGCACTAATGTTCTTGGTATAAACAGTTCTTTTAAGAACTATTAAGAGATCATTTTTGTCATTCATTTGCGATTTTCAAAACAGTTTTTGGAAACATGTGGCTCAATCAAATTTTTGTTTGTGATTTAATTATCCCTCTAGCTTCATAAAATAATATTTGTGTTGACTAGACTACTTTCAATTCGTCAATAACACAAAAGCAAGTATTATAATCTGCACGAGGTTTGTAGCTAATATCCTCATTGATGTGTTCATCCACATGTGTTACAAAGCCCTTAATAACCGAGCGCGAGGTCTTTACGGAGAAATATCGGACCGAAGTTTTTTTGTACAGACCGAGCCCGTAAGGCGAGATTACACAAAATAGGCAAAAAGATCTTCAAAAAAAAAACAGAAGAAGATTGTAGCAGCTGTTCATGCATCTTGACTAGATGCATGATGATTACTGTGTCGAAGATTATATCGATAGTTTTGTATATTATATACAGACCACACACATTACTTTAATTTCCATAGCCACGCGGTGTTGCATAAGTCTATGTGTACAATAGCAAGCAGTCCCTCGAGCATAAAGGAAATAGTATATAATATAAATTACTGAAGTTTGTTCGTAGATTTTCGAATAAAACTTGTCATAATTTTGATTTTCTGAAAAAATTATGAAAGTACGTCGATAGCTACTAACGGCCTGCTGGGCATCATTTTGAAAGCTAAATCGTGTCGCTCGTCTTGAACTGTTCTTCATCTTGAGAGAAATAAAGAATCAAGAACCAATTTTTAGCATCTTCTGAGAACTTGGGATGCAATTAATTCAAATTTAATTAACATACGTTTACACGCAACGATTGGTCTGGCTGACAGTGACGCCATATTGGTTATACGTGTTTGGATTTGGAAAGTTGCCCGACTCGAAAAATCGGATAAAAATTTGTAGAAAATACTTGTCGAAATGTCGTCTGTCGACACGGAAAAAGAAAGTGTCGATGAAAGTGTTGTTGTTTTTATTGAAAAACCAAAAGCTGCAGAGATTCAGAAAAAGAAAAAAGTCAAGAGTATTTTCTGAAAAATAAATAGGGCAAATTTACCTCTATTTGCACTCAACCCACACCGATCTATATTTTATTTTCTTCTTTATTTTTTGAGGCAATAATGCATTGTTTACACACAGCAATTTGTCTTACACGACAAATTTTCCAATCATAGCAAGAATCACGTAGCTAGCTAATATGACGTCAGTGTCGGCCCGATAAAACGTACCTTTAATGACATTTTGTCGGTATAACAGTCGCAATTGAGCAATATCGAGTCAATTGTTTACATTTTTAATCAACCAATATTAATTATTTACATATTAATATTAGTTGGTTCAAAATTTCTGCCATCGTTGTTCTATTATAAGCACCTGCCCAAGAAACTATCGACCGAAAAAAGGCAGTTATTGCATTTACACTTAAACACTTACCCTGTAGACTGACCTAGGACAGTGTCCCAGGGACTATATTCAATGCTAGGCTTGAAAGTTTGATGCCTTGTGGTCCTAGGTCATGAAAACAAGCCCGTTTTGCAAACGTGACCTTAGTGTAAACAGATGGATTTAAATATTTTTTAGAAAAAAATACAATTAACTGAATAACTGTCGGAAGAGACCACTAAATTATTATTTAATTAAATTTAATTAATCAATGTTGTTGATGATCCAATATTTATGATTAAGTATGGGAAAAGCTTTCTTAATTTAAAAATGCCGTCTTGCATTTTAAAAAGCATTACTTGTTATGAAGCTTATTCGTCTTGTTGTCTTTAAACGTAATGGCTATAAAATGAAACTTTTAGTTCTCGAAATCAAAGCAAAACTGCAAAAGAATATTGAAACAGGAATGAACATAACAATATGAGTGATGTATGATCGTTTCTGTGACTAGAAGTTACTCATATTCAATGAAAATTTTGTTCTATTTTTTTGTTACTATGTTTCATGTGAAATGATAAACAGTAAAAAAATGGCTTTCTAAAATGGATTTAATATTAATGCATGCACAGTTTAAAAATTAACGTAAAGAGAGTTTCAAGATATAGTTCACAATTATTAGAAGATTGTCAAGCAACATTTTATACAAGCGACCTTTTTATGGATTTGCAACTGAACTAAAATTAGCCTAAGTTGAAGTCATACTCATATATTCAATAGGGGACAAGGGCACAAGGGTATCTTGTGAACATGTTAGCAGCCAGAAGAGTTGCCATCCTGTAAAGCATAGCCCTGCTATGTAAACTTCAGAACAATAAAATTATTTGCTTCTTTAGAAATCTATCTATTATTTTCACTGAAAGTGAACACAGAAAAATTGACATAGAAGGACTACGTATTCGGCTGGCTATGCCTCCATTGATAGCAGCATCAAGTGGTTTAGTCGTTCTTGTTTCATAATCAATCTGCATGAGGTTAATTTGTTCTTTATTATTAATTTATTGTTTTTAAAGCGATAAATTTTCTCTAGCATTAATTGCGGGCCTCTAATGTCAACGTGACACGCAACGCATGCATGTAGATACAGGTAATTACAATGTGCAACCGAGGAGTTAGGTTGCCCAAAAACAGGCCGTACAAATAATGAGTACATTATTATTATTTTGAAGATCATTGAATGCAAAATTAATTCATCACAGAAAGTAGATAAATTTATGTAAAGTAATTAGAATCATTGACGTACATGTTTTCATAACTGGAATGAAAATATTTAATGAAAATTTTGATCTTTGTGTTTGTAATGTTTCATTGGATGTCACAAACGACAACGTTTCTCACGTGGTCTTATAATTTCAAGGATGTCACAAACGACAACGTTTCTCACGTGGTCTTATAATTTCAAGGATAGTAACAACCGACAACGTTTCTCACGTGGTCTTATAATTTCAAGGATGTCACAAACGACAACGTTTCTCACGTGGTCTTATAATTTCAAGGATGTCACAAACGACAACGTTTCTCACGTGGTCTTATAATTTCAAGGATAGTAACAAACGACAACGTTTCTCACGTGGTCTTATAATTTCAAGGATGTCACAAACGACAACGTTTCTCACGTGGTCTTATAATTTTAAGGATGGTAACAAACGACAACGTTTCTCACGTGGTCTTATAATTTCAAGGATGGTAACTAACGACAACGTTTCTCACGTGGTCTTATAATTTCAAGGATAGTAACTAACGACAACGTTTCTCACGTGGTCTTATAATTTTAAGGATAGTAACTAACGAGAAAGTTTCAAGTTCAAAGAAATCTCTAGTTTTAAACAGATATGAAAAAATTTCAAGCATTGTTTTAAGAAGCAACATTTGCTAAGAGTTTACATAGATTAAAAATTAAACTAAATCAACTTTATTAAATCGCCATGATTAATGTATATTCAAACGTGCGTTGTTCATTTTATATTGAATACATTTATATCAAAATAAACACAGCTGTAGCTACAAGCATAATATATTCTAAGATGCAGTAACTATATTACTGCAGTATTGCAGAATTTCCCAAAGTGCTGTTGTTCTTCATGAAAGATGGTCGCACACCTTTTTGCTTTTTTTCTTACAATTGCTGCCTCCAATGCAACGTATGAGGAATGCAAACGTTCTCAAAGTGTTTTCAGGAAAATAAGAGATAACGGTATGTACACTGTTCAAAAAGAAAATTGATCTTCACGTTCAACGTCGCTACTAAAACCATATGTGCTTAAATTAATGTCTACAAATATTATACTATACATTTGAATGTTTACACGAAAAATGCTTTTCCAAATTGTTTCAAAGCTAGGCTTTAGAGTATCAATTTTTTTGTTTCATACTTGAGAATGTTTATTGTTATTCTGTAATTATATTTTCAAGGTTGTTTTCGAAAGGTTACTTTTAATTGTCTTTCCTACTGTTAATAATGCCAGTACTTGGTATTTTTACTGGTTATTTAAATTTCAAAATACCTCTCTACTGACAAAAAAGTTTCCAGCCCATTTAACCGAAGTACTCAGAGTCTGAGTTTACGTTTATTGTTTATTAGCTAGAGCAAATTAAAATTACAAGAAGATGAAAAAGATGTTGTCGAGAAACTAATTGCAATTTATCTGAATTGAATCACTCATACTGATAATATTTGCGCAGTTGTTTTCTTAACAGTTTGTTTGGAATTTTAATTTAAGTATAGTGTGATCAAAGCAATCAAACTAATTTCATGGCAACATAAATATACAGAGCTTTTATCCAAAACAAAACGCTCTTAAATTGATAAGCTCTTATTAACCAAGCTCAAGTTTCTACCGAGAAATATTAAGCCAGCGAGGTACTTTTGTCCGGTAGGGCAAAGTTTATTTACTAAAAGACAGATGTCCGATATTTCTTGACATTGGTCGTGCAAACTTGGTTGATTAGCTAAAACGTCATTAGCTGTTGGGCATAATTTTGCCTGAAACGAAACATTCTTTATTTTATGTTCATGACTGTCTTGCAAGGGTTGGCATTCATTCCTCTAGTTTATGTAAAAAGACAATGAATCCTTTGAAATTATGTTTTCTGTATATAATAAAACTCACTTCCCGAGTATTTTCCAACTCACATTCGCTAAATATTTTTTTCTTGCGGTGTTGTACAAACCTTTTGCTGTTTGCTTTACAAAATGCGTTTACATTACGTTTCATAGACCACGGCTGGTTACGGAAAATTCCAAATATTTCAGAGTCAGAGTGCACTATTTCACTGAAAGTGACGCTTGCCGTATGTAAATTAGCTACTCTAGTAGCGTTTTGAAGATATTGTGATATGTACTTGCTGAAAACAGCAAAGTTGATATTTTTTGTAAGGTGCTCACAGAATAATATTTTTTTCCAAATATTTTAGCAACATCCTAGACAATTTATGTAACATCACTGTTTATCGAATGAGACAAATTTACAAATCCAAGATCATTTATATGAAAAGGCTGGTCTGTCTCCAGTCTCCATATGTTTTTGTTGAAGCCTGTAAAGGCTGCAGTGCACTCATACCTGAGTAATAATATTTAATGGGTTTGATCGTTTCGATGGGTTTTCTTACTTTTAAAATCAAAGTGTGCTTGCTTGCAAATGCAGTTACAAAATAGACTCATTTTCAATCCTTGTGCATCGCATGATTTCAATGGCTCATTGAGATGTGTTTTTCAGGGATGTATTTTTCTATGTAGTTATATGTACTAACAAAAGGAGCAAACTCGCTGTAAACTGTTAGCTATTATGCGAGAATTATTCATGTAACAAGGGCCATTGGAAAAGGAAGTTTTATTATGGTTATATCCCCTAAATACCATGGTCGACAAATGGAAACTGACAACCAAAAACATGGTGACATCAACAAAGGCATTAAAGCTGCATTATTTACATAAAGATCAATATAAAAATAAAAATAAATTGTAAACCACAGTTATAAAGCCAACCATTTTAAAGATACATACATCTCTATTATTTATTGTAAAGGGGATGTTCTAACACCAAAAGATATGCTTTCAAGTCATGTCGTTCACAGTCGCATCGAGTGTTTATTAAAATGTGTTCAACAAAAGCCATGTGTTGGGTTTAACTATCTTGATGTTGCCAATGAAAATGAGATAAATTGCCAAACTAGTAACACCACATACACCAAAAAAAGTAACACCATGAACACCAAAGGAAAATGGGCATTGTATCACGACCTTCATCCTCCTAAAACGGTAAGAACTTAGCAATTTTGACAATGTTTTTTGATTGCATGCAACTTTCAAAATTCATTTCCACGCTTACTTGCTCGAGACAAGAGTTAGAGAAGAATGAAATCAGCAAAGAAGATGGTTGGAAATTTGATATTTTTCCCAGAACTGAAAAATCTTTACAGTCAAATCTTTATTCTATGCAACTCATTCAACTGAGAGGTACCTTTAATCACTCATGAGGTTTTTTCTTCTGTTTCTGCCCAATAAATTAAGGAAATCTAGTCTTTAAGGTAGTTTTTGTAGTAAACAGATACTTTAATAGTTTAATTTATAGTTATGATTGATAAGAATTGGACAGGTAACAGGAACTATATTTAGGGATGAGAACGAGTGAGATATACATAAAAAAACGATAGCATGTAAGAAGCTTACTATTGATGTTTAGGAGCGAAATTAAAAAGATATGACAGTTTTGCGTGCATTGCTGTTCTGAAACTAAAATTTTTTCCCAAATTTAAAATGGGCATTTCAAAAGTTTCTTTGTTTAAAGAACATAAGACAATGATCTTTAGGTAGAAAAATTATCGAAAAGTTGGACTCTCGTCGCCCGTTTTTCAAACAATGATAGCAAAAAATGGATGCCTGAAAATGGTAAGTTTTGGAATAAAAGACAGAAATCTCGTGGGAAAGTGAACGATCCATCTGACAATTACGATATGATATCTGAAGCATTTTGGAATTTGAAAGGAAACGAATTTAAGATAACAAGAAGCGATGATATTAACAACGTTGCATTACTGCAGACGACATCAAACTGTCTTCAAGGTATCTTAATGTCTATTTAAGTTACATTATTTTTTTTGTTTCAGGCAAAAGTTTTAAATCAAATGTTTTTTTGGCGTTGTAAAGTCAGCAATACATACTTCATCTTGAAAAAAATGTATAGATAAAAACCGCTCGTTTTTGCTAAAAAAATTATTTATAGGCAAGTTAGACTTTTCAAAGGCAAGTTAGACGACTCAAATTTAGATTATTCAAAGTCTAGTTCAACCATTCAAAGGCAAGTTAGATTATTCGTTTTTTGCCAAACAAACTATTGATAGACAAGTTAGACTATTCAAAGGCTAGTTCGACCATTCAAAGACAAGTTATATTATTAGTTTTTTTTCCAAACAAACTGTTGAAAGACAATTTAGATTATTCAAAGGCTCGTTCAACCATTCAAAGGCAAGTTCGATTATTCGTTTTTTTGCCAAACAAACTATTGAAAGACAATTTAGACTATTCAAAGTCAATTACACTATTGAAAGGTTAGTTTAACTATATTCAAAGGCAAGTTGGACTGTCCGCTTTTTTGCCAAACAAACAATCCAAACACAAGTAAAAATCAAAAGCAAGTTAGACCTATCTTTGAAATTCTTTTGAAATTTTGAATTTGGTAACAGTTTGAACTGTTAACTTCAACAATTTTCAATCAACAGCAATTTATTGTAGCTTTTAGTTATAGCATTACCTCCAGTGGTAAAGTCTATACTAGTTTATGTGATCATTATTTAAGAAATAAACAAAGTTTACTGTGTTTTCACGGGCTTATGCAAACCGAGGAGACCTTGGGGAGAACTCGAGAGCTGATCAGTGCAAACCCAAGACCAAAGGTCGAGGGTTGCTCCTGCTCGAGAGCTCTCACAAACGTCTCCGAGGTTTGCATAAGCCAGTACAAACACGAAAAACAACTTTTATTTCTTTTATAAAATAACAAAGATGCAAAAAAGACAAACATTTCAATTTTTCCTCTAAAATGTATTCATGATCGATTTGCAAATTCTCTTTGACTGATTGATTGTTATGATTGATTTGATTGGTTGAGCTCTGATGTGTTTTGCACAGACTAATGCAAATACATCTTTAGACCAATCAGCGCACGCGTTTCATTGCGTTTATTTTATAAATGTTTATGATCTTATAAATTAATTTCTTTTTCAAATAAATCAGTCGGGCACAAAAGAATGCATGAATAAACATCACTCTCCCAATTAACGTTCTAGAGATGACCCTGGCAGTAAAGTTATCTTTAACTCACTTCATGCAGGTCAATCTTTTCCATCGAAAATTTTAAGCTATGGGGATTTGAGAAGTACAACAGTTTGGAACAGAAACAAATGTCTTGGAAGTTGTGCAGTTACTTATGGAGGTCGGTACAAAGATACGGCTGGTTTCGAGATGCACAGCTGTTCAAGTGACCAGACCAATATTCAGAATAGCAGTTATGTAGGATTTTGGTGTGATTGGAGCAGCGGTAAGTACCGTAATGTTGCCGTAATGATGATAGGTGGAGGAGGAGAGAAATGCAATGGAGTGGATCACGGGATTGGGATAGGCAGCAAGACAACAGATGAACAGAAATTTAAAAAAAAATTTGACTTTGGAACGAATGCAAAATCAAAACCTCCTTCAAATTATTCACTCAATTTGTGGGTTCGTTAGTTTATGATTTTTCAATTGCTTTAACAATATAATTAAACACCATTGTATTTGATATATAAAACACATACTGAACGCGGGTAATCATATCTGTGGTAATTTTACTAATTTGTTGCAATGCATTTTTGAACAAGATTGTGCTTTGGAACAATGATGTATAATTTAGTCTTAATGTAAGATTTATATTACATATGCTGACCTTATCAAGCATAATTATAAACTTTTGACATAATATTGTGTTTTCTTTCTCAAATATTCTCAAATTATCTTACAAAATCCTGGAGTTAAGAAGCAACACTGAAAAGTGAGGAGGCAAAAGAAGGTCGCAGAATAAGATTGTTGTTAGCAAAGTTATTTTTTAACAGTTTTGTCAGGAATCGTGCAATATACAAAATTTGGTTGATTTCGTTTGTAAAGTTTATTATAGTGCGTTCAGACTGAGTACCCTGGCACGGTGCTCAGGCACGGGCACCAATATGAACACAACATTTTGATGGTGCCCGTGCATAAGTGCCCAGGTCTGTCACTAGGAAAAGAGGTAGTACGTAAGTACGGTGCTCGGGCAAGGGCACCAATGTGAACGACGACACCTGAGTAACGTGTACAGAGAGGCACGTATTTTGCCAGCACATGGTTTCAAAACTTGTTTACAAAGCAAAACATGAATTATAAATTGACGAAGTTAGTGGATACTACGTAGTGTGAAGGGCCTGGAGATTCCTTCCGAACCAGGATATCGTACTCCAGCAATCAGTCTAAACGTGCTATAATTGATCAATGTAACATCAACTAAAAAATGAATGTGGAACATAAGTGAGACATGAAATACTGTTAAAAATCCATACTTATCAAATGTAAGTATTTGCTAAAGCGGATTTTTATACTTTTACACTTTGCAAAACAAGAGATAAGGAAAAAAGTTGCCCTCCCTTCTCCTCGGCCCCTGTAAGAAAACAAATGCTGTTTGTTGTATTTAATCGCAGTTGCAAAGAACTTATTGTTTGAGGTGAAAATCTTTACGCCAATGCAGCTTGATAATATTCCTTGTTCAAAAGTTATTGGTGTCACATAACTCACATGCTTCGATCGATTGAAAGCCTAAATCTGCATGCGTTGTGCCTTCTCAGTCATAAATTAATACAACTACAACTGCCTGGAAAATATGGACCAGAATAAAATCTGCTAGCGTAGCGGAAGACAATGATATCGCGGGCCCAAAAACACTAATTGGCCAGCGGCAAAAAAATAACTTAATGCTGTCCTGTGAATGATACTCAACTTTACACAAATAGGAAAAATTGCCATTTTGTATGTCAGCGGTTAAAAGATTACACTAACTACTTTGTTGTCATCTCGTAAGCGCAAAGTATAAAAGAATCATACAACGCAGTTATGAAAGACCTTTAGAAACATAAAAGCAGATAATTCAATAAAATGACGTAGTGTTAGCATTGAACAATTCTGTTTTGCAATGAAGATTTTGTCATATATATATGTATTGTTGAATTCAAAAGTCAATAACGACTTTTCGTTGACGAAACAAGCCATGCATTAATTCATTATTTTAATAGTGTACTCTTCTTTGATAAAAAAGCGTGCGACAGCCATGCAGCTGTCATATTAAAATCTTTACTTTTGTGAATGACAAGCATACATTACATTAGTGAGTCAAGTTTTCATAGGGCAATACAATGTTTATTTTAGCTAAAATAAACACAGCTTTATAAAGTGAAAAATGCTGTCCATTACGCCAGCTATATAACACTGAAAACAGACTTTTCTTATATAAAAGATGAATGCACATATTTTTTTCATTTTTTTCGTAATTCCTGCCTGCAATGCATCGACGTTGGCATGTACGCACGCAAAGTGTGTTCAGAAAAATAACTACGAACGGTATGTGCACAATATAAAAGTTTGTGAATTAATGCTGTTGTATTGGTAAAGTAGTCATACGCTTTTTGAAATTTACGACTACGTTCAATGGCGACGTTGAGCTTATAGTTTGCGGTTATTCAAATTAAAATGTCTCGCTCAATTGTCTGTACGCGATTACTTCCATTCTGAACACTTTTTTTGCTTGTGAAATGTTAATTGATCGTTGCTATTCTGAACATTTAAATGTGAAAGTGTTTTTAATGTTAAATTAGCTAGCTACATGAAAAACGTTTACTATAATATAGAAAATATAGAGATTTTTCACAGGGTTTTCGTAATTATACGTCTTCCATTCATTAATCAGAACTCAAACCTTTCCTTGTTGCTTCAACGTTTTCCGGGCTATTAAAAAGTATATATCCAAAACAATTTTATAAGCATGTGGAAACAGATACGTGTGCTCTCACTTAACCGTACGGCCTGGTTTTGGAAGGAAAAATTTCATAGAAATTGACATCTCTTCTGAACACAGCAAACCAGTTGCAAACTGTGTTATTGTTGATTAATATAATAACTGTCGAAAATTAAAGAAGTATAGCTATAGCTATATTTTAATATCGTGACTAAAAATTAGAATTTCCTGTGTTTCCTTTTACATGGAAGGGATAAAAGAGTATCAGAAACAAATAGTTATTTGACGGCTTGGGGTATGAGACTTTTAAAAGCTCTGTTGAATTTGTATGTTTACATTTATATTTTAAATGGTGTGACCTCATGTAAGTTGCCTAAATGATGTCAATTGTGTTTTTTTTCTGTACTTTACTATAAAGGTGATGTTCTAGCAGGTGAGGACGTCATATCAAGTCTTGTCGTTGACAATCGCATCGAATGTTTTATGAAATGCTTTCAACAGTATCCCCAATGTGTTGGCTTTAATTATATGAATGATGCGAAAGAAAATGATATAAATTGCCAAACTAGTAACACAACATTAAATAATGCCTCAAGGAAATTTTCTTCAAAAGGAAATTGGACTTTTTTCCAAACTCTCGCGACGGTAGGAATTAAGATAAACTTACATGACGGTTTTTCATATTGCTCTTATTGCATTTACTACATTCCGCGATTTTCATGTTTGAAAATATCTCTATTCTAACTATTACCGTCGTAGTTTAAACTTAACAAAGAAACTTAACAAACATGTCTTATCATCTCTGACTGATGTAAAAAATGGCTTGATGTTATCATACAGAACAGAAACGAGTCCACGCCATTTCACGCCATTTTATTACAACTTGCACGATATGACGCGTGCGCTAAACTTTTCTGTCATCAATAAACCTGCTACAATGCTACTTGTAACTTTATAATAAAAGTCAGTGACGCGTACGCTAAACTTTTCTGTCATCAATAAACCTACTAAAATGCTACTAGTAACTTTATAATAAAAGTCAGTGACGCGTACGCTAAACTTTTCTGTCATCAATAAACCTGCTACATTGCTACTTGTAACTTTATAATAAAAGTCAGCGACGCGTACGCTAAACTTTTCTGTCATCAATAAACCTGCTACAATGCTACTTGTAACTTTATAATAAAAGTCAGTGACGCGTACGCTAAACTTTTCTGTCATCAATAAACCTGCTACATTGCAACTTGTAACTTTATAATAAAAGTCAGCAACGCGTACGCTAAACTTTTCTGTCATCAATAAACCTGCTACAATGCTACTTGTAACTTTATAATAAAAGTCAGTGACGCGTACGCTAAACTTTTCTGTCATCAATAAACCTACTACAATGCTACTAGTAACTTTATAATAAAAGTCAGTGACGCGTACGCTAAACTTTTCTGTCATCAATAAACCTGCTACAATGCTACTTGTAACTTTATAATAAAAGTCAGCGACGCGTACGCTAAACTTTTCTGTCATCAATAAACCTGCTACATTGCAACTTGTAACTTTAAAATAAAAGTCAGCGACGCGTACGCTAAACTTTTCTGTCATCAATAAACCTGCTACAATGCTACTTGTAACTTTAAAATAAAAGTCAGTGACGCGTACGCTAAACTTTTCTGTCATCAATAAACCTGCTACAATGCTACTTGTAACTTTATAATAAAGTCAGCGACGCGTACGCTAAACTTTTCTGTCATCAATAAACCTGCTACAATGCTACTTGTAACTTTATAATAAAAGTCAGTGACGCGTACGCTAAACTTTTCTGTCATCAATAAACCTGCTACAATGCTACTTGTAACTTTATAATAAAAGTCAGCGACGCGTACGCTAAACTTTTCTGTCATCAATAAACCTGCTACAATGCTACTTGTAACTTTATAATAAAGTCAGCGACGCGTACGCTAAACTTTTCTGTCATCAATAAACCTACTACAATGCTACTAGTAACTTTATAATAAAAGTCAGTGACGCGTACGCTAAACTTTTCTGTCATCAATAAACCTGCTACAATGCTACTTGTAACTTTATAATAAAAGTCAGTGACGCGTACGCTAAACTTTTCTGTCATCAATAAACCTGCTACAATGCTACTTGTAACTTTAAAATAAAAGTCAGTGACGCGTACGCTAAACTTTTCTGTCATCAATAAACCTGCTACAATGCTACTTGTAACTTTATAATAAAAGTCAGTGACGCGTACGCTAAACTTTTCTGTCATCAATAAACCTGCTACAATGCTACTTGTAACTTTATAATAAAGTCAGTGACGCGTACGCTAAACTTTTCTGTCATCAATAAACCTGCTACAATGCTACTTGTAACTTTATAATAAAGTCAGCGACGCGTACGCTAAACTTTTCTGTCATCAATAAACCTGCTACAATGCTACTTGTAACTTTATAATAAAGTCAGTGACGCGTACGCTAAACTTTTCTGTCATCAATAAACCTGCTACAATGCTACTTGTAACTTTATAATAAAAGTCAGCGACGCGTACGCTAAACTTTTCTGTCATCAATAAACCTGCTAGAATGCTACTTGTAACTTTAAAATAAAAGTCAGCGCCGCGTACGCTAAACTTTTCTGTCATCAATAAACCTGCTACAATGCTACTTGTAACTTTATAATAAAAGTCAGCGACGCGTACGCTAAACTTTTCTGTCATCAATAAACCTGCTACAATGCTACTTGTAACTTTAAAATAAAAGTCAGTGACGCGTACGCCAAACTTTTCTGTCATCAATAAACCTGCTACAATGCTACTTGTAACTTTAAAATAAAAGTCAGCGACGCGCACGCTAAACTTTTCTGTCATCAATAAACCTGCTACAATGCTACTTGTAACTTTATAATAAAAGTCAGTGACGCGTACGCTAAACTACGGTGGCCCACAAGTATCACGGCAAATTAAAAACTCGCGGCAAGTTTTATACGTCTTTTAAGTTATACGTCTAACAGTAGATAACGTTTTTTATACGTCTTTTAATTTATACGTCTTTTAAGCTATACGTCTAATAAGTTTTATACGTCTTTTAAGAGTTGCGATGCTCATTTTTACTGAGTGGTTTTTGCTCAATAACTCGATGATTTCGTCGTACTTGAAGCCTTTACTAAAGTATTCTTTGATTAAATTTTCTTCCTCTTGGGCGCCCGCCATTGTGAATTAATACTACTCGTCATTACCACGTGTTTCAACCCACTTTGCCGCGAGTTTTTAATTTGCCGCGAGTTTTTAATTTGCCGTGAGTTTTTAATTTGCCGTGATACTTGTGGGCCACCGTACTAAACTTCTCTGTCATCAATAAACCTGCTACATTGCTACTTGTAACTTTAAAATAAAAGTCAGTGCTTACTAGATAGCAAATGTTGCATTAAAAGCTTCGTTAAAAAAACGAGTATTAGATGAAAGAATGTCGCAATTCTTTTATGGTAATGAAATGGAGTTGTCTATGAGGTATGCCTGTAAATTGAAAGATAGATCAAAAAAGATCAAAAGAAGCATTTTTAAATGTGTCCCCATTCATTCTGCTTGTGCATGCCGACGATCGTCAAAATTATTGAACTAGACCGACTTGCTGTTTTGAGTCTTATATAGAAGAGAGAATTATAGTATTGGTTTTCAAGCATTTTGCTTTGTAAAAGCTTCCGATTGGTTGTTTAATGGATGGATTCAGATAATTGGACGATACAGAATGCACTATGATAATTTATTGTTAACAGGAATTTGGCGTTATTACTATTAGTGGTGTCATTGTAATGATACAGTTTCTTCATCAAACGAATAATCTATTAATATTTTCAAGTAACCATGAAATTTTTATAAGAGAACTACTTTTTGTCTACTAGTTGTAATATCATATTTAAGAAATAAAAGATGTTTACTGAGTTTGCACAGGCTTATGCAAACCGAGGAGACCTTTGGGAGAACTCGAGAGCAGATCAGTGCAAGCCTGAGGCCGAAGGTCGAGGGTTGCCCCTGCCTGTGGTTGAGCTCAGTTGTGTTTTGCACAGGCTAATGCAAACTCAGCTCTACACCAATCAGCGCACGCGTTTCATTGCGTTTATTTTATAGATATAAATGAAAAATGACGATACGAAAACAATATATTTAGTAACATGACCGGCAAATTAGATAATCCTGCTATGTTAATTCAAAACATCATTATGTTCAATTCTTCAGAAATCTACTGTTCTTACAATTGACAAACAAACTAAAATTAACATGGCAGGACAAATAAGGGATACTAGAGCTACGTAACATTAATAGAAAACAGCAAAAAAAATACAATAGTATTTAGCATTGCATGCTGGTAATGTACTAAACTTATTTTTACAATAATTCTAAGTGAAAGCGTAATTCCCTGGAACGAACATGAGAAAAATTTTTTTGATAACAAAACTCAAAGCATTGTTTCGTAAATGCAGGTGGGCAAGTCATTGAAATCCTGGACTCTCGTCGCTCGTTTTTCAAACAACGATTCCAAAAACTGGATGATGAGCAACGGATGGTTTTGGTATGATAAAATGACACCTCAGGGGAAAGTGAACGATCCATCTGACAATTACGATATGATATCTGAAGCATTTTGGAATTTGAAAGGAAACGAATTTAAGATAACAAGAGCGATGATATTAACAACGTTGCATTACTGCAAACAACATCAAACTGCCTTCAAGGTATCTCAATGTCCATTTACAATATACCACTTTTGTTTCTGTAAGGCAAAAATTGGCAATAAAATGTATTGAATTTTTTGTGAGAAATATCAGCAGCGAATTTTCTTTAAGAATAGATTTCAACAAACAGTAAAGTAAGAGCTAGTCAATTAATTAAAACTAGATCAATTATAATTTAAAATTTTGAATAGTTGGTAAAGTTATTATCGTAAGCGAAGTTCTGCCCCCCCCTTGCCAGCAAGAAATTGCTACTTGCTAAAACTACTATTGTGTATTACATGCACATTGGTTGTTTCTACTGGTGTGACTGAAATAATAAGGAATGGAGAAAAACAAAACACAGCGTTTTTTATGTCATCTGCTCATTAACACACGATAAAGGCAATTTTATACTCAGTTATCTAAACGTATGAAAAATCAGAAGCTCATCTATGATTTTTGATATCTGGTTAGACATTGAGTAATGTCAAAAATTCCTCCTAATCCCATGTCCTTCTTTCCATCGTTTGTGTATGTAATCAACAGTAAATTGGTCAGGCTTTGAATACTCATGCTAAAATGTAATGAAAACTAATTAGATTATTTTGCAATCAACACCAGCTTTATTTGTTGGATCTTTTTACTTCGTGATTTTACAGACAACTTCAATAAAGAATGAATTGTCAACAGGCTATTGTTTTTAAAAAAATTTGAATGCCATTTATTGTTGATAGCTCTTAATTATCAGTCCTTTTTACGCCATTTATAATTGGACACAATGACTTGTTATGTGGTGTTGAATCATTACAAAAAATGAAGAGTGTCATGGGCAAGTTTTTACGTTTGCAGTTATAAACATTATTATACGCTCTGCTCACACGTAGGAAAGTCTTTCTTGCTGTTTTTCAACAATTATGACAATTCATGGATACGTTGATTGCAAAAATACAACTCTTAAACATTTTTTGAAATTTATCTGTTTTACATGTGTTGCTTTTTGTATGAGATAACAAATTTTTTTTATTATTTGTCCATTGAGACGTTTTTGAGACTCTTGAGCACGCGCAACTCTCAACTTTCGCTATCGGGCATACACTGATCTGCTCTTGAATTCTCTCAAAGGTTTCCTCGGTTTGCACATGCCTGTACAAACACAGCAACATATTATATTTCTTAGTATGCTAATAAGAACGTTTCTACAAGCAACAATTTGCCACGTATTATTCTTATGAAAAATCACCACTAGTTGCTTTTGAATTGGTTACATCTGCATATAAATTTACATTTAATTCCATTCAGGTCAATCTTTTCGATCTAAAATTACAAGTTACGGTAATTGGAGAAATGGAAAAGTTTGGAACAGTGATGCTTGTCGTGGAAGGTGTCCAGTTGTTTATGGAGGTCAGTACAAAACCACAGCCGGATTTGAACAGAACAGTTGCAGCAGCAACATTCAAAATAGCAGTTATGTTGGATTTTGGTGTGATTGGGATTCAGGTGATGGTGCTGTCTTGATGATTGGTGGTGGAGGTTCAAGCTGTAGCAGAGCTGATCATGGAATTGGGATCACTGAGGAGAATTCAGCAAGATTTGGGGGAACATTACCCTATTATGATTTTGGAAAACATGCAGATTACATTCCTCCTTCAGATTACTCTCTTAATCTGTGGGTACGATAGTGAATACAGCCCGAATTCATCAATTCAGCATTAATTCAACATCGTATCAATCTTTAGCTGACATTTTTCAAAACTTTGTTGAACTAAGAAAATAGTGGGAAATTATTACTTAATTAACAAGATTTGTATTTGCCAAAAAATGCATACTTAAAATTTAGATATATCTCGAACGTTTATACAATAATATAAAGCATGATAAATTATAAAATAAAAACAATAATGTGTAATTCGACGTGTGCTCAAACAAATTAAATCAATTAAAGAGAATCTGCAAAGCAATCATTAAAACATTCTATTTATTTGTTTTGCATTATCGTTATTTCATGAAAGGAATGAAAGATGTTTTTCGTTTTTGCACTGGCTTGCTGACTTAAGCAGGTGCTAACGCTAAACATTTGGTCTCGTCTCGCGCATGCACTAACTGATCTTCTTTCGTGTTCCTTCAAAGATGTCATCTGTTTGCATGTAGGCATGAGCATAAAGTTTCTACCTTTTTGTCGATTCTGTGAACAATGTAGCTTTTGTATTACTTAAAATTTAATAGATTGCCGAAGAAGAGCGTGAAATAGGAAGGTCTAATTTATAGATCTCCTATAATCTTAAAAAGTGGATTGGATCATTGATTATTCCATTCAATCTTTTTGCGAATAAGAGGTTTTTCCAAGTTTTGATCTTCGTCTTCATGATTCCTTGGAAGGAACTATCTTAGGTGGTGTTCGTAGTGTTCGTTCGTGGATGGTTTCTTCAAGTATTAGGTTGTTTTTTTAATCTTTTATTATTTTCTGTTTTAATTTGTCGTTTCATGTTTCTTATTCTTTCTACGCGATTAAGGTTTCCAAATTTTCTTTCTTTTCTCAATCATCCAGGTTGTAGCTGTGTTAAACGTCTTGATGCAAATGATTCAAATTTAAAATTTGAAATAAGTATTGTGTGTTTTCACAATTTTGCGCAAATATGACCTCTTGACCTCGAAGACGTTCTGTTTCTATTTTGGTTGTGATCCCGTATTCTGAAATCTAAATTTTACATGATAATATTAATACTAGCATGTATTATAAACATCAAAGTTGTGAAATACTTAAAAAAATATTTTTCAATTAAAAAAGTAACTGAAAGTTAAAGATGATGTTATGGTTTCAATTGTAATATCTGTAATTAATCCCAATTAGTACCAGCTTGTATCAGACACAAACATTTAAGGGAACAAATCATGAGATAGATAGATATGCGTAAATGAAATATAGATTTCAATGATAATTAGAAGTAAAATGTTAAGAAAACATTCAAAATATTATTATTAATACACATATACCTAATAAAATGAAAAATATAAGTCGCAATGGATTATTATTATCATAGTTTACTATAACATCTGGATTTAATCCAAATTAGGAGCAGATTGTACCCAGCACAAATGCCCAACCACAACAAATATTGAAGTTGAAATTCTAAAGCCACTTATGAGTTATCTTGCTCATTTCATTGTAAATTTATGGTTTTCATGAAGTAAAAGTTCGACATTTTTACATAGTTTGCTCAACTTGGTATTCAACATTATCTAGCTTACCTAAATTTTCAATATAATTTTCGTTGTTGAAATTCGATTATTCTCCAGAGATTTCGTTGTCATTCCAATTTGGATTTGTACTTTGTAGTGGGTGATCAATTCTGTTTTTTCTTTGACTTTTTTAAATGCGTCGTATCTTTTCTGTTTCTAAAATCTTTTAAATGTAATAAAAAATAATAAGAATCCATTGTTGAATCAAAGATCGCTATTTTTTTTGGTTTGTAAAATTCATTGCATGTTGTCAACAATACTATAATTTTTTCCATTTATTTCCATTTATGGTTGTTTATTGTCTATGCTTGATACAACCTGAGACTTTGAGCAAAAAAAACGTTCATTTTTTTGACAAAAAAATTCATTTTTTTAGACGAAAAATTCTTTTTTTTGATAAAAATTCATTTTTTAACAAAAATTCATTTTTTTTTGACAAAAAGTCATTTTTTTTCAAATATGACCTTGAACGTTCATATCTACATCTTGTTTGACGTCATTAAAAATTTGTAATTTCCATTTATGGTAATATATCGCAGCGAGCAGTGAGCAAGGACGACAAAGAACGATGAACAATCATTTGCAGTCCATCCATTACCTATGTACGTAATTTCTTCATGGGTTTTTATTTTACTAAAATAAAGAAACTGCTTTTAACAGAAACTTCTTGCTCAAGTCATTTGATAACAACTTTTTTCCTCGGAAATTTCGACACTCCACAAACTTTTTCAGAGATTTGTGTAAGCAAGCTGCTTGAAACATTTGCTGGACCGGAATGGACTTTATGGTTGGCATAAGTAAGATTGATTTTTTTTATTTCAGAGTTGTTGTGGCAAGTTTTTTTCAGTAAACGATCTGTTTACATTTGATAAAGTTTATTTAAAAAGTTTAACGTCTTTCGTTTGCTTTTGAAATCTCTACTGGCATAATGGCATTAGAGAGCTTTAGCAAAGACTACGAGTACAACTACGAGTACGAATTACGTCATTTTGGCGCGTAATCGTTGCGACAACAAAAACGCGTAGCCGTCATCAATCTGAGTACGATGTTTTTTAAAAAATTCGTAGTCGCGACTACGATGTCTTTTTAAGCAAAGAAAGTAGATATATTTTTTTATTGTGTAAGAAATTAGTTTACAGCACTATTTTTGAGCATACAGACTTTACTTTAGAACCTTTTTTGAGCGCATATGTACATTTAAAAGGAAAATATGACCTTGAAAACTTTCATGTATTTCGTACGCAAAGTGAACGGTAAACAAACAATAAAATAGTATAAATATATCGTACATAATATTTAAAATAGTAAAGATTTTTCACTCTGAAGAGGCCTATGTTCTCGCAAAATCAGTATTACCGATTTGTTGATATCATTATTGACAAATGGAGCCGTAGCTGCTTCGCAAACGTCAGTGTTTTTCACAATAAAAAGGCTCGTTCTGTTGTTTATTGCTAAAAATAAATTTTGACGAAGCGACAACGACAACAAACTTCCTCGTGCCATTCCCTTACACGGTCAAACTTCGTACTCGTTGTCGTAGTCGTACTCTTCAGAGCCCTCTATTAGTAAGAGTTGGGACAAACGGTCTGGGGCGAGCGCGGAGCCGCCATTTTGGTTCCTACTTGCAAAGTGAAACTATAATAATACTATTGGAAATTGGGTTTATATGCAAAAGAAGAAAGCAATTTAAGCTTATTCCATGGTAGTATCAAATATATTAGGAATAATAGCATGTTCTTTGCGTTTTTTTAACGATTTGCGGCAGACCTGATTTAATTTCATTGGTTTGAGCTTCGTGTGCGGTTTACTAGTTCGTGCTTCAAATTGATCGTGACCCGTTGTAAGAAGTATTTTTCGTACGTGAACGTGTTTTCTCGGCTTATGTTCCGACTCTGTAACAAGTTTTCAAGATCTTTAAGCTTGGTGGCAAGCGGCAATGTTATCCTGGCATCAGTGTTATCAAATAGTAGGACAAGACTTTGTTCGAAACTTCGAATCATAGTAATCATGCAGTTTTGGTCAGGAAAGATTTGTGTTCAAGATTTATAACAATTTGATGGCAGTGAGTGGTTTATGCCCCCCAATTTATTCCAAGCATGACATTTTTTATTCTGAAAGATCACAAAATTTTCTTGCTCAGCAGAAAATGACAGACTTTTTTACTTTTTAGTTATTGAATGATTATGCAATGATTTGACCAAGATGCATTTGGCCTTAAACGTTTTATTCCTTTATATGAAGTTATTTCGCCTTTATCACTTTATAAAGTATTAAAGTTTATTTCTAATAAAGTTTGTTAGGGATTCTGCTGAAAATTTTGGTGAAGCATTTCTTTAAAATGAATATATTATTTCTATAATATGAAACATTTCTGTTGTTGAAGAACAGTCTGTTTGCTATAAATGCTACTGTTTGTAGTCTTTTATACAGCATATGAGTCTGATCCAATCTTTAATTTAGCAAAGAGTTAAATTTATTGGTTGAGGAATGACAGAACTTCTGTATGTGTTTATTGATTAAACAGGGGTGTGTTGGAGGGGGCTCAGCCCCGTTTGTTCAAATTCTATGCCTTGTATTGCCAGTGAAATATATATATCAAAAAGCTAGCAGCACCTAAATACATATCAGAAAGCCAGCAATATTTTAATATATATGAGAAAGGTAGCAACAGTTGTAATATACATTAAAAAGCCCAAATAGCTGAAATTATGGAGATATGCCTCTGTGATCTTATAAACCAAAACCTACAATTAAAATATCATTGACAAGTCTAGAAGAGAAGTAATGTTCTACTTTGAGCTACAGAAGTAGGGTACATTTGTACAATTCATTACCAAAAATATATTGTACTCAGCTGTTTCAGTGAATATCCTAATTATAATTACTTCATTTTTAAATTATGAACTAAAAATACAAAATACAACATGGAAAATCATAAGAGTTTCTGTGATTTGGTGTAGTTGTTTGTTTTAGTGTGGAAGTGGCTGAGAATTGAGAGGTTTGTAGATTGACCAATTTCAGAACATAATGATAAATCATCTTCGATTAAAAAACAAGCTTTGGAGTAAGGAAACTATTGAAACTGCATCAGCACGAACTTTGCAATGTTATTTGGCCCAAAAATGTTTCTCTACTTGAGTCAGTTAATTGAACCTTATATCAAAAGCAGTTCAGCACAACAATCACCATACGCAATCAAATTTCGTAAGTTCGACGTAAAGGCATTTCTTTCATTTTTTTCGTAATCCTCGATTCTTGCGATATGTAATGACATTTATTAGCCGTCAACAATCAGTTATTACAAACTTATCCATAAAAAAACGCAATATTATCTCAAAATACTGTATTACTAGCAGCAATTGCTATATAAACACTAGCTCAAATTTGAAAACTAGGAACCAAAATGGCGGAAATTGATCAGGTGATCAATATTGCCCAATCAACGTAAGCTAAACGGATAACAATAGATGTCCCAACTCTTACTAATAGAGGGCTCTGGTACTCTTGCTAAAGCACCCTAATTAATACATGAGAAGGAATTTGGAAAGTGTTACATGATTGGAAACTACCAAGACCAGTAAAAATTGTGTATCAACTGAGATTGTACCTTGTTAGAACTGCTACACATTACGAAGTGCACCCGAAACTAGAAAATCTGTGGAGCTGTCCGTAACTTTGACATAAACAAGGATGGAAGTTATTTTTATTATAATTTGGTTTAGCATATATGAATACATAGTATAGCATAGCTGTGCACTTCTAATTTCATTGCTAATGTATTTTGTACGGGTGTTGTCATCAAGCTAGGCTTTTATCTTGCATTTGGGTTGCAATCCTATTTTTGTTGTAAGCAAACTATAAATTTTAAGCTTAATTGAAGCATATCTTTATTCAATGAATTATATAGTCTATTTTATATTGTTTTGACGGCTAACTTAATCTTGCGCTTGGAATAATTTCCTGGCGCATTGTCTCACAAAGTGGCAATGTGCGCAATTTTTAAAACTGATGCTTTAATTGCGCATTGTGAAACATTTTACTTGGCCAAAAGCGCATTAGTATTTAATAATCTTGATGAAATAGATGAAGCATGGCTTTGGTATATAAGTGCACATATTTTTGAGTCAGAACAATATTCCGTGAGCTGTTTGTAAAGTTACCTGTCTCTGTATTAAGAAATGAGAATTCACCATTTGCTTTCATTGTAGTAACGTGTTGTAATTGTATTTAATCACTTGCCTAGATTACACACTATCTATCCACTTCTATAATATGCCTCGTTCTTTAAACTTCGATCTATATATTGACCACTAAATGAATGATACTAAATAAATAATGATTTAAAGCTAAATAATACTTTAGTTTAACTTTTCTATTATGTTTTACTATGGATGGGGTATCCTCGAATTTGTCAGGGTGCCTTTAAAAATGGACGGGTATTCTATAATCGTTCATTATTTATATGCGTTCAAAAGATTTTCATTTTAAAGCTCAACCAGGTGTGTTTTCCTTAAACCTTCCAACTTGAACGATCAAAATTATAATATCATACCTGGAGCATTATCGCATCTGGCATATATTCTCATTCGCTATTCACGTCAAACTATGGTAGAAGCCGAATATTTTTTAATAAATTTACACTAATGGCTCCTTCACCAGGAGCTTCTGAGAGTCAACGTGAATTAATCACGCTGTTGAAAAATAAAACAGTATCAACATGCCACAAAACTTGATTCTCCTTTAACAATGCTTTATCCAATGCACAAAATTCTCTTTCAAACGAATTTCTTCGGACAACTTAATACTTTAATATTTAAAAATTCGATAAATCTTCCTTTGGAGTTGATCACGCTGTTATCTTTTCTATCGAGCAATGCAGCTACTTTATTCCTCTCCAACGAAGTTCATCAATTGAATATATTCTCGTAGTAGAGGCATGAAATTGGTAGGTTCGATATATAGAACTCATACAATCTTAATGAGTAGATTTGACTATTGATTATTCTACCCAATCTTTTTGCGAAGAAGAGGTTTTCACCATTTGGTGGTATTGTAATTAATGTTGGCCTTTCTTCGTGGATGGATTCTTCAACTTTCAATTATTGGCTGTTTTTTTTTAATCTTTTAATGATTACTGTTCTTATTTGCTCGTTTCTTTGTTTGTTATTCTTTCTACTCGATTTTCAATTCAAAATTTTTTTTCTTTTGACAATTAACCATATTGTAGTTGTAGCTAGCTTATAAAATTTTTTTTCAAATTGAAATAAGTACTGTAGCTATTTTCAAACACAATGTTGCGCAAATATGACCTCTTAACCTTAAAGAAGTTCTGTTTTTATTTTGGCAGTGAACCCATGGCTTTAAACTTAAATTTCGCACAATAATATTAATCGCAAAAAATGTTATGTTCATGGAAGATTTTTTAAATAATATTTTTTAATTGAAAAATTAACAGAAAGTTAAAAATGGTTTCTGGATGTTGTCTATGATATCTCATCGCAACATCTGGAATCAATCCAAATTAATACCATAGCTTGTATCAGACACAAACATTCAAGGGAATTAATCAAGAGATAGACATAAACGAAATATAGATTTCGATGTGAGTTAGTAGCTATTAGAAATAGAATGTAAAGGAAATATTCAAAAATCCAAATTAATACCATAGCTTGTAACAGACACAAACATTCAAGGGAATTAATCAAGAGATAGACATAAACGAAATATAGATTTCGATGTGAGTTAGTAGCTGTTAGAAATAGAATGTAAAGGAAATATTCAAAATACTATTTAATACCCAGAAACGAGTGAATAATAACTGTCGCGGGTCGCGGGTAAAATGTCGCGTGTCGTGGGTAAAACGTCGAGGGTAAAGTTGCGGCCTTCAAAACTAATCTTAACTCCTCTTATTAGCAACGCATCGTTTTGTATATTTGGATAGTTATAACCAACACAAATCTTAAATATCCAAAGCACCGGTGACATATATAAATGTTGACAGCAGAGAACGTTGATTCATAGAGCACATCCAAGTGGGCATACATAGAAATAAGGAATTCCTGAGAATTTAAGATCGACTTCTTTCAAACCTTCCATGCATAAAAAGTGTTTTTTACACCCACGACTTTTTACCCGCGACCCGCGATAGTTAGATAGTCTCCCCAGAAATCTAATCAAATAAAAAATGGGTTGCTAAGGATTATTATTATCATAGTTTACTATAACATCTGGATTTAATTTAAATCAGGAGCAGATTGTGCCCAGCACAAATGCTCGACTGTAATAAACACTAAAGTTGAAATTCTAATGGACTACAGTTATTCATTTCATTGTAAATTGATAGTTTTTTTCGGGGGTTTGAAGTTGACGTCCAACATTTTTCATTGTATAATTTGATAAGTTCAACATAATCTGCTATCTTAATTTTTAACATAAGTTTCGTTGTTGAAATTTGATTATTCTCCCGAGATTCCACTATTTCAACTTGTAGTGCTAGTGGTCGGTAATTCAGCTTCTTTCTTAATATTTTTTTAAATGCATCATGTCTTTTTCTGTTTCTAAATCTTTTGATAATAATAATAATAATAATAATAATGATCCATTATTGAATCCATTTTTTGATAAGAAATTTTCAAAGATCACTGTTTGTATGGTTTGTAAAATTTAATGCATTTTGTAAACCACTTAGTAATTTTTCATTTTCATCTATGGTTCTTGAATGTCTGTTGAAGCAAGCTGGCATTAATTTGAGTTAAATTTAGATAATGTGACCTTGAACGCTCATAGCTACATCTTGTTTGACGTCAATGAACATTTGTTATTTCCATTTATGGTAAATATTTACGACTTAAGAATGTTTGTGCTTGGTACAGTCTGATACTACCTTAAAATATGACAGCTATCAATTTGGAATACATTCAGATGCAGTATGACCTTGAACGCTCATTTCTTTCCAAAAAATATATTTTTGCCATAAAAATGCAAAAAAATAAATAAATTCAGTATTTTTGGTGAAAAATCATCAATTGATGGAGTATAAAAGAGAGTTTGTGTTTATTGTATGCATTAGTTGGTATAAGAATAGAGTCCAACAGATCAAATTCTGAAACTTAAAATTCAAGCAATACAATAATTGAATAAATCAATAAAAATGGAAGAATCGACCTGCAGTAAGAACTGTGAATTATTGACGCCAAGAAGACTGAAAGAACTAGAGATAGGACAGAGAAATTTGCAAGAAGAAAATCAAAATTTAACCAACAAGATGAAAGAATTAGAAGGAAAAACTAATAAACTGATAAAACTAAATTTTCGCATGCATAAAGCTTTACAAGACGAGTACACGTCTGACGAAAGAAAATGTGCTGGCGGCGGCGACAAATAGAACTGAAAATAAGAAATGGAAATGACAAAATTGATAAACATTCATTTAAATGGTTTATCGACATAGATTGACATTGTTAATATATCTATTCAACTCATCAGAATGTAATAGAAAACAACAGACAAGTACAGGAGATTTATTTCTTTAAATAGAATACAAATGCATTCCGCTTCTGACTTTTATATTATACATGTAGACACAGTAGAAAGGTTTATTTCTTCAAGACAGCATCGAAGCGGTCGGTGTCATTAGTGCCGCAGTCAACTTTCAGATTTGCCCCTAAATTTGATTGTAAACAATCCACATATTTCGTATATTATGAAATTCGAGCATGATCCATTTATAAATGTAGTATTTTGCAAGTCTGTTGCAAGCACTGATCTGATAATAGACCTATCTGAAAATAGACTGAACTGATGATAGGTCTATTATCAGATCAGTGGTTGCAAGCCGCTCGACAAGAAGGCCAACGAGAAATCACTCCTGTGGTTTCAGATGATTGCAGATCCTATGTCCTAAATTATTAGAGCTATCAACGGTAATGATGTTTAGCTTCGAAAGAGCTCGACGAGAACTTTAAGATGATCTAAGAATTTTAAAGCTTTCGTCGAGCTCTTTCGAAGCTAAACATCATTACCGCAGATAGCCCTAATAGTTCAAGAAATAGGATGTGCGCACGCACTGTATTTTTTGCGCATTCGCAGATCCTATCTTCTAAAGTATTGGAGCAAAATCATTTATCTTTAGCTCATCTTAAAGCTCTCGTCGAGCTCTTTCGAATGACCTAAAGTTCATTGCCGTAAATAACAACACATTTCATCAATAATCAAAATTTAACAGGAATCAAAAAGAAAATTTTGGCAGCATCAAAAAAAGTGGTTGCAAATTATTGTCAGATTGGGCCCAATCAATTTCCAACCATGTATACTGGTGTGCTGCATCCAGCAATGGTGATGAAGAACTTGTCAAGGTAAAGTGTTTGTCAGTTTTCAACCATATGTGCATAGCGATATATTCCCAAAATGTCAACATGATATGTTAGAGCCTAGAATGCGGATAAAAAAGGTATTGTAAGCGAATAAATTTCAAAGTAACATCAACATTCTTTTTTTTTGTTAACTAACTTTTGATCTTAGGTTCAAAAGCTTATGTTGAGCTGTCTTCGATTGTTGAGTCCAAGTATCTCATGAAAGATATTGGAAAACTCAGTTATCAGAAGACTTCATCCATCGAAGGTTTCCACCGAGTGGTAATTTATTTTGCATCAAAACATATTCATTTTTTCTACAGATCAATGGAAGCAAGGTAATATAATTACGACTTGTGTATGATTACTTAAAAAAGTCATCATTTTAAAAGCAATAAGTTGCAATAGTTGTAAACATAAACTTAACATTCATTTGTAGATTGTTTATTGCCACTGGATTGTTTATTCAGTTCAATGAGAAGAAAAATAAAGCTCAGAAAACGAAGAATGGTGAGCAAACAGAAGAGGAATTGATTTGGAGAGTGGCTTATTCAAAGTCAAAAGAAAGACAAGGGGTTATCAAACCAGTGAAAGTTGACAGCACTTATGGTTAGCACAGAAAAATAAACTTACCTTTTCTCAAAGTGCAATGCAAAGCGAACATAAATAATGATTTGCTTTTCAGGATATGTTTAAGGACTTGAAAGAATTTTTGTACTGCAGACGCATTAATTCAACACTGTCCAAAGCTCTTGATGTCGCTGGAGTGAAAGAAATACCTGTCCCATTCACTCGCCACAAATCAAAAATCAGCAAAGATGAAGCCATTAAGAAACATAAATCTCACTTTTATAAATAAAAAGAAAATAGAAATAACGTTCCACATGAAATAAACATAACTACAAATGAACAGACTTTGTCATACGCCATAAGCCCTACCATTTAGTAGTGTTGAGCATATTCAAATCCTTTGTATTCTCCAGAAGGCGAAGGAAATGCTTTCCGGATTTTGTCCACATAACAAGAAGGTATGGGTAGTCGGTACTTTTTTCCCAACCTGCCATGCACCCAAGCCGTCCACTGTCGGTACGCCGAGTAGCGTAATGTTCTTTGAAAGATACAAAATTTTGTCTAAGATACTTATCGGCATTATACACTTGTCGACATACACGTAATTATGCTTATAAGGTGATATTTACTCGTTTTCTTCACTCTCAGGCATAGGTCCAATGTCATGTGTGTACACGACCATAGCTGTTTTTACGACAGCTTCGTTTGTACACACTGCGGCAAACTCTTCCTCTTGTGTGATGCAAATATGATCGCCATGTATCAGAGGATCAGTATTGTTTACCTCTTGGCAACATATACTTTCCCGTCCTGTACTCATGACCACACAAAAGCCACACTCGCACCTAAAAGATAAAAACAACCTTTTTACTTTGGGAAAACAATGAAGCATCAATAAAATGCAACTAACCATTCAACATTTCCAATTCTGTGAATGCATTCATCTTCGCTTTCCGATGACGAAGAATTGTCATCATTATGACCACCTTGCGCGTCGGCCAAAGGCTCAAACATGTAAGATTGTACCTCATTGTTATTGATGACAATATCATAATCGGCTTCTTCTTGAGAAGAACCATTAATTTTTGATAAATAAAAAACAGTAATAGCAAACTACCGAAAGCCGTGCAAACACTGCGTGCAAGTCGTAGAACGATATAAGAACAATGCTTGTTTCTGTCAACTAATACGTCATTCTTTCCCAGTTCCCAGACTTAAACAATCTCACGGCGATTTAGCAATGGTCATCGAATATCGTGTTTTTACCGATTATAACCCTAAATATCTTTTGAAATATTTTGCGGACGACTTTGAAACTTGGTGCGTTTTATTTTCACGCTATAGGCATTAGAATAAAATAAAGTTGTCTTCTAGCTTGCACGAGTCCTTTAAGGAGATAGAATCTGCGCATGCGCTGTGCGCTGATCCTTTCTCCTTAAGTATTTACCCTACTATCCACAATGGATACTTATTTACCACACTATGCACGTTCGTTGCAGCGCATTTTTATCGCCAAGTCCATAATTTGAATCTCTGCACGAATTATTTTTATTAAGAATAACAAAAAACAAGATTTATAGAAAAGAATGCCATAATATTAAAAACATTTAATAATATACAATGCTGTATATATAAGCACTATTTCTTTAAACAAGCAACTGAGTGGCATAATCTTGACCTTCGTAAGGATAAGTGGCAACTGGAGCAAAAACATCACCTCTTGGTAATCTAAAGAAACAAATATGATCATTGCTAAGGATTTTATATTAGTAGCTAGAATTAGATTTTTCTTTGCAATATTGTCAACAACAATCTCTGTTGCGCGAGGAGTTTATAAATTTGTCAATTTTGTCAACATTCTCAACTATGAAACCATAACATTATAAGGTTACTGCGTGAAGGGTTTATAATTTTCCTAATTTTTTCTAAACAACTGTATAATATTGCAAAGTTACTTTGTGAAGGCTGTTCAACTTGCTCAATTGTTCAAACTATACAACTGTACAATACTACACCACATGCACTTGTTTTGTGAAGGCTGTACAATACTGCACACTTGCTTTGTGAAGGCTGTACAATATTGCACACTTGCTTTGTGAAGGCTGTACAATACTGCACACTTGCTTTGTGAAGGCTGTGCAATACTGCACACTTGTTGTGTGAAGGTTGTACAATACTGCACACTTGCTTTGTGAAGGCTGTACAATACTGCACACTTGTTGTGTGAAGGTTGTACAATACTGCACACTTGCTTTGTGAAGGCTGTACAATACTGCACACTTGCTTTGTGAAGGCTGTACAATACTGCACACTTCTTTTGTGAAGGCTGTACAATACTGCACACTTGTTGTGTGAAGGTTGTACAATACTGCACACTTGTTTTGTGAAGGTTGTACAATACTGCACACTTGTTTTGTGAAGGCTGTACAATATTGCACACTTGTTTTGTGAAGGCTGTACAATATTGCACACTTGTTGTGTGAAGGCTATACAACACTGCACACTTGTTTTGTGAAGGCTGTACAATACTCCACCCTTGTTGTGTGAAGGTTGTACAATACTGCACACTTGTTTTGTAAAGGCTGTACATTATTGCACACTTGTTTTGTGAAGGCTGTACAATACTGCACGCTTGCTTTGTGACGGCTGAAAAACTTGCCCAGTTTCTCTAAACGATACAACTGTACAATACTACAACACATGCACTTGTTTTGTGAAGGCTGTACAGCTTGTCAATTTTGTATAAACCATACAACTGTAACACTGCAAGGCTGCTTTGTGAAGGCTTAACAAACCAGCTCAATTTTGTCTTAATTACACAACTGTAACACTGCAAGCTTGTTCTGTGAAGAGAAAACAACTTGCGCAATTTATCTGTAGCTTTTATGCAAATGCAATGTGGCAAACAAACCAATTAAACACAACTTGAAACGATTAATTCAATTTCATGTTTCTCATTAAAAAACCACTTTCAATGGTCGTATTTTTAACTGTAGCACACAGTTTAATCATTGTAGAATGCTATAATTATTTTACAACAACATACAAGACTTTTGCAACAAATTCGTTGCAAGAACAGCGAAAGAATTTCACGGTTGGTGGAAATATTTATGGACACTAGAGTACGAAAGTATATTCTTACAATCCCATTTACCAAAAATCGTTTTTTGTTAACGTTAGATGGGATAGCTAGCAGTAAAATGAGTACAATCAGTAGACCTGTGAGTAGTAGTGTCTCATCATATCTAGCTTACAAATCACTAAGTTTGTTTGCCACAGATTGAACTAATACTTAACAAAAAACTTTTTGATAGGCAACTCTGTTACATTTTTTATCATACTTGTCATTATCGCCTGCCCCAGAGAAAAGGAACTCTTGCTATAGTGTGGGATATGCAACAGAATTAGTATAACGAACATTATACAGATGTGAACATTAGTATAATATCGAAAACATAGTTCAAAATACCAATAAATGCGGCGTTGTAGAATGCAGGCGCCTTCGAGTTCAACGATTTTAATGGTTTAATTGCCATGTATAATGTGCTAAAGTAAATGGTTTGAACCCAGGAGTATCGTTACATGTTTGTAAATGTAGATCGTCCAGGTTGGTATAGTCCTGAGAAGGACTGTTTTTGTTGTTGTTGACTGACGTTTCGACAACCTTAGCGGTAGTCATCTTCAGAGTGAAATGTATAATGTGCATTGACAAAAGCTTACATGAAGACTTTAACCTGTATAGCCGCAAAGTCACCATGGTGGGTTAATAAATAAAGTGCATAGGTTATGAATAAAAGTTGTTTACAAAGGGTGTTTCGAAGGTTAAAATGTTCTAATCATGGGCGTAGGAAGATCGATAATTGGGGGGAAGGCTCATATTCATATATTCTCATGATATAACTTAACTCCCAGAGCGTAAGGCACTGAAATCCATTGTTTTCAAAGGATTATGACATGAATACATAAATATGAGCCCCCCCCAAATTATCAATTTTCCTACGTCCATGGTTGTAATTAAAACCTACACAAGATCATTTTCGTCCGAGTCGAGTTCGTCCAAAGTAACATTCGAGGAAACGTCCAGTAATGCAGTGATACTTGCACTGTTTCCTAATTTTACTAATCCAGCACAGAAACATCGACCCATTTCCTCGAGTTCTTTCGTTCCAAGATGCATACCCTACCAAAAAAATACACAAGTGTTAAAGTAATCTGATCAAATGAGAGTAATTTTAAGGAGAAAAAGAATCCTTGAGATCGTAATAGGAAAAGTAAATAACGTTCTCAAGAAATTTCACTTTCACTAGTAACACAAAATCAATTTTATAGAAATAGTTGTTTTCAGAGAACAAATATTTTATCATTTGCAAGTTTTTCGTGAAAATCGGTGTCGAAACGTCTGTAGTCTTAAACAACGAATTATCTGAAACTGAAATCGACTTTATTATGAACGTTTGCATGTTTGTTTTTGCTTACTTCTTGTGGTGGTCTGTCGCTCATTTACATGTGTTAAAACCATGTTATAAATTTGCTTGTGCTTCAACTTAAATTTTTAATTATATGTTGAAATATAGCAAGTAAGTTGAACATTTTCAAGAATCAATACAAACAAAGAACACGATTATTAGGAAAGTACAGACCATTAATTCCTCAATTTACATAGAAGCTATAGGTTCTGTAACTCCAGAAATAATACGACGAAACTATATTTGATTACAGTGTTAGATTTTTTTAATGAAAAATTTTTTCACTCTTTTAAGGCACTTTAAGAGCTAAACCTCTGAGAAACGGAACGCAGCCATACCTTGTATGGTCCTTGATCAGCTCCACAGTAAGTACTTTCCATAGTGTAACTTCTAGAAATATCAAACTCACGCCACACGACAACTCTGGCCGTAGTCTCTTTTGAAGTCGCAACATCAAAATTGCAATTTTGATAAGTGAATGATGGTGCAATGGAGTGAAGAATTCTCGGTAACGTCTGAACGCAGAACAAACGTTGATCAACACAGTCAAATAAATTGTTTTGTTATGCAGATCAACGAAATAAACACACAGTCAAACAAATTGTTTTGTTATGCATATCAACGAAATAAACACACAGTCGAACAAATTGTTTTGTTATGCATATCAACGAAATAAACACACAGTCGAACAAATTGTTTTGTTATGCATATCAACGAAATAAACACACAGTCGAACAAATTGTTTTGTTATGCATATCAACGAAATAAACACACAGTCAAACAAATTGTTTTGTTATGCAGATCAACGAAATAAACACACAGTCAAACAAATTGTTTTGTTATGCATATCAACGAAATAAACACACAGTCGAACAAATTATTTTGTCATGCAGATCAACGAAATAAACACACAGTCAAACAAATTGTTTTGTTATGCATATCAACGAAATAAACACACAGTCAAACAAATTGTTTTGTTATGCATATCAACGAAATAAACACACAGTCGAACAAATTGTTTTGTTATGCATATCAACGAAATAAACACACAGTCGAACAAATTGTTTTGTTATGCATATCAACGAAATAAACACACAGTCAAACAAATTGTTTTGTTATGCATATCAACGAAATAAACACACAGTCAAACAAATTGTTTTGTTATGCATATCAACGAAATAAACACACAGTCAAACAAATTATTTTGTCATGCAGATCAACGAAATAAATATGTTTGTCAATATAGTTGTTGCATTTCCATTTTCACGAGAGAAATAAAAAAGATTTGGACTAATTGATAACATTGTTGCTCATAAATAAATACAAATATCTATCACACATGCGCAGTAAGGCTAATGATGACTTTTCGCCAATTGCACTGCCATTTCTTGGAGTGAAATTTCTATTATTTCATTACCAAAAGTAGAAACGCTGATGGATGACTTGACGTAAATGGTAAAAAATAGGTTTGAGTGCTCGAAACCTGTTGTAATAATTGCTTTTTGTATCATATTATAGGTATCTCTATGTATGCATGCATCAATCGAGTACCTCTCTATCACTCTTTACATCTTATATATGATCACTATATTTAAGTATGTATTCATTGACCTAAAGGTATGGCCTAGCTAGCCTTGATAATTTGAGGGTTTTTCATATATGCATGTTATAATCCGCAGGAAACATTTGATTTCAAAACAACTTCACGAATATTTCCCCCCCCCCGACTTATAATTTGAGACAACCGTAAAATATTTATAAATTGATTACATGTCTGCACTAACTGTCATCGCTTTTGATTGATGCATCGCGAGGTAAACATCCATCGACTTCATGGCAGATAAAAACAGTTTCAATAAAACTTATCACAAGCTATAATCAGTATAACGGTTATACTGGGGGTCTCCAAACTACGGCCCGCGGGCCAGATGCGGCCCGTTGTGCCTCTCAATCCGGCCCGCAGAGGCACTTAAGAAAAAATAATATTATTATTAAACAAAATAAACTTTGTGCAGAAAGTTCACGTTATGTCGCAAGCCAACTAGCAAGAGTGGCTTACGTCAATTTTTCTCCCAACTTCCTACTTTCGTTTCAAGCACATTGCGAAATTTAAAAAGCTGAAGGATAACGTGGAAATTTTTTATATTCCTCGGCCCTCAACATGCTGGATGAAAGTTCATGTGGCCCTCTGGCTGTAAAGTTTGGAGACCCCTGGTATAACCAGTTGATGTCTTGTTATCTATGGTTTATGTGTAAGCTATTTTCTTTTTGTCCAGGATGTAATGCCTGTAGTTGAGTTATTGCTTCTTTGCTTTTATGCATGATGGTATAACCAGTTGATGTTTTGTTATCTATGGTTTATGTGTAAGCTATTTTCTTTTTGTCCAGGATGTAATGCCTGTAGTTGAGTTATTGCTTCTTTGCTTTTATGCATGATGGATCACGCCTGGCAGAAAACTGTCATTGAGGTAAAGAGTTTGAAAATGTATGTATGTATAATTGTAAAAATGTATGTATAATTATGCATGATGGATCACGCCTGGCAGAAAACTGTCATTGAGGTAAAGAGTTTGAAAATGTATGTATGTATAATTGTAAAAATGTATGTATAATTATGCATGATGGATCACGCCTGGCAGAAAACTGTCATTGAGGTAAAGAGTTTGAAAATGTATTTCGCATTTGTTGAAACAAGCTGAAGACGGACAACATGCCAATAGTATAAGACTGAACTGATGCGCAGTCCACTTGACCAACTAATGGATGCATACCCATCAACAGGATATGCCTGCACTGCATTGAGAGAACTAATTCGCTCGATCACAACTTATTAGAAAAATGATCTAAGCATGCGCAGTCCACTCGACCAACTAATGGATGCATACCCATCAACAGGATATGCCTACACTGCATTGAGAGAACTAATTCGCTCGATCACAACTTATTAGAAAAATCATCTAAGCATGCGCAGTCCACTCGATCAACTAATGGATGCATACCCATGAACAGGATATGCCTACACTGCATTGAGAGAACTAATTCGCTCGATCACAACTTATTAGAAAAATCATCTAAGCATGCGCAGTCCTCTTGACCAAATGTTACAGTTCATGTTACAGTTCATAGTTGTGGCAGCAACCAGCTGGATCTACTTGTACCAATTTTGGACTTAGTAGCTGGGTCAGAAATAATTAGAGAAATCGTCTAAGCTCATTTGCTATAATAGATAAAATACTTACCCTAAAACTTGCTTCTTGTGTTTTTGCTTCTTCGACATTAGATGAATCGGATTCTGAGCCCGAAGTAACTATAGTAACCGGCAGGTCAGCGGTTGAATTACGACAACCGTACATGAAAATGTTCTTTTTTCGGGAATGACCATGGAAATCACAAAACACCTAAAAGTGTGAGCGAAAAAAACATGAATTTCTCACCTTTTGAAAAACTGACTGGAAGAGCATATTTAATAAACGAAAAATAATTCAATCTACCTTTCCGACGGTAAACACACGTATCAAAAATACGATATCAAAGTACAAAATTCGGACAGCACATAGTGTTGTTTTTGTAGAATAGTGACAATAAAGTAGAAATAAGATGCTCTTGGGGAATCGGACAGTACATAGTGTTGTTTATGTAGAATAGTGACAATAAAGTAGAAAGAAGATGCTCTTGGGGCATTTGTATATCTTCTTTTAGAAATACAGAACGATTTATAAAGGCAAAAGGTGCAAGAGAGAATAAAAACCATTTCCCGTCAAATCAAAGGAGAGCTTGAATATGACATGCAATATGCAGATACGAGAAAGTTATAGAGAAACATAAGAAACATCTCTAACGTTGTCACGGATTTTACGAGTGCCGTAACAAAGTATTGGTGAGTTTCTCAAAACAAGCTTAAGAAGACAAAGAGCATGCCAAAAATATATAATTGAAAACTTGCTCAGCGCATCTACAAGCACCAATTTCAGAGCACGCTCTGTCACAAATGAATTGAGAATGAACATGAGCATGCTGGTCAACTCTACAAACTCTCCAAGTTCATGGTAATGGAAACGACCATAGGGATACACTAGTAGCCATTATGGAGTAAATAGGTCGCTCAGTCACAAATTTTTCGATAAATCATCTGCGCATGCGCGGTTTGCTTGAATATGCGCAGTCAAATTGACCAGCTGCCCAAATTCATTGTCATGTCAACGACTAACTTCATCTACTAGAACCAATTTTGAATTAAACAGCATACTTAGTTGTATGATGATTGCGCAGTCCGCTCGACTAATTGTTCATAGTTATGGCAACGACTAACTATATGTACTTGCTCTACATTTGTGGCAATTAGCTCACATAGTGGCAAATTATCAAAGAAATAAGCTGGGCATGCGCAGTAGTGACATTAATTATACCACAATTTTCGTAAGCCTTTGAATTTTGGTATATAAATATAAAGCCAATACTAGGTATAGTAGATGTCAACTAGCAGTGGAAGCTGGGTGCGATATAGTATGCAGTGGCTTAGGGGCCCACACTTCGGTGGCGACCGCACTCTCCCTGCGTACCCCGAGCAAAGCCTATCGCAGGTGATCTCGGGGTCTGATGGGCGGAAGCTTGCTATTGCATCTCCCAAGTAGGATAGCGTGGAGGGGCCGAAATCTCCTACCGAAACGTTAACATGCGGCGTTCTAGTGCCTTACGCTTAAGAAGGTATCGGGAAGCATGGACCGAAAACGGGGTTTTTTGCTTTCGAATTTTATCTTTTCGTTCTTCTCATAAAGATTTCTTGTCATAGAAGAAACTAGAACATCCAAAGATACAGCAAAGATTCAAACAACTTTTGCCTTTATGACTTGAAATTTAAACCAACTCTAAACATGTTTACACGTTTTTACTTGTTACCTTTTTACAATGTAACTTTTTTATAACTCTTTCGTGATGAACGAGAGCCTCCTTATACAATATCACCCTCTCATCATGAAAGCAATCATCCATGGGCTTCATGAAAAAAAGGTATTATCTACTTTTTTATAATAGTTTTTACAAAGATAACATTTAATAAGCGAAGCCATTTGTATCGTCTAAATTGAACCCTAATGTCATAAAAATTTTAATTCATTTTGGATGATAAATTTCTTTGTATCTTACATTACTTTCATGATTAAATCTAGAAAGTAACTTCACTTTTCGAGAAATTTTGCGATTAAACAGAACACTTTTCGGATTCAAAGGACTTCTTTCTGATCACATAAAGAAAGCCGTCCAATTTATTACGTACATGCATGTAGCATGTATTTTGTTGGCAGAAACTCCCCCTATCAAAGAATATCCAGACCCGATTTTAGCTCGAAGCCAAGCTCGTACAAACGAGCCAACCACGAAGAAATCTTTCTATCATGCGATTATTGAAATTTATAGATTATAGTGAAATTTTCGCCGAAGATATAGAACAATTTCAAACGCTTCAAGACAATCACTTAATTTGCATAAAAATTTCTTACGAAGGAACTAGGTTCGTTGTTTACGTTTTTTTTCCTTTTGAAGGAATTGTAATAAACTTGCTTAGATATTTATTAAGTTGCTTGACGGGAATATTGTCCACGCTTTAAAAGCCATGTTTCGACGATGAACAAAAAATTACCGAAGAAATACAATGTCCTGCTGTTTGTATCATTTTCCTTACATTTATATTGAATTCGCTCGTGGAGAGTGTCTTCATAAATTGCAAAGCCATTGATAAATGAAATAAAAAAAGATTGTTTTTGTTTTCTTTAATTTTCATACTGTTCACAGTTCGTGATAAAACTTGATATGCATTTTGTCACTAGTGAAAAAAAATGATATATCCAATCAGAATGCAGATACGACGTTTTTCACTAGTGAAGAAAATGATATATCCAATCAGAATGCAGATACGACGTTTTTCACTAGTGAAAAAAATGATATATCCAATCAGAATGCAGATACGACGTTTTTCACTAGTGAAGAAAATGATATGTCCAATCAGGTGCTCGGAAATTATAGGCATATGATTTTTAAATCACCGTTTTGTTGCGCATAAATTTCAATACTCGTATGATAAGATTGTATCACAGCCATTGATCACAACTAATGCAATAACTAAATAAATAATAGTTAATTAATCCAACAAATCAACTAGAATCCAATAACCGAAAAGGTGCCGTACCATCCAAAATCATACAACTCGCAAATGGACGGAAGTTTTGCTTCTACGTCACAAGTGATTTAAGGTCAATGCTGTCATCCATTATAAATTCAGGTAAAACAGAATTTGTCCATCATAAAATAGTGAATTTTAAGGGTAATGATGATAATGCTTTGTTAATGTCACACATGCTTCAGGGAAAATCATATAATTATCAATGTGTTGCATAAACATACCAGAGGTTTCCGGTGCATGGTCTGTAAATACAACAATAATCCTTTAGCATGATAGATAGTAGGGTACAAAGTAGGATCAGGGTCCATCCACTGTCTGTTGAGATCAGATCCAGAGAGAGAGCAACGATGGCTACGGAAAAGCGCGATAAACAATACATACAAGCATGACATTCATTATTAAGTTACATATTTATGAGTGACTAGATTAAAGTAAATGGTTTGAACCCGGGAGTATCGTTACATGTTTGTAGATGTAGATCGTCCAGGTTAGTATTGTCCTGAGAAGGACTGTTTTTGTTCATTTTGACACTGAAGATGACTACCGCTAAGGTTGTCGAAATGTCTGTCAACAACAACAAAAACAGTCCTTCTCAGGACTATACCAACCTGGACGATCTACATCTACAAACATGTAGTGACTAGATTGTTTGATCAATTTTTTAGAGAAATTATCTTAGCATTTGCAGTGGAAGCTTGGTGCCTATTCGATCGTCACAGCGACTTAGGAGTGCGTGACTCTAGGCGTACCACCTCAGTGATCTGATGGGTTGAATTTTGTAAGGTGAACATACCCACGCGGATAGTATCTCCCACCAAAACGTAACATGCGACGCTGTAGAGCTCAAATCTCAAATATTTGGAAGCATGGTTCAATTCTCATTTCATCGCAAAAATAAAATACGAATACTGCAAGATTTCAACCAATTTCTGCATTTTTGACTTATAATTTAAGTCAACCATGTTTACAAATATTCCGCGAACTGTAAACATTTTTACAGTTTAACTTTCTCGTTTACTGTTTCGTGTATCACGAGAAGGGCCGCCACAGGCTTTATGGCATGATTTATCTGCATGCTTTCCATGTTTCATTTCATGTTGAAAGGATTGAGTCCAATGGACTTTAAAGTTTTCGCGATGATAACATTTAATAGGCCAAGAAATTGGTAAAATGATTGAGTCAAATAGACTTTAAAGTTTTCACAATGATAACATTTAATAAGCCAAGAAATTGGTAAAATGATTGAGTCCAATAGACTTTAAAGTTTTCACAATGATTACATTTAATAGGCCAAGATATTGGTAAAATGATTGAGTCCAATGGACTTTAAAGTTTTCACAATGATAACATTTAATAAGCCAAGAAATTGGTAAAATGATTGAGTCCAATGGACTTTAAAGTTTTCACAATTATAATATTTAATAGGCCAAGAAATTGGTAAAATGATTGAGTCCAATAGACTTTAAAGTTTTCACAATGATTACATTTAATAGGCCAAGATATTGGTAAAAGGATTGAGTCCAATGGACTTTAAAGTTTTCACAATGATAACATTTAATAAGCCAAGAAATTGGTAAAATGATTGAGTCCAATAGACTTAAAAGTTTTCACAATGATTACATTTAATAGGCTAAGAAATTGATAAATATTATGTTAAGTTTTCAAAGGTTCATATAACTAAACCATCACTTACCAGCCATTGATTACACCATCCGGGTTAAGCATCGGAATGATTTTAAAAATGTACATTTCCCTGAGCATTTTCGCCGTTATTTTGTTACTCAGCAGAAAATCAAACACGCCTACATAACAAGATGCATAAAGGTCTGAGAGAATTATTTAGATCCATTCAGACGAGGTTAAAGTTTCAAAGACCTAAGACCATGTTGGATTCTTTTTACGAACTTTTAATTCCAGATGGAAAATAAAATGAACTCGCAACGTTTTTTGTTACAAGACTCAGAGACTCTAGAACATATAAATCATCCGCGCATGCGCAGTCTCCTTGAGCATGCGCAGACGAATTGACCAGCTGCCCAAATTCATGGCAACGACCATTGAGCTCTATTAAATTACCTGGAGGGGAAAAGGGGTCTGGACACGGGTGTCAAAAACATGGATGCCACAAGGAAATTTTGGGTGAAAAACTTCCACTTAAAAAATTATTTTTATCATTCACTCCCCCCTGTGGCTGAACTTAAATTGAGTACTAGACAACTGACTAAGTATTGTATGTAAACTGTAAGACAATTTTTTTTGGGTTTGGTGATCAAGTTCTTTTTATTTCGAAACGCGGGTGTGAAGTACTTGTTATGTTTAACGAATCTGTGCAAAATTGCGGAGTTGAAGGACGCGTATTCTTACGACGAAAAATGTAATGACTCTTTTGACTTTTGATGATTTTTGACTTGGTTTGCCGAATCCCGATTGCTCATTACATGACAGTCCTGTCATCTACTTTCTTGTTCAGCAATCTAGATTCTATGGTCAACTTTCTTTACTATTGCTGAGAATTGTTGCACCTAAATAATAACTAGCAGGATATTTTCCCATTATATTATTATGCAGTTTTTTACTATACCTGAAGTAAAAGTAGTGGCGATATGTTTATAACTCTTGTGTTATATAAATTGTCGACAAACCATAAAAATTGAAAATAAAGGATTTATTACACGATTCATTGAGTTTTCGTTTTGTAGTTTTTCTTTGATACAGGACTACACATTTTACTAATTTAATCAACCTCAACACAAATTGTGTTGTTTTGATCGTCATGTTAATTTGTTATCAAACAAAATGAGCTTCTGCTACTTTTTAGCCTGCTAAAGAAAGTTTTGAAATAAAGAAGAGAGGATGTGAAAATCATTGACAAAACACCAAGTACAAACCATCGAATATAAGCATCAACTGTAATGATAAAAGATAAATTAAAATGAAAAAAGTATTAAAGAAAATGAAGCGAAAAAAGCGATTGCAAAAAAGCGAAAAAGCAACTGTAAAAAAGCGACGGCATTAAATTGTAAAAGCAATACGTAAATTCGTAAAAATTATATTCTTTCTTTCCTACAGGTGCATTGAAAACTTTTCATTTGCTGTACTATTTTGGCACGCAGGTACCGCACAATATTTTGGCATTTTAGAAAGAAAGTTTTGAAATATAAGACTTGTTGTTACGACGGCGCAGTAAAAATATGAAATTTAAATATATTCCGGGGGAGTGCAAAACTTTTCATTGAAAGAGGCCACGTCATTTCCCCCCAAAATTTCCCATATTTGGTATGACGGCATCCATGTTTTTGATACCCGGCCGCGCGTTAATAAAATATAGTAATTTGGGTGTGGATTTCCCGTCCAAGTAATTACTATACAGGTCAGTGGCAACGACTAACTTCATCTACTAGAATCAATTTTGAAGTCAAAAGCATACTAAGTAGCATGATCTGCGCATGTGCTAGACCGTGTGCAATCCATTCGACTAATGCTTCATAGTCATGGCAACGACTAATTATATAATGATTAATAGATTCTGATGGTGTTGACCATACACTCATTGAAGCAGCAATCACGCATTGACTTTTTCAACCAACCTTTCATTACCCAGCTTGCATTGCTTTCCCCAGGATGGACTCGCGAGGTGAGGAAAATGTATGAACGAGTGTCTGGAAAGTAAAGTAATAAAAGAATTCAATACAAAACACCAAAAGACGAGATTTTCGTAGCGTAGAGTTCAACTCGAACTTCGGTAAGACAAAGAGTTAGATAAATTTCACGCCTATAGGGAACTGGGACAATTTGAATTACGTAATCATATAGTTAATGAATGTTTTTATGCAGTGCGGTAATTGAAATTAAATGAAGATCATATCTTCATATAGTTAATCACGTGTAGATTTGAATTACGTAATCATATAGTTAATCATTCGTAGTGTACAATCACGTGAGTAAGGGGTATTTAGAGACTATATTCGAGAGGGATGGGTAGTAATTTCGAGAGTTTAGTCGAGTACACATATCTGTAGGTAAAAAGGTGATTAATAAAATAAATCAAACTTGTGAGTGTGTTGGCCATCAACTTAGCTTCTATAGCGTTCCCAACAACGCCATTAATAACAACATTTCACATTTGTATTCAAATGAAACAGTTGTAGTGTATACGTATCTTTAGAAGATGGCAAAAAACATAGGTTGTTCATCATAAAATGAGAAGCAGAAACACGTCACATGTCACAGAAACACGTCGCATGTCACAGAAACACGTCACATGTGATATTTAACAATTTGTTTGATTTCTCAATACGTGAAACAAGTCGATTGATTAATAAATGTTTTATCATAAAAAAATCGGAAATTGCTTTTACGCGAATAATAAATTCCGTTTACCTTCCTTTAAGGTTGGAGAAGTAATTGTCACTACGTAACGTTTACCTTCCTTTAAGGTTGGAGAAGTAATTGTCACTACGTAACGTTTACCTTCCTTTAAGGTTGGAGAAGTAATCGTCACTACGTAACGTTTACCTTCCTTTAAGGTTGGAGAAGTAATCGTCACTACGTAACGTTTACCTTCCTTTAAGGTTGGAGAAGTAATTGTCACTACGTAACGTTTACCTTCCTTTAAGGTTGGAGAAGTAATCGTCACTACGTAATGTTTACCTTCCTTTAAGGTTGGAGAAGTAATCGTCACTACGTAACACGGATTTCCGGAAAGCGAATCACATAAAACTTGCCGCTCATAGAAAATTTTTCTGGAATCCAGTCGATTTTCATGTCTTTCCAAGTGGTTCTGAACAAAAAAATTATGTGGTCATCTTCAATCTTTTCACCATTCAATCAACTTAAAGATGGAGAGGGCAGTACTAAACAAAGATTATACTTTTTACTCTTGTCGAATGAAATTTAAAATAAAGAAATTTCAGCCTTCCAAGTGCAGCAAACCATTTAAAAACGAATTTAGATAATTACGTGATACAGCACTGAATAATAAATTTTCCCTACGTAAATTGTACCATAATTTACAACAAAGAAGCGACAGCAAGAAGGGCCTAAAGGGGCCTAAAGAACATTAATTGTCCCAAAAAGTATTCTTAAAACAGATACGCTGCTGTTGTAATCAATATATATCCTGAAAATCACCAAGACCAACAGGCGTGTACACAAATAAGTCAAAGTGCAGAACGAGCTTCCCTTCAGGGTGTATCAAGAAAAGTTAATCAATTTAAAAATGTCTAGAAAACTATTATTTCAGCGGTGAAAGTTTTAACTTTCTGTACCTTAAGTTGAACATAAGGTTTTCTAGAAAACTATTATTTCAGCGGTGAAAGCTTCAACTGTCTATACCTTAAGTTGAACATAAAGTTTACTGTGAAACCTGTCAAAATTGGACGTTTGTGTCTTTCACTCCATTTTCATGTAACTTTTTCTTATTTAACACTGAATACATGCATGAGTGATTGCTTGAATGAACTAACTACCAATGAAAAATTAACTTTGAATAGACAACAAATTTGGCGAGAATGCATGGAGAAACGTCAAAAACGTCCAATTTACGCACGATACGCGTTTAACTTAATGTTTATCAAATTTCCTAAAATTTTAGCACAAACCACAACAGAGTTCAAAATTTCATCTCAATGAATTAAATTAAATTTTAAACATTTCATTTTCTTTGCGCAAGCGGTTAAAATCGAGGCTTTTTACAAACTGCTCCACCGGTTTTCCTGGAGATTAATTTTTTTGATCGTTTTTACTTTTAGATAAACCAGACGATGCCAAAATACATCGGCGTCGACAAATTTTTTGCGAACTTTTGCTGCAATTGTAGTTTCCTGGACATTTTAAAAGTGTCTAACAAATTTTTTGCGAACTTTTGCTGCAATGATAGTTTCCTGGACATTTTAAAAGTGTCTAAATAATAACTTTGATACACCATTTTGTAGCTAGCTAATTGTTAACCCAGCGGTCTTATTTCTTACCTGGAGAAGTGAAAAGGAGTAAGGATAATGGTAAGCAAGGTAACAACTGTCATCAGCATGCGTGAAATTTATAGTAAACGTTAATGTATAGTAGTATCCTTCTTTTTCGGCATTACGACCTGGGCAAGATCGTTTGTAACGATTCTTATAGTAGCAAATATCTGTTCCAGTTCGTATCCATCCTGGATCACCATCTTCTGCATCTTTACATGAATACAGGACAGGTTGCATACCTTAAGATGGTAAAACATGAAGTGGCATTATATAATAAAAATAATAAAGGCCGTGTTCGCATTAGCCAGTGCCACGATTCATAAACTCACCAAAGTTGAATTGGCTATTTACTTTTTCACAGTTGATAATGTTGAACTTGTAAGGTACATCTTTCTCCATATTTCTCACCTAGAATAATAATTCGTAATCCACTGAAGGTATCTTCATTGAAACATAAACACAGTCAACTTTCGTTCAAGCAGACCGTGATGTAGTGTTCGTAATGGCGGGAGATTCCATATAATATCCCAGGTTAGGTTGTAGCTATATTGTTTTAACACTTTGAATCGCACTTCTAAAATATTTAGTTTATTTTAACTTTATAAGTCACATTTACTGTAAAATTATGTTTCTTTCCATTAACTTCACCATTCTTTGACTATAATATAGTGCTCAATGAAAAATAAATCCTGCATGGATGGGTGTCCGTTGTAAAAGAAGAAGAGCAATGAAGTTGTTTGTTCTGTTTTACAGAAGAGCAATGACGATGTTTGTTGTGTTTTAAAGAAGAGCAATGACGATGTTTGTTGTATTTTAAAGAAGAGCAATGAAGATGTTTGTTGTGTTTTAAAGAAGAGCAATGAAGATGTTTGTTGTATTTTAAAGAAGAGCAATGACGATGTTTGTTGTGTTTTAAAGAAGAGCAATGAAGATGTTTGTTGTGTTTTAAAGAAGAGCAATGAAGATGTTAGTTGTGTTTTAAAGAAGAGCAATGACGATGTTAGTTGTGTTTTAAAGAAGAGCAATGAAGATGTTTGTTGTGTTTTAAAGAAGAGCAATGACGATGTTTGTTGTGTTTTAAAGAAGAGCAATGAAGATGTTTGTTGTGTTTTAAAAAAAGCAATGAAGATGTTTGTTGTGTTTTAAAGAAGAGCAATGAAGATGTTTGTTGTGTTTTAAAAAAAGCAATGAAGATGTTTGTTGTGTTTTAAAGAAGAGCAATGAAGATGTTTGTTGTGTTTTAAAGAAGAGCAATGAAGATGTTAGTTGTGTTTTAAAGAAGAGCAATGACGATGTTAGTTGTGTTTTAAAGAAGAGCAATGAAGATGTTTGTTGTGTTTTAAAGAAGAGCAATGACGAAGTTTGTTGTGTTTTAAAAAGAGCAATGACGATGTTTGTTGTGTGTTTAAAAAAAAGCAATGACGATGTTTGTTGCGTTTTAAAGAAGAGCAATGACGAAGTTTGTTGTGTTTTAAAAAAGAGCAATGACGATGTTTGTTGTGTTTTAAAAAAGAGCAATGAAGATGTTTGTTGTGTTTTAAAGAAGAGCAATGACGATGTTTGTTGCGTTTTAAAGAAGAGCAATGAAGATGTTTGTTGTGTTTTAAAGAAGAGCAATGACGAAGTTTGTTGTGTTTTAAAAAAGAGCAATGACGATGTTTGTTGTGTGTTTAAAAAAAAGCAATGACGATGTTTGTTGTGTTTTAAAGAAGAGCAATGAAGATGTTTGTTGTGTTTTAAAAAGAGCAATGACGATGTTTGTTGTGTTTTAAAAAAGAGCAATGAAGATGTTTGTTGTGTTTTAAAGAAGAGCAATGAAGATGTTTGTTGTGTTTTAAAGAAGAGCAATGAAGATGTTTGTTGCGTTTTAAAGAAGAGCAATGACGAAGTTTGTTGTGTTCTAAAGAAGAGCAATGACGATGTTTGTTGTGTTTTAAAGAAGAGCAATGACGATGTTAGTTGTGTTTTAAAAAAGAGTAATGACGATGTTTGTTGTGTTTTAAAAAAAGCAATGAAGATGTTTGTTGTGTTTTAAAGAAGAGCAATGAAGATGTTTGTTGCGTTTTAAAGAAGAGCAATGACGAAGTTTGTTGTGTTTTAAAGAAGAGCAATGACGAAGTTTGTTGTGTTTTAAAGAAGAGCAATGACGAAGTTTGTTGTGTTCTAAAGAAGAGCAATGACGATGTTTGTTGTGTTTTAAAAAAAGCAATGAAGATGTTTGTTGTGTTTTAAAGAAGAGCAATGAAGATGTTTGTTGTGTTTTAAAGAAGAGCAATGACGAAGTTTGTTGTGTTTTAAAGAAGAGCAATGACGAAGTTTGTTGTGTTTTAAAGAAGAGCAATGACGATGTTTGTTGTGTTTTAAAGAAGAGCAATGACGAAGTTTGTTGTGTTCTAAAGAAGAGCAATGACGATGTTTGTTGTGTTTTAAAGAAGAGCAATGACGATGTTAGTTGTGTTTTAAAAAAGAGTAATGACGATGTTTGTTGTGTTTTAAAAAAAGCAATGAAGATGTTTGTTGTGTTTTAAAGAAGAGCAATGAAGATGTTTGTTGTGTTTTAAAGAAGAGCAATGAAGATGTTTGTTGTGTTTTAAAGAAGAGCAATGAAGATGTTTGTTGTGTTTTAAAAAAGAGCAATGACGATGTTTGTTGTGTTTTAAAGAAGAGCAATGAAGATGTTTGTTGTGTTTTAAAGAAGAGCAATGACGATGTTTGTTGTGTTTTAAAAAAGCAATGAAGATGTTTGCTGTGTTTTAAAGAAGAGCAATGAAGATGTTTGTTGTGTTTTATTTTAGTTAGATGTTAGTTAATCACATTCTTACTTCAAAGTAGAACCATTGATGATGAATTTTGCAGTTGATATCTGAATTTAAAATGAGATCGTATTCTCGTTCATTTATCTAAACAAAATATAACCATGCACTCACAGTGATCGATATGTACATAGCATTTACATATAAAGTTATATGGATATTATGATCTAATATGATGATAAGTTCCTTCTATTTAATAATTATCAATGACCTAGAACCCAGTCTACTAGATATATGACTCCGTCAAAATTCTTTGGTTGCAAGTGAGGCAAGCCGCCATATTGAAAGGCGGCAAAACTGAAGACATTTACGACAAAATCTGCTTTTCCTGAGTTGATGTACTGCTGCAAAGTGGGTAGATAGTCTGGGTTCGATTTTTAAAAAGTTTGATAGGATTGGTTTTAAAACTTTCTTTTGACTTATTTTTCATTTCGAGTTTTGCTTTATGCCGCCTCTTAAGATGGCATTTTTGCCTCATCTTCAGACGGTAGCTTTAGACGTGGGTTCCAAATCATTGGTTATTACTGTACACTAGCACACAGTTTTTATAACTTACAACTCGTATTATAGTTTGATTGTAGATTATAAAATAAACACAATGAAACGCGTGCGCTGATTGGTCTAGAGCTGTGTTTGCATTAACCTGTGCAAAACACATCTGAGCTAAACCAACCAACTCAATCAAAACAATCAATCAGTCAAAGAGAATTTACAAATCGATCATGAGTACATTTTAGAGGAAAAATTAAAATGTTTGTCTTTTTTCGCATTATTGTGAACCTCGGAGATGTTTGTGAGAACTCTCGAGCATGTGCAACACTTGACCTTCGGTCTCGGGCTTGCACTGATCTGCTCACGAGTTCTCCCAAAGGTCTCCTCGGTTTGCATAAGCCTGTTCAAACACAGCAAACATCTTTTATTTCTTAATTGAAAGTTACCTGCAGGCGAGAAAATATGAAATATCACCGACATAATGAATATATTACCTGAATGGCCTTGCGCAGATTTCCACATTCAAACCTGGATTCAAAGGATAACACTGGACTTTTATTTTGACATACTTTTGACGAGCATCTACACAAACACGAAAAATGCAACGGGAAGAGATCTGTTTAATTTAGACATTTTGACATACTTTTGACGAGCATCTACACAAAGACGAAAAATGCAACGGGAAGAGATCTGTTTAATTTAGACATTTTGACATACTTTTGACAAGCATCTACACAAAGACGAAAAATGCAACGGGAAGAGATCTGTTTAATTTAGACATTTTGACATACTTTTGACAAGCATCTACACAAAGACGAAAAATGCAACGGGAAGAGATCTGTTTAATTTAGACATTTTGACATACTTTGACAAGCATCTACACAAAGACGAAAAATGCAACGGGAAGAGATCTGTTTAATTTAGACATTTTGACATACTTTGACAAGCATCTACACAAAGACAAAATGCAACGGGAAGAGATCTGTTTAATTTAGACATTTTGACATACTTTTGACAAGCATCTACACAAAGACAAAAATGCAACGGGAAGAGATCTGTTTAATTTAGACATTTTGACATACTTTTGACAAGCATCTACACAAAGACAAAATGCAACGGGAAGAGATCTGTTTAATTTAGACATTTTGACATACTTTTGACAAGCATCTACACAAAGACGAAAAATGCAACGGGAAGAGATCTGTTTAATTTAGACATTTTGACATACTTTTGACAAGAATCTACACAAAGACAAAAATGCAACGGGAAGAGATCTGTTTAATTTAGTGCAACTTTATTTTTTCAAGTATTTCTGTAAAAATAATCTCGTTCCAATTCCGATGGCTATATTGTCTAAATTCCCAATTCTGTCTCACAAAAATTTTAGGTAACTGTGATAAAAATAATGAAATTACGATAGAAACGCGAGATAACCTTATTTTCTGAAGGAAATACATACAGAGCGTAAAAGTTCAAATCAAGTTTCTCAACACAAAACAAGAAAGAAAGTAAACAATTCATAGAACAAACAATGAACTGCTAGGGTCAAGAGCATACTTTGGTATATCTGAGGACTGGCACGAGACATTGAACGATGATACAGACATAAACTGCTAAGGTCAAGAGCATACTTTGGTATATCTGAGGACTGGCACGAGACATTGAACGATGATACAGACATAAACTGCTAAGGTCAAGAGCATACTTTGGTATATCTGAGGACTGGCACGAGACATTGAACAATGATACAGACATAAACTGCTAAGGTCAAGAGCATACTTTGGTATATCTGAGGACTGGCACGAGACATTGAACGATGATACAGACATAAACTGCTAAGGTCAAGAGCATACTTTGGTATATCTGAGGACTGACACGAGACATTGAACGATGATACAGACATAAACTGCTAAGGTCAAGAGCATACTTTGGTATATCTGAGGACTGGCACGAGACATTGAACGATGATACAGACATAAACTGCTAGGGTCAAGAGCATGCTTTGGTATATCTGAGGACTGGCACAAGACATTGAACGATGATACAGACATAAACTGCTAAGGTCAAGAGCATACTTTGGTATATCTGAGGACTGGCACGAGACATTGAACGATGATACAGACATAAACTGCTAAGGTCAAGAGCATACTTTGGTATATCTGAGGACTGGCACGAGACATTGAACGATGATACAGACATAAACTGCTAGGGTCAAGAGCATGCTTTGGTATATCTGAGGACTGGCACGAGACATTGAACGATGATACAGACATAAACTGCTAAGGTCAAGAGCATACTTTTGTATATCTGAGGACTGGCACGAGACATTGAACGATGATACAGACATAAACTGCTAAGGTCAAGAGCATACTTTTGTATATCTGAGGACTGGCACGAGACATTGAACGATGATACAGACATAAACTGCTAAGGTCAAGAGCATGCTTTGGTATATCTGAGGACTGGCACAAAACATTGAACGATAATAAAGACATAAGCTGCTAGGGTCAAGAGCATACTTTGGTATATCTGAGGACTGGCACGAGACATTGAACGATGATACAGACGCACCAGTACAATTCCTTAAACTATCCAAGTCATAAACAACTCTATCTGAAAACGTCGGACGATTAAGCACCCGTTCAAAGTCCTTCAGTAACATCGACCTAGGTGGAAAAGAAAATCACAAATAACTCATATCCGAGGCTGCCTATGATATAGCGGACAGCATAACTGAGGCTATCATATGTACCGGTCAATAGGTCCCAGAAAATTTTTCTTGTCGGCAAGAAAAAAATTCAGTTGTAAAAAGTTAGAATCACTCAAAGAAAAAAACTGGATTGACATAGAAAGGAAAAATAGAAAGAAAGAAGTTATTTTACACAGAAAATACAAAAACAGCTTTCCATTCAGTGTAAACCTTCGCGCGATCGACCTTTTGCGATCACTCTATTTTGAACTGTGTGCTGCAGTGTGGAATTGTTTCGCTCAAGAACTTAGAATCGAAAAGAAAATAATCTCCAAGGGAGTTTTTAAATGATCCCGATAAACCAGTATTCAGCAAGACGAGAAATGATTTCGAGTCATTGGAAGGAGTCAAAACTTCAAGCGTAAACTTACAGCCTTTTCTCAAGCGTCGTATGTCTTTTTAGTGTAATTTTCAAATCAGGCTAAATTATTTGTTTTCCTTTTAAAGATTGTACAAAGTCAGAGCATTGTGAAATTGCTCGAAAACGTTTTTCGGTTATGAAGGATTCAATCTTTTCGATAGGCCAAAACCATTAAAGCTTCGCTGAGTCCCGGCTACCGGGGCTCAAGCAATCACTGAATAGAAATCAGCGATAACAGTTTTAGGAGAACGTTCACTAAAGACAAGAAAAATTTTCTTGTCCTAGGGGCTGTTCACATGAGCCACGTAACCTGGATTCAGCGAGGCGTGAAAAGATTTTGAGTCATTGAAAGAGTCAAAACTTCAAGCGTAAAACTCACAACCTTTTCTTCAGCGTCATAAGTCTTTTTAGTGTAATTTTCTAATGAAGCTAAATTATTCGTTCTCATTTTAAAGATTTTGCAATTGTACAAAAACGGAGCATTGCGAAATTACTCAAAAAAGTTTTTTTGTTCTGAAGGATTCAATCTTTTCCATTTGCCAAAACTATTTAACGCTTCGCTGAATCCAGGCAAACGGGGCTCATGCAATCATCCCCAAAAGTCGATCGCCCGACAATGTGCACTGAATAGAAATCGGCCATAACAGTTCTGAGAGAAATTTCACTAAAGACAAGAAAAAATCTCTTGTCCTAGACAGAGGCGTAACTAGAACGTTAAATGGGGTGTGTATATTCATATATTCAGTTGTGCCCTACTGATTTCTTTTGAAATTCAATTTACTTTCATAGAGACTTGAATAAAAACAATTCATAGGGCAATCATAGACCAACATAATACTGTCACAGAATAAAAATCATACAGAAGGGCCACTCAAGAGTGCACCGCGTCCTCACGTCTGCCATCATTCCAACAAGATACTTAAGGTTTTCCACATGTTTCCATCTACTGCAATTACATGACGTCATTTCTTCACAATGAAATAGAAAATATTTCACTATAAGAAATGACGTCGTCTCATTTCAGTGGTTGGGAACAAGTGAAAATCCCTAAATATCTTGCTTGTATAATGGCTGCCGAAATGCGCGACACAACATGCGCGAGGACTAAACCATCAAAAGCTCCGACAAGAGTGACCCTTCTCTATATTCCATCTTCTGTGATACTATTAACCGAAGTCGCTTTAAGTAAGATGATACCTTGATATTCCAGGTTTTTTGGAGTATAAAGGCTCAGGATTTAGTGGGGGCATATGCCCATAGATGTCTGGAAACGCTTTCTGGACGAAGTCAGCAAAACTTCTACACTTCCAACGGTCAAAATTTTCAGTAACGGTGTCCTCGGCAAGAGTTCTCGACGTTTCAAGTAGCAGAGACGTTGATGAGGAAACTTCTCTTCGTTCGCTAAAAAATAATACAGTAAGTGTACTTACAGCTGTTAAACGAAGCCCTAAACAAAAAACATATTCATGTTTAAAAGTTTAAAGTTTTCGGCAAAACATCCAGTATCGGAGATGTTCAATAAAGAGTGTGGTGATCATGAAGCAATCCAGTGTACGCAAAGTTTTTGAGATCATCTGAATCATTGACCACGTGATTAAAAGTAAAAATACACTTACTGGGAGCTCAGGGAACCTGAATTATAATTTACAAACAATAAAATTTTCAGCGAATTTGACGTCGAAAGGAATGATTTTTACTTCAGTTATGGTAAGAAACTGTTCAAGAGAAATTCTGTTTATAAAATTGTGTTTTCTAAAAAGTTTTATGTCTTATGTCAAAATGATAATCATTGTAGTGTACCATAGATAGCTTTGAAGTTTCCACCTTGCAAGGACGTCATGTAAGTATCGAGTAAAACTTTAGTAACTAAAAACATTCAACGTGCTCACCTTAAATAGCCGGCCGAAATTTCGTCAGAGGTATCACTACATTTATTGTTACAGTATAACTGTGAGAGATCAGTGCTAGCCGTAGGAATGACTATTGAAGGATAGAGCGAAGTGGAAGCATCATCTTCACTTCCATTTTCAGTCGATTTTTCCTGTGAAAATATACGAATTTAGCCTCTTACTGGTAACAATATGAGATAGCGAATCAAAAGAAAATCATAAAGATATTACGTAAAAAATAGTTTATATGTACACCTGACTTCAATTACATCACAACCATAAATTCGGTCTACACAAAACACAACAATCATCAAACATCGTCATGTGACTATAAAGAGTGCAATCCACGATATGAAACGTACAGTAGGAAATGATCAAAACCAAACGCTTATAAAACACGAGTATAAACAAACGGTTACAATGCATGAGCAAAACCGCACGGTTACATTATATGATTCCAGTCACACGGTTACGAAGTCTGAACATACGGTAATCACACGGTTACAATGCATGAACATACGGTAATCACACGGTAACAATGCATGAACATACGGTAATCACGCGGTTACAATGCATGAACATACGTAATCACGCGGTTACAATGCATGAACATACGGTAATCACGCGGTTACAATGCATGAACATACGGCAATCACACGGTTAGAATGCACGAACATACGGTAATCACACGGTTACATTGCATGAACATACGGTAATCACGCGGTTACAATGCATGAACATACGTAATCACGCGGTTACAATGCATGAACATACGGTAATCACGCGGTTACAATGCATGAACATACGGTAATCACGCGGTTACATTGCATGAACATACGGTAATCACGCGGTTACATTGCATGAACATACGGTAATCACACGGTTACAATGCATGAACATACGGTAATCACACGGTTACAATGCATGAACATACGGTAATCACGCGGTTACAATGCATGAACATACGGTAATCACACGGTAACAATGCATGAACATACGGTAATCACACGGTTAGAATGCATGAACATACGGTAATCACACGGTTACAATGCATGAACATACGGTAATCACACGGTTAGAATGCATGAACATACGGTAATCACACGGTTAGAATGCATGAACATACGGTAATCACACGGTTACATTGCATGAACATACGGTAATCACACGGTTACAATGCATGAACATACGGTAATCACACGGTAACAATGCATGAACATACGGTAATCACACGGTTAGAATGCATGAACATACGGTAATCACACGGTAACAATGCATGAACATACGGTAATCACACGGTTAGAATGCATGAACATACGGTAATCACACGGTTACAAAGCAACAACATACGGTAATCACACGGTTGCAAAGCATCAATATGATATCGCATTTTGCGAGATTGATGGTGTAAAAGTGGCGATGACTGTATTTCAATAACCGTTAGTTTTATGGTCACGACATTAAATATCTAAGATAATTTAAAACGCGTTCATCAACTAATTTATTTTTTAGCGAAGAAACAGTTTTTGCTTTCCAAATTAAAATTTCACAATGCAAACAATCAAAAAATAAAATTCACAACAAAAAACGTTCATCATGAACTGGAAATTGAAGAATTATTCTGTCATAGTTGCTAAGTTTGTGCAAAAACCGACATATGAAGATGTCATTATTTTTAAAACCCCAAATCTTAATGGAATTTGAAGTGACTACAACTGCTGATAATTTAGTAAGGCGCAATAACGTCGAACCAAGTTCGACTATTTCAGATGAGCACCCGGGTTTACAAACTAGTTGAGAACAGCTGTTAAAGACATATTTAAAAAACAATTACAAACATCCTGCACTGCTCGAACAGTTTACCTTTAAAAGACCCATTTCTGGAAAGAAATGTTCATACATGGTGATAAGATCGGATCTTGTTCTCTTTGTTGGCGACTCCTTATTAAAAGAAATTTCTTCTTGTTTCACGAGCCCCTCTGAATCGTCTTGACTTTCAGCAAGAGAAAAGTTATCTTCCTCAGAAAACAATGGCGACGAGTCTTCTGTACGAACGAAATCGATATATGAGCAAAAATAAAATAAATACACGTCACATAAATCCATGGTAACAAATATTTTTTCCTGTACTACATCTAAATGACAACATCATGTTTTTAGTAATGAAACACACAAATTATGTTTTTCTTTTCTCAACTTAACAAGCATATCATATAAATCAATATCTGTAAACCTTCCACTCACTGTCCTAATGCAATTCTGTAAACATTTTTTATTTGATATTATATGCACGTGTGTAGGTTTGTGAAAACTTTTCACTTGGTACAGACAAATGATTTACCTTCATCACTACCATTATCAGTCGAGTCTGATACTGGATCCTGGTCGTCGGCAGAAATGGGACGATCGTCTTTTGTAGGAAGATCAAATCTCACCACTAAATTTTTATCCGTCAATGGAAGATTATTGTCCGGCATGCATAGTCGCAGAATCTGGACAATGACACTGTTTAGACCGAATTCTTTTTCTAATAAAATCAAAACGAAATATTAGTGAGAGAGTCTAAATTCTATGACATGCAAGTTTCAAATGATATAAAGAATAATATTTTCAAAAAATGAAGATTTTTTCGAGAGCAAACATGTTTCGACATAAAACAAGGTGATGAGACGAGTGATCATATTATTTTTTGATAAAGCCATCTAAACACTTGAAAAGTATTAAATAATTGTTTTATAAAATAACAACAGGATGGTAGTGTTGTAAGCTTTAACTCCATAAACAAGAACACGACAGATAAATTCTTCCAAATCGCAATGCTAAATTCTCTCAGGCGAACGAAGCGGTGAAATGTACATTAAACAACGAAGTCAAAAACACTACAACCAATTATTTAGTAGAATTTGAACGAGGTTAGTTGTAGATATGTTATTTTACAATATACAATTGAGAATTGCGTCGCGGCAGGAAGTACACTGACCACAAGCTTCTTTTATCCGCCTGAGCGAGTGACTCGCGGCAGGAAGTACACTGAGTACAAGCTTCTTTTATCCGCCTGAGCGAGTGACTCGCGGCAGGAAGTACACTGAGTACAAGCTTCTTTTATCCGCCTGAGCGAGTGACTCGCGGCAGGAAGTACACTGAGCACAAGCTTCTTTTATCCGCATGAGCGAGTGACACGCGGCAGGAAGTACACTGAGTACAAGCTTCTTTTATCCGCCTGAGCGAGTGACACGCGGCAGGAAGTACACTGAGTACAAGCTTTTTTATCCGCATGAGCGAGTGACACGCGGCAGGAAGTACACTGAGTACAAGCTTCTTTATCCGCCTGAGCGAGTGACACGCGGCAGGAAGTACACTGAGCACAAGCTTTTTATCCGCCTGAGCGAGTGACTCGCGGCAGGAAGTACACTGAGTACAAGCTTCTTTATCCGCCTGAGCGAGTGACACGCGGCAGGAAGTACACTGAGTACAAGCTTCTTTATCCGCATGAGCGAGTGACACGCGGCAGGAAGTACACTGAGTACAAGCTTTTTATCCGCCTGAGCGAGTGACTCGCGGCAGGAAGTACACTGAGTACAAGCTTCTTTATCCGCCTGAGCGAGTGACTCGCGGCAGGAAGTACACTGAGTACAAGCTTCTTTATCCGCCTGAGCGAGTGACTCGCGGCAGGAAGTACACTGAGTACAAGCTTCTTTATCCGCATGAGCGAGTGACTCGCGGCAGGAAGTACACTGAGTACAAGCTTCTTTATCCGCCTGAGCGAGTGACACGCGGCAGGAAGTACACTGAGTACAAGCTTCTTTTATCCGCCTGAGCGAGTGACACGCGGCAGGAAGTACACTGAGTACAAGCTTCTTTATCCGCCTGAGCGAGTGACACGCGGCAGGAAGTACACTGAGCACAAGCTTCTTTATCCGCCTGAGCGAGTGACACGCGACAGGAAGTACACTGAGCACAAGCTTCTTTTATCCGCCTGAGCGAGTGACACGCGACAGGAAGTACACTGAGTACAAGCTTTTTATCCGCATGAGCGGGTGACACGCGGCAGGAAGTACACTGAGTACAAGCTTCTTTTATCCGCATGAGCGGGTGACACGCGGCAGGAAGTACACTGAGTACAAGCTTCTTTTATCCGCATGAGCGGGTGACACGCGGCAGGAAGTACACTGAGTACAATAAGAATTGTAACTTACTTTCATTGGTATCAATTGCCGACACATAAAGCGTTTTCATGCCGTCCAATTTTAAAAATGATGATTTTCCGGCCTCTGATAAGAAAATAACAAATTCAACATTATTATTAGCAAATAACACAAAGAAAATTCAAGATTAAAGATTGTAAGCCATTTACTTGAACCAATCTGGTTGAAACATAACGTCATCGAAATTGCTTTAATGTACAAAATAATAGTGAGACATTTGCCGGGCGGGAAACAGACTCGTATTAGAAAGAAAATATGCCCAACATAAAATTCTACAAAATGATCCTCGAATCTTTATTCCCAAAGTAGAACGAAGCAAAACTTTCAGCAAAACTTTCTATTTGCAATATTAAATCTAGATGTGATTTCTGGCACATCAGTGAAAAAAAAAATTAATTTGGACTAATCGTTGCAATCTTACAGTGGTTTATGGTTGCCTTTGAATGGACCTTGTCCGTCGTCGCAGGAAGTCTGGGTCTAGCCAAATTCTGACGTCATCCAAGGTAGTTGGTATGTATATTTTATATTGACGTGTCTCTTGCATGATGTCACAAATAAATCGGTCCAGACTTTTTTGACAAAAGACAAGGTCCGTCAAAAAGTCATTTTTGGCAGCTTTAAAACCACGATAAAAATGGGATGGTTGGACTAAATTAATGACTTTTTTCACCGATGTTTTCAACATCACACCAGGACTTAATATCGCATATAAAATCTTTTGCTAACAGGGGCACTTGAACCAGATTCGACCAAAAGAATTATGTATCAAACAGCTCCACGCAATTGATAACATATTTTAAATTCACCATAATTGGATTTTCACTGTAAAACTTTCCTTAGCGACGAGAAGCATCATGTTATGTTTTTAACATCATTAGAGAGTTTTAGCAAAGACTACGAGTACGATTTACGTCATTTTGGCGCGAAAACATTGTTGCGACAACAAAAACACGTAGCCGCCATCAATCTGAGTACGATGTTTTGTAAAAAATTCGTAGTCGCGACTACGATGTCCTTTTAAGCAAAGAAAGTAGATATATTTCTTCATTCTGTAAGAAATTAGTTTACAGCACTATTTTCGAGCATCAAGGCTTTAATTTAGAACCTTTTTTGAGCGCAGATGTGCATTAAAAAGGAAAATATGACCTGCAAAACTTTCATGTATTTCGTACGCAAAGTGAAAGGTAAACAAACAATAAAGTAGTACAAATGTACCGTACATAAAACTTAAAATAGTGAAGATTGTTCAGTCTATAGAGTCCTATATTCTTGCAAAGTCAGTATTACCGATTTGTTGATATCATTATTGACAAATAGAGCCGTATCTGCTTTGCAAACTTCTGTGTTTTACACAATAAAAAGACTCGTTCTGTTTCTATAGCTAAAACTAAATTTTGACGAAGCGACAACGACAACAAACTTGCTCGTGCCATTCCCTTACAAGGTCAAATTTCGTACTCGTTGTCGTAGTCGTACTCTAGCTAAAGCTCCCTATTCTATGACCGACTACAGTACACAACACACGGATAATCAAACATTCATCTGATTCGCTGATCATTCGTTACAATCACACGTCAAACAATTCAATTATAAAATGTGTGCGCTGATCGCTTTCCAAGCTCATTGAAAAGAGAATTTCGATTTTATGTCACGTGATTATAAACAGCCAATAAAGGATGAGCATATAACAACGTGTTACATAATACTTACTCGTAGATACCAATGCTTTGAGAGAGTTAAGAAGTGCTTTTCGAATAGCAGTTTGTCTATTATGATGATCGGTTCTATGCCAATCAACGAACATTTTGAGAAGAATTTCCACTCCATTTATATTCACAGCTTTTACAGCAGCGCCTTCTAAAATTGATGAAATTCATCAAAAAATTCAATCTTGACCTTTCAGGTTCAGTATCGTGTTCGACCTTCAACCATGCTGGGTTTTATAGTAAGGAATTTTATGCGGGGTTGGGTGGGGGTGGGGAGGGAGGCAAAGAGTTTTTGTAGAGACATTATTTATGCACACCAAGCACTTAGTGAAGGAAACATAATTCAAATCATAAAATCACAGTTAATAGAGCAGTTGTTGAAAGTTCAGCCTTTGGAAAATCCATTCTTATTTCAAAGCAAGGTAAAACATCTGTAAAAAACTCAGCATTTAAATTTCTACAGTGTAATATAAGTACGTATGTATACTAGGTAAAGTTCGGGAAACACACAACTTACTTGATTTCACAGAAACGGCAATGAGATCGAGTACAAGCCTAAATGTTCAGAAAAGGAAACAAGAAAAAAAAACTAGTAAGGAATTTAAAAATAAATTGTCGGGTAAAGGGATGATTAAAATATGGGAAAGTAACGAAGAGATGTAGAATACGTAGCAACACCCACATACAACATTAGTGGCAAATACTAAACAGGGGGGTGGGGAAGATTTAAACCCTGGTGCCAAATCCCTAAAATCACACCCACATAACATAACTGCGATGTTAAATAATAACTATTAGATAGACTTCTGTACTGTTAAAGTACCAGTAGACGCATTAGAGCTTGTGTGCGTAGGATTATGTGTACGTAAAACTTATATTTCCTGAGATCAAAATTTGAAAGTATACCAATAGGCATGCCCTGGAATCTCCCTAGAAATTTCATGCATTGAGGACGAGCCCCTCTCCCTCCATACACACAATAATTTCGAAAGTTTCCGCCACTGCACAATGATTTATATTTTAAAAAATAATTTTAGAGTTAAAAAAAGTATGGTGTCAATAAGATGCAATTTTTACGTACTTCTCCGACCCTGTTAAAGACACTTTAAAAAATAATTTTAGAGTTAAAAAAAAAAGTAAAGTATTGATAAGATGCAGTTCTTACGTGTTTGTAGATGTAGATCGTCCAGGCTAGTATAGTCCAGAGAAGGACTGTTTTTGTTGTTGTTGACTGACGTTTCGACAACCTTAGCGGTAGTCATCTTCAGTGTCAAAATGGAGATGACTACCGCTTTTGACTCTAAAGATGACTACCGCTTTTGACTCTGCAGATGACTGCCGCTTTTGACTCTGAAGATGACTACCGCTTTTGACTCTGAAGATGACTGCCGCTTTTGACTCTGAAGATGACTACCGCTTTTGACTCTGAAGATGACTACCGTTTTTTACTCTGAAGATGACTACCGCTTTTTACTCTGAAGATGACTACCGCTTTTTACTCTGAAGATGACTACCGCTTTTTACTCTGAAGATGACTACCGCTTTGACTCTGAAGATGACTACCGCTTTGACTCTGAAGATGACTGCCGCTTTGACTCTGAAGATGACTACCGCTTTTTACTCTGAAGATGACTACCGCTTTTGAGTCTGAAGATGACTACCGCTTTTGACTCTGAAGATGACTGCCGCTTTTTACTCTGAAGATGACTACCGCTTTTGAGTCTGAAGATGACTACCGCTTTTGAGTCTGAAGATGACTACCGCTTTTGAGTCTGAAGATGACTACCGCTTTTGACTCTGAAGATGACTGCCGCTTTTGACTCTGAAGATGACTACCGCTAAGGTTGTCGAAACGTCAGTCAACAACAACAAAAACAGTCCTTCTCAGGACTATACAAACCTGGACGATCTACATCTACAAACATGTAACGATACTCCCGGATTCAAATCATTCACTTTATGCTGTTCTTACGTAGATACTTACTTCAACGTTGTAATTTTTCTATGTCCACAATTCGACAAAATACGAAACAATATGTTAATGAATCCTGCTTTGTTGAGAACACTGCAATTCACACCTTTAAAAATACAACACACTTAGAAACAAACCAAGTTTTTAAAACCACGTAATTGAAAATACGAAGCCTTACTTACACTATGTAAAAATTGCAATCATTTACCATCTTTGATTATGTATATATGTAGATACTTACTACTTCCACATGCATGGTATATATGTAGATACTTACTACTCCCACATGCATGGTATATACGTAGATACTTACTACTTCCACATGCATGGTATATATGTAGATACTTACTACTTCCACATGCATGGTATATATGTAGATACTTACTACTTCCACATGCATGGTATATATGTAGATACTTACTACTTCCACATGCATGGTATATATGTAGATACTTACTACTTCCACATGCATGGTATATATGTAGATACTTACTACTTCCACATGCATGGTATATATGTAGATACTTACTACTTCCACATGCATGCTATATATGTAGATACTTACTACTCCCACATGCATGCTTCATAACCAAGAGAGACGGATGCAAAACTTTAAAGTTGTTCACATTTTGCTTGATCATTTCAATGGTGATTTGAAGACAGCCGGTCAAACGAAATTTCACAGGAAACTTGCGATCTATACAATCATATAACATACATAATGAAGCATTATACAACATAATGCAGTAACCAAAACGTTTAACCAGAAATAAATCCGGAGTACACATGTACATCTAAGATAAAGTTTATTCCATGCACGCAACTATTTGAAGATACGTAGCTTCATACAATTTACATTCAACGTACAAACAATTTATATACAACGTACAAACACTTTACATACAACGTACAAACACTTTACATACAACGTACAAACACTTTACATACAACGTACAAACACTTTACATACAACGTACAAACACTTTACATACAACGTACAAACACTTTTACATACAACGTACAAACACTTTACATACAACGTACAAACACTTTACATACAACGTACAAACACTTTACTGAACGACGATACAAACACTTTACATACAACGTACAAACACTTTACATACAACGTACAAACACTTTACATACAACGTACAAACACTTTACATACAACGTACAAACACACATACAACTACAAACACTTTACATACAACGTACAAACACTTTACATACAAGTACAACACTTTACATACCCAACACTTTACATACAACGTACAAACACTTTACATACAACGTACAAACAGCTTTACATACAACGTACAAACACTTTACATACAACGTACAAACACACACAACCTACAAACACTTTACATACAACGTATAAACACTTTACATACAACGTATAAACACTTTACATACAACGTAAAAGACTTTACTACGGCGCTGACAATTTACAGCAACGTAGCAAACACTTTACAAACAACCTGGCAAACAATTACATGCAACGTAAAACATTTTACTGACGTTACAAGACCTTTGCATACAACGTACAAACTTTACATACAACGTACAAACAGGCACATTACAACGTACAATTTACATACTGACGTACAAACCTTTACATGCAACGTTAAAACTTTACATACAACGTACAAACACTTTACATACAACGTACAAACAGCAAAACAACCTGCCAAAGCACTTTACATACAACGTACAAACACTTTACATACAAACAAACACTTTACATACAAAGTACAAACATTCTTTACATACAACGTATATGAACACTTTACATACAACGTACAAACACTTTACATACAACGTACAAACACTTTACATACAACGTACAAACACTTTACATACAACGTACAAACACTTTACATACAACGTACAAACACTTTACATACAACGTACAAACACTTTACATACAAAGTACAAACACTTTACATACAACGTACAAACACTTTACATACAACGTATGAACAATATACAAATCATGTACCTAGCAAATAAAGGAGGGCTTAAACTAAATAGGTATAAAAAATTTTACATTTTGTTCTTTAGACTTGGAAAACCATTTGTAATGTGATTATGAACTGCAAAAAACAAGCCTCATTAATAAGAATTGTGTAACACAAAAATCAAAAGGCTTATGCAACTTGTTCTTAGCTGTTTTGTAAAAGAAAGCAATGATCACAAAATCACCTTTGACTGCAATTTTTGCGAGTACTGAATGAATCAATGCAAACATTTCTTCCACATTAGGTGAATCTGATATTTCCAATTTCAACATCTTTAGCAAAACATCCACACAACCATTATTACCAAGTACTGTGAAACTCTTTTTTCCTGAAATTAAACAATGAACAAATTCCCATGAAAATGATGTACATAAGTCGAACCTTTCCCAGGCTTTTTATCTCGTGAAACGACATATTTAAGCCCATTTCAATTAATGCAGTCATTTCAGTTTAGCTTTTTTGCCCATTGAATTTGACAATTGCGTCCTTTCAAACAGCCCAAAAGGCATTGCATTTCCTTACTAAATATACGTATAACAAACATCTTATCAAATTATACATTATACAATTCCAATAGACAATCCAAATGAATTTACGTAGTCTCTTACTCAATAAAAAATATCTCACCAGCATTCAACAATTCTAATAGACAACCCAAGACATTCTGCAGTACTTGAAAATCACTGCAATTCTAGGTAAAACGAAACTTCTTTTTGAATGAAAAAATACACATGAATGTAATTGACACAACCGAACTGAGTATATGTCGGATTTAGCAAACAGAAATTCTAATGGCGAGTGTGAATTTTTTGAGCGCAAACATGTTTTGACATTATCAGAATGCCATCTTCAGTGCAGAATGATTAGTGTTGAGTGATAAGATACATTATATAAGAAGCTGCAATATAAATAAAGTATTTACTATGAATGGTATTATGATTTAATTTCAATTAGGATTATTGAACTATTCACATAAAAAGTCATATTGTAAAGTAGATATAGTGTTGTAGTGGTGAATTTGATCATTTAAATCAAGATTAGTTTTGTTAATGTGAAGAGCTTCTTTGGTTTTGAGAGAGAAAGTTGATTGACCTGTGTCGATGATTTTAAAACAGGAAGATGAAAATTTAGCTTTACATGAAGGAGAGGCATTAACATGTTTCTAGATAGTGAAGTTTTTGTCTGTTTGAGCGAGTTCCTTTATCCTGGTGGATAGTTTGGCGAGAAGTTTCACTAATATAGCGAGAATAGCATCTCGCACGGAAAAATTGACAAACTACTACAGATTTAGAAAGTTCTGAAAGTGGATCTTTAAATGCGAATAGAGATTTTATCTTGAGAGATGAAAAATAAGTTTGGCCTCAATGTCGGAAGAGTAGCGTCTAATGATCTGTGCGAGTTTGTGTTGAGTGTGTCTTGAGTAATCACCTATATACGGTGTGTGAGTTTGTGTTGAGTGTGTGCTGAGTAATCACCTATATACGGTGCGCGAGTTTGTGTTGAGTGTGTCTTGAGTAATCACCTATATACGGTGTGTGAGTTTGTGTTGAGGTGTGTGAGTAATCACCTATATACGGTGTGCGAGTTTGTGTTGAGTGTGTCTTGAGTAATCACCTATATACGGTGTGTGAGTTTGTGTTGAGTGTGTGCTGAGTAATCACCTATATACGGTGTGTGAGTTTGTGTTGAGTGTGTCTTGAGTAATCACCTATATACGATGTGTGAGTTTGTGTTGAGTGTGTCTTGAGTAATAATCTGTATAAGGTAGTTTACAACCTTAGCTGTAGTCATCTTCAGAGTCAAATGAGGAGTAAACGTCAGGTTAGGCGTATTTGTTATCTGGTTCTTACGTCATTGTATTGTGTGTACTGGAAATGTGTGGGTGTCAATTGTGTATTGTCATTGTGAATTAGTGTGAAGTGTAATGTTTTTAGTTAATCGTTTGTTTGTATTGTGAGTAAGTCGTTTGTAAGGTGCCGGTAATTGCTGTGATCTGTTCAGGGGGGTTTGTTCGAAGTTGGTATACCAACTTTCTAATGTAAGCCGTTGTCTATGGTCAGTGCAGTAAGTAATGCATTTTAATGCAACTTGGATAAAAGTCACTACATGAGTAAGTTGAAATTGTATCATTCACAAATATCCTTACCTCCAGAAGATTTAATAATGCTCCAATTTTCTCACATATCTTGACGACACTTTCTTTCTTGCCCTTGTCTAAAACGACAAAATTCTTAATTTAAATAATTACAAGCTTGTGTACAAAACACGGTCTTGAAATTAACCAGCTAACATAAAAAACACAAATAGCAAAAAAATCCACTAATCTTGAACTCTTCATCAATTGATGTTTTCAAAGCAAAATCCCAGCTCGCTTTCCCAAAGTAGGTAATTTTGTGATTGTAAATGCAAATATTTGACCAACTTTCTTTTTATTTAATAGAATTTAGTGTCCACAGTACAGTCATGTAAACTTGCTATTCTTGTAAAATTTTTATTTGTTAATGAGTGCATGCCCTGATGAGGAAAGCAACTCATGTTGACAATGGTTGGTGTGCGGAAATAGATTATTCATTCACTCAGTTGCAGACACTTTCTGAAATACTGGGGGCCCCCTCACCCACCCACCCCCTCACCCCAAGTATCCACCACTCTATTCACTCTTACTCAGCTAGCTTACTCATCAAGCAAGCAACACAACAAGTACACATTATGCCAGGGCCGTTGCAGGAATGTTACATCGGGGAGGGGTGGGTGGGGTGGTGTTTATATATTATGCTCTTTAGAAATGAGTCTGGTACAAGTGAGTATATGAACAAACATTGCCAACAAACATTCTAACATCATTCCTACAGCAAACCAATCATCTTCTTAAGATAAAAATGACAACAATATCTCCATTCCACGTGAACAATCCTGCTCTTTTATACATAACGTATATATGTATGTATCATTAGAAATGCTACTGCTTCTTTTCAGAAACTAATCTAAATACATAGAAGCTATTTATTCAAGCATGTACTAACTCAATTTTTAAAGGAAAACGGGGAATTCGATGGTGATTTAATCATGACTGAAGTCATTATGTCATGTTACTATAGTAGATAGCATCACAGTACACAAATCATTTGTTTAATCATGGGTAAACTCCATTCAAGGTTTAAGGTGTGTAAACTTTTGATGGTGATTTAAACTTAACTAAAACTATACTTCAAACAGTTTCTTGTTTATATGGTGAAAAATTTCATGCAAGAAACAGAAGTATGAAATAAAAACAACCTCTATTGATTCAAATCAATATTTATTAATAAATCATGAAGATAAAACTAACACGGATTTAAGTTAACAGTGATTGAATCTCCTTCGTAATTATTTATCGTAAGTCCAATTACCTGTTGTCTGGAGTAAATGATGCATTTTAAGAGTAACATAGCGAAGTTGCTCTAAGTCCAGCAAACGCTTGTCAACAGCAGCAAGCCTTTCCAGTTGGTCTGATAGCTGGGAAAGTCTGGATACATTGCTAAATTGAAAAAACTTGAGGTTAGAGTAAGAGAAGAACTTACTTGGGTTTACCCGTAACACATTGTTGAGTTCTTACAAACCTTTTACAGGCCAGTTTATTCATTCCGTCCGCACATTCATTCCACCACAAGAAATAATCTTCGCCAAATGCCTTGCTGCAACAACTTCACAACATTATTTTTTACGTACCGGCCAAAAACGAATTCATCGTGGTAACATTGCAGGCAAACTTTAAATAGTATCCCCCTCCATTAATGATGAGATTTAGCATTGAATTTTCATGCAAAAGCTGCCAAATATGTTAGGACATCAATAATAGACATTCAAACGGTAAGCAAAGCAATAACGTTTCATATTTCAAATTTTCTGCCATATTTGATTTGATGTTTATTCGTCACTTAGTTTCTAAAAACAGATGCGCAAGGCGTACATACGGAGGATCGTTTACTTCGTTATTTTCATTTCGACGTGTTTTACAGAAAATGAACATGGTCAAAATATTCAATGAAAGTGTTCAAAATATTCAATAAAAGTGGTCAAAATATTCATTTGCCTTATCAAACATTTTTTTGTAACAAGAAGATACTGAAAACCACTGAAATCATTCCTTGTAAAAGATAACTCGAACGAAAACGTTTGCATGAAGTCCTCTTTGAAGGAAACTAGATCTTCAACCGCGGTAAATGGTTTTTTGTTGGCCGTGTCCAAAAGCGAACTGCATTTTAAATTTAAAAAGAGCTTCTATGTCAGCCACAAAAGTTTAGGACACTCTTCTGTGTTCTTTGAGAGACTTTCTACGTTCTAAGTATTTTGCAGTATTTAAAACACTTTTATTTCAGTTTTGTGTTCATAAACATCTTACAGAAAAAATTTTTAGTCCAGATGACCCGAGAACTTTCAGATCTGTATGCGTGGAATGTAACAAAACTTGATCACAGATGTTAAGAATTTACTGTGGCGGATTATTAAATAAGGGGCCTGTATGCTAAGACGAAGTAGTGAGCATTTAAGCGATGACTTATCCTCCTCCCACTAAGTTCAGTTTTTCTTTACTTTTGCACTTCGTGTTTGAACCCCATAGGGTGAAAATTAGGGAAAAGTTCAGTTTATAGTTCAAACGAAATTTCAAAAATCATTGACATGGTCAGGGAAATAGGAAAAGTTAATACTTCATGAGTTCTGAGCATTGCGCATTTGAAATGTTCAAAAGTAGATAATACGAAAGCCATTTTTCTCTGCATTCAATTGCTCGTCAGGTTTTCAACAGCATACATGATCTAACCTAAGCACATTTAGCTAGACCAGATTAGCAAAAACTTCCAAATCCTAATTATGTCTAAATACAACGGACCTCTCGAAAGCCTGGGCCTGTCGTCTTAAGCCTACTTGGCCTATTGGATAATCAGCCTTTGTTAAGAAGGCCATTGTGGTATCTTTTCGACTCGTCACTTGTAAAGTGTTTCATCCAATCTGTATATACGACCTTTAATTAAGTTGGCTTAAGCCTTTAGCCTGTTGGATAATCCGCCTTTGTTAAGAAGGCCATTGTGGTATCTTTTCGACTCGTCACTTGTAAAGTGTTTCATCCAGTCTGTATATGCGACCTTTAATTAAGTTGGCTTAAGCCTATTTAGCCTATTGGATAATCCTCCTTTGTTAAGAAGGCCATTGTGGTATCTTTTGACTCGTCACTTTTAAAGTGTTTCATCCAATCAAACGACCTTAAGCAAGTTGAAAGGCTACTTAGCCTATTGGATAATCGCCTTTGTTAAGAAGGCCATTGTGGTATCTTTTGACTCGTCATTTTAAGGGTGCATCCAGTCTGTATATGCCTTTAATTAAGATTACCTATTTAGCCTGTTGTTAATCCTCCTTTGTAAGGCCATTGTAATCTTTTGTGTCACTAATTTTCATCCAGTCTGTAAGGCCAAAATTGTATGTTGTACGATTTGACGAAGTAACACGTAAAGTTGTTAAATCAAAGCAATAATGCCTGTTGAAATTGTGCTTGAAAGAACCTTCATCGAAAATTATAGTAGTTAAGCGCCACATTTCTGTTTCCAAATAAGGCCAAATTTGTTCGATTTCGAATCTTGTACGTATGAATTGTTAAATCAAGAATACCGTGATGCTGAAAACCTTCATCACGATGATTTAAATCTTTTCCATTGGCCAAATAACCATGGCGAATCAAGCTACCGGGATGATGCAAAGCCATACGTTCCCATGCGGTACCAATGAGGGTCAAGACGTGGCTAAAATAAGTACGAACCATAGCGCCAAGTACGTTCGGTTTTCATAGCCGTACAGCAAGAGCGTAACTTTAGATTGCTTTTCACAAGAGAAAAACAAGACCATGCAAGAATGCTACATAATAACAATGTAGTCACATTTTATAGTTTGATTTGAAAGAATCAAACTTTTCTTGATGTTCATTGGTTCTTAATCATCATCAACTCATTTTCTTGTGCAATAAATTCCCGCAATTTAAAGTTATAACATTATTATGTTGTATGATTTTAACAACGCAAGGGATTTAATTGTGATTTTATTGAGCTTCTTTTCAGCTATGGTTGAGGTCTTCTTATACAAAAGAATATTTTTTTATCAATGCTTCAGCTGGCGTGGGCAAACAGTATTGTTTTCTAAAACTTAGGAGGTTGATGGTAAGCAAAGAATTTCTCTGAGAAATGCATTAAAAGAAAGAATGATAATGACTTTAAGTCTACAGAACTAACTTCATTAACGACACTCGTAATCGTATGTATTATCAGTGACGTAGCAAACTTGATAACTGTGGGACGGGACGCATATTACTATATGCATGTTCTGCAGTGTATTAAGCTCCTTTGAAATCAATTGTTTTCTACGGATTAAGACTTGGGAAAATGAATTTATGCCTCTCCCATCCCTCATTAAACTACAGTAATCCTAAAGTTGGCAAAAGTAAACAGCCTTCGGACGTCATTTAGGTTACCAGACTTTGAAAGTTAATTTGATTTATGAAAGTACAGTACAGTATGACAGTTAAACTTTAAGCTTAATTGAAAATAAATGTAGTAAATGTGATCTGTAAGGCATAGTATTCCTGGTTTCAAATCTACATCATAGCCGCCATGTTGGATGGTTTAACAATGGTTTTCATTATTTACAATCCAAATTTCATCCAACATGGCCAGCATTCCATTTTTCCCAGGTAGATATTTACACACCACCAATAGAACAAAAAGTAAGCCACCTTTTGTGTAACGCATATTTATTAAGCATGTGATTAATACATTGTGCTCCAAAAAACGGAACCCGCCCAAACAATAATGTTTGCATTAAAATGAAATCTGCATAAGATAATTTAGGCAGGTTCAAACGTCGCATTTTACATGCGCCGAATGCATTTAAAACAAATGAAAATGAGATAAAATTCCTCATTATCTTTTGTCTCAAATGCATTCGGCTCATGTAAAATGCGACGTTTGAAACAGGCCTTAGTCTGCAAAAGCTGTTTGTTCTGCCTGGCTAATTGAGCCACACGTTTGTCTCTGTGTTTGTTGCAACTTATGGAAAATATGATTAAGTTTTTGTGGCCTGTAGAACTCGTCAATGTCGCTTTGATTTTACAAAGCTTTTGCGTAATAAATTTGATTGGAAAACCAATGTATGACAGTGCTTTTAACTTGTCATTTTACTATTACTGTACAAACCTCATGAAATCCCAGATTCAATGAACTTTCAAGTTCATTAAACTGTTGTGAATGGTAATTATTGTACATAATAATTTCTACGAATACATAATTAATGTACGTGAGTTCCGGTTTTTCGGCACCCCCAAATCACTGCCCGTATAATGAGCCATAAAATGCGTTTTCTGACACATAAAAGGACAGATCTAGCAAAGACCGTGATTTCGTTAAATAGCTGTATAAGACACCGAACAGTAAAGCAAAGTGGTGCTGAACTGCGAGCCTTAATTAATCCATTCTTCATTGCCTTGATCTAAGAAAATGTGTTTGTACGTTATTCAAATATGTGTTACTTTCAATCTCGTGATTATGACGCTAGTTTGGATAATGGATTGGTGTATGATCTCGTCGACCGAAACGGCGTTGTTAAAAGACTCAAACGCAAGAAGACGTTTGGGAAAATTTGAGGAAGAGTGTGAGATCATGAGCAGCGAACGTGACGGCGCAACTAATTGTTGCTACGTGATACGTCTGCGCTCAACACACGGTCTTGTCGAATCGAAAGTTCGCCAGAGTTTGCTGCGACTTGCTTTACGGCAACCTATGCTTCGAGCCGTCCTCGCAAGTCTATCATCGCCATATTTGTTAAGAGAAGAAAAAGCCAACTTCTTTGACATAACGGAGCCCGATAAGGTGAAGGACATGATCAGATTGATCAAAGTTGATGTTAGTGCTTCGAGATGGTCGAAATTGTGGCACGCGATTGCTGTTCAGGATTTTAGGACGGAATTGCTGTGGCAAGCAGTTTTATTCCGTGAAGAATATCTTGTGGAGGAAAATATCTATGAAAACACTATTGTGTTCCAAGTAAAACACTGTATCATGGACGGTGTATCGGGCATTAAAATGTGTAAGCAGTTTCTCAGTGAATTAAATTCCTATGGCGCATGGAAGAAATCTCCTCGCACACTGACGTCATCACCTCTGGAAGTTCTCCCTAGTTTCTATCATTTACTTAAAGATCAGTATCAATCTCCATCTTTGTGGAGATATATGAAATCTTCTCTTCCACCATTACAGGATCTCATCAAGTTTATAGTAAGGTTAAGATTTCGATGTTTGCTTATCGCAAATCGAGAAAAGCCTTATGACTTTATTGAAACACAACCATCTCGTAAAACTCGCGATCTTGTGTTCAAAGTTTTTTCACGGAAGCAAACTGATGCCCTACGCAAAGCTTGTAAATCGAAAGGCGTCACGGTTACCGCTGCCCTCATGACAGCAGTCCACATGGCATTTTGCAAACTTGTTGAAAATCAAGGATCAAATTTACCAACTGGAAAACGTTTGTCGCAAGTTCTTGCAATTGACGGGAGAAGAAGATGTCGACCTACACCACCAGAAGACTACCTCAGTACCATGGTGTTGCTTAGTCTGTTTTACACACCTTGTGATAATGAAGACTTTTGGTTGAAAGCTGTGAAAATAAAAGAGCGTATAGATGATGTACTCAGCACAGACGAGTTTGTTCATGTTGAATTGGAACAGCACGATATTTGGCTACCCGAAGAAAGAGTTAAAGAGTTTTTGTCTCCACTGTGCCTGGAGACTAGAATGATACTTTTCACAGAAAATTTCATGTCGAGTGCTGGAACATTTGACTTCGAGGACGATGAGATGACGTCTTACAAATTACACGAATCACTGTTTTACTCCATACCGTATGGATGTTTGACGTTTGCCAATCACTTCAACTCAACAATCAATGGCAAAATGTCCTGGGTCATCATATGTAACGATATCGCGCCTCCTGCCATCGAAAAAGAATTCACAGAACTATGTTTTGCGATTCTCATGAAGGAGACTACTTCAACATAAATAATTCAAATTTCGAAAAATATTGCCATGTATTTGGCATAGCATTTGCTACCTGAATAGTCTCAATTAATGAATGGTATTTATATATATATAGCTATAATTCGATTGCCTCTTGTATAAGAGTTATTTTGAGTGCAATTCTATAGCTATAATCTATTGCATTTTCTACTAATTAAGCAACGAGAATATAAACATCAATAGAAAGTCTGTGAAATTAAAATAACAATAAATAACATCTTCGTCACTTTAATGCTCGTTTTTCTTCATGATCTTCATCTTTTCAAGTGGAAGCTTTGAGTGGAAGTCGAAGATTTAAAGCATGGCTATCATTATATTAACAAATACGTATTTCGAGAAGGACGACTTTTTTACGAAACTGTGATTCGATGAAAAGACACTTATAAGTCCAAAACGAGCTTTTCCATCCATCCAAAGACCAAACTCTTTTACCTTGACATAAGTTGTTTTTTTAAAGAAAACACGTAAAAATTTAACAATAGAAAACCAAAAATGTCGATACGCTTTTACTTGAATCATACCCTATTGGCAAAAATTAGAGAGAAAAATAGCAAATAATAAGTCTTTATTTATATAATTATTGTGCTAAACGAAAATTGCTCAAATGTTTTTCTACCTGTGAATGAACGCGTTAACTAATCCTTCTACAATCTCACGGAGAGGTCGCCACATTCTCTGTTAATTCATGTACTATCCCTCATTATTAACATTCCTTAGAATACTCTTCTCACAATACTCTATCGGTATATACCAAAGGTTTGCAAAGTACACTTTGAGTCTTCTTGCAAATCTCTTGTGGTGATTGCTTCCTCTTCACTTTCCAAATCGGATTCCTCGTCCTAAAGGAAAGACGCTGGTAGTATTTTTACATATCTTCAGAAACATCATGAACAGTTCCCACTACTATATACCACGTGAGCCAACGAGATTCCAAATTGTATAAGCGATTCATCGATATTTCTTTTAAACACATATCTTCAATAGACTCAGTGTTATTAATCGATTGCTTTAGTATTGGAGCCGCGTCCTCGCTAGAGCTTTTATCATTGTCAACATGCTTGGAATCATTCGTGTTTGCATTTGTCAACCCCCATTCAAAACTCACGAGTGTGTACTAGGTTCTTGAACTACGTTTCACTGTTGGAAGTTTCATTTTCAAGTATTTCTTCTACCTCAATCAACGAATTATAATATCCGTCATAAATAATAAGTAATTGTTTATGCACAAAATATGCAGATACAAAGTTATGAAAGAAAAACATCTCTAAAATTGTCACAGATATTACGAGTGGCGTAAAAAAGTGTTCATGAATTTGACATGCTTTGTCAAAACAACTTAAGACGACAAAGAGCATGCCAAAAATACATTATTGAAAATTTGCCAAGCGCATATACAAGCACCAATTTCAGAGCTCGTTCGGTCACAAATTAATTGAGAACGACCACCTGTACGTACTAGTATCGATTGTGAAATAAGTAGCTCGTTCAGTCATATATTTTCAGATAAAGTATCCGCGCATGCGTAGTCTGCTTGAGCATGCGCAGTACAATTGATTAGCTGTCCAAGTTTATGGTCATGGCAACGACCAATTGCATCTATTAGAATTGATTTTGAAGTAAATAGCATGCTTATTAAAAATTTAATAGAGAAATCATCTGCGCATGCGCTCAAACATGCGCAGTCCACTCGACTAATTGTTCATAGTCATGGCAATGACTAACTATATGTACTTGCACTACATTTATAGCAATTAGCTCACTTATTTGCAACTTATCAAAGAAATCAACTGGGCATGCGCAGAGTGACTTTAGTAATACCATAACTTTCGTAAGCCTTCGACTTTATGTATATAAATATAAATCTAAAACTTCATTTAGTAGATGTCAACTAGCAGTGGAAGCTGGGTGCGATATAATATGCAGTGACTTAGGGGCGCACACTCTCCCTGCGTACCCCGAGCAAAGCCTATCGCAGGTGATCTCGGGGTCTGATGGGCGGAAGCTTGCTATTGCATCTCTCAAGTAGGATAGCGTGGAGGGGCCGAAATCTCCAACCGAAACGTTAACATGCGGCGTTCTAGTGCCTTGCGCTTAAGAAGGTATCGGGAAGCATGGACCGAAAACGGGGTTTTTTGCTTTTGATTTTTATTTTTTGAAAATTAAAATAAACCATGCAATGCTTCGATTAGATTCTTCTTAAACTCTCCTTTTTGTGACACTTATAATTAAAGACAGCTTCAATTTTGTTTTTATTCATTAATATCTTTCTGATTTAACTCTTTCATTTAATGTTTCTCATGCATCACGAGCAATCCATCCATCGGCTTCATGGCAAACAAGGATTATCTGGTTCCCTTAATTAACATGCGACACTCAAGTGCTCAACTATTTCGGGGTATCGGGAGACAGGGACCCAAAACGGTATTTTTTGTTTTCAAAATTTGTTCTTTTTCTTTACACGAAGAATTCTTTTTATAAAAGAAACTAGAACATTTAAGGATACTTCAAAAGTTCAAACAACTTCTGCCTTTTTGACTTATAATTCAAAGCAACTCTACGAATTTCTACCTAATGCGCAGATATAAAGAATTTCTAAGTCATGTACCAAATTTCCTTCACAAATCAAAATTACCGTCTATTTAAACGATTTATAAAGTAAAAAGTTACCTTTACAACCGAACCAAACCCTGCTTTTCCAAGCATTTGCATCACCACTAATTCATTCCAAACTCTTGAATTACTCGTAACCGGAAGAGAAAAGTATCAAACAAGAAGGTTCATCTCCATCATAACAGCCATTTTGATTTCTCCCTTGATCTTTTTTAGCGTCCAGGAGACAAGAAGTAAATGTTAATAGTACATCGTTTTGTAACATAAATTCAAATTAACCAATCGCCTACTGGCTTCAACTGTGCGAGAGGAGTTTTCTAAAACTCCTCGGTTGAAGCTGAGAAAACAATATTCACATACGGCAGTAGATGTTTATAACTGATTTCATTTTTCTGTTATCAATTGTCAACAAAAGCCTAAACACAAGAATAGTAAGTTGCACGGTTCGGTATTTAGTCCTTTCTGCAATTTTGCATTACTTCGTGTAAGAGTCGATATTTTGTCAAAAGAGTTAATTGTACAAAATGGACGCCACCAAGCCGACAGAATAAATATTTATAATTTTGGAGCTCCTCAAATCGCTGGAAGAAAATTTTTGGTGCTATCAAATGTCTTGAATCAAAGCAACTAGGCTTTTCAATGATCAAAAGAAAACATGCGTTGATTCATTATTAGTTGAATGTTTTTACTACGATACTGGTATCCTTTAATCCAACATTGAAGTATGCCTCATAATGGAAAAAAAACGAAAAAGATGCCATAAAATTGTTGATTTGAAAAGAAAAGAAACTAAAAGAAAACGTGATGAAATAAATCAGGAGACTGACAACTCGGAGAATATTCAAGAAGAAAATGCATCACCTTCTAAGACCGATGATTTGAGCAAACACCAGTTAAACTCAGCGATTAATGCCTTGGATGTGGAGCAAGGACTAGAAAAAAGTGCTTGCAAAAGCAATCTAAGTGTGTTTAATGTGAAAAGCATCATTCACGTAAGTAAAAGCTTCCACTTCCGCACAGAAAATTACCAAATCATACGTACATAATGTACATTATTACATCAAAAATTCTCAATGATCACATCTGATGTTAAAAGCATCTTGTTTCTTTGCCTCGAGTGAAAAAATTTTTGTGTGTATGTGCAATTAACTTTCTATAGAAAGATTTCATGTGGCCAATTTTCCTTACCTGTCTAAAGCCTCAGTCACACTGTTCAAAGATAACAATAAATGATAATGTTAAACTATAAGGAAATTCAATGGTCACATGATAATGATAAATCATTATCATTATCGCTGCAATGTGACTGCACACAAGAGTTTGAATAACAAGTGATTTTTTTTTGCATCATTATCGGATCGTTATCACATCGTTATAGGGTGCAATGTGACCGAGGCTTAACTGATGAAATACTTGTACTCGTTGCGTGAAATTTGTTAGTATATAGGGGCCTTAAAATTTTGAGTGTTGGGTGTGCTTATTTTAAAAACATATTTATTATTATGCATAAGCAATGAAAATTAATTTTAATAATTGGCATAGTTCTCTCTGTAGAAAATCATGAGTTTTGATTTCTGTTAACATTAATCATGCAAGAACATGGCATGTTTAAGTTACATCAAATTTTTAGATGGCATAGTAAGTGTAAACCTCTTGCAGTTATTGAAAACCTCAAAAAACTTTAAAATTTTATGCCAATTATGGATCCAACAAGGATTTTTTAGGAGTGTGCTTGGCTTAGTGATCAGTTAAAGTTCAGCAATTAGACTCCAATTACATATTTATTATCCTACTCATTGTTAGTTTCTGTTTTGGTCAACAAATTAAATATCATCAACAGTCAATGCACTTCAATGATATTGTGAGTAAAGCTTTTTCCATGAAAAGTACGATAGATGTTAATTTTTTTTTGTAATTTACACCTCTCAATGCACCACTGTCGACCATTTGCTAAAGGGATGAGAAACCCTGTGAACCCCCCCCCCACAATAGTTCAACACCATTGTGCAAAGCAACAAAAATGGCTTGCATTTCTTTTGCATATATTCAAAAGATGAAATGCACCTTGATATGCAATAACATGTATGTATGTATAAAATATGTAACAACAACACAATTTGGTCCGTAGTTGAGGCTGCAAACAGATATGAGCTCAATCAATGAAATTAGTTGAAGAAAATTTTCAAATCAATCATCAATACCCAAAAGAGGAAAAATTAAAGCATTTGTTTTAAATTTATCTTTTTCACATGTTATTTTATGAAAGAAAGAAAAGATGTTTTTTTTGTGTTTGCACAGGCTTATGCAAATATCACAGACTTTGGTGAAAACACTTGAGCAGGTGCAAACCTTTGCATTGAACTGCTCTTGTGTTGTACCGAATATCTCCTCAGTTTACATAAACCTGTACAAACACAGTAAAAATCCTCTATTTTTTAGTTCCTCCATACGTACATCTTATATAGTAATATAAATACTATTTACAATCAACAACAACAACAACAACAACAACAACAACAACAACAAACAACAACAACAAACAACAGAAACAACAACAACAAAAACTACAACGACAACAACAACAACAACAATAACAAGAACAACAACGACAACAACAACAACAACAACAACAACAAACAACAACAACAAACAACAGAAACAACAACGACAAAAACTACAACGACAACAACTACAACAACAAGAACAACTACAACAACAACAACAACAACAACAACAACAACAAACAACAACAACAAAAACAACAACGACAAAAACTACAACGACAACAACAACAACAACAACAACAATAACAAGAACAACAACAACAATGACAACAACTAGAGCGACAACAACAACAACTATAAGAGAAAGAACAAGAAGAAAATTTCCAGATTTATTTGAATATGTTGTCATAGTTCATAGTTGCAAGGTAGTCTAGTTATTCTAAAAGACATCATTGTTAATTTTCAGCATGTATTATCTGATGATCGTGTCGTTGCAATGGCCTGCAGTGCTGCTAATAAACAGCAAAATAAGGAAAAGGACAGCGCATCCAAAGATTGTTTATTTAATGTTATTGTGAGTATAGTTATCTTCTGCGTAATGATTCTAGTTTTGGCATTCAGAAAGAGAATGTCATTTATTGAATTTCTTTGTGTTGTAATGTTCTTTCTATGGTATTATAATTTCTTCAGTTGATCCTATGTCTAGGTATCTCACTTCTTGCATTATTTAAAAAAATAAAAGATGTTTACTGTGTTTGCACTCGCTTGTAGATCAGTGCAAGCCTGAGACCAAAGGTCGAGTTCTCACTAAGTTTCCAAAGTTTCCATATATAAGCCATTGCAAACACAAAAAACGTCTTTTATTTTTTTGTGAGATAAGCAGTGTGCGAATTAACGGTGTGCAATGTGCAATTTGCACATCGTTTTAGCTAGAATGAAAACAATTGCACATCACTTTTTCAAACGATGTGCAAAAATCAGCAGTTTTAACAAAAAACACTGTCGTAAATCATATGAATTTGTTCAAGTTTAAAATATTAATTTAGCAATTAGCGCTGTATAATAATTAACGTAATATCGATTTGATTATGCCTCTAAAGAAACACTTTTGTCAAAAAAATTGCACATCGTTTTTTCTGAACTAATTCGCATACTGGAGATAAGAGTAATGCAGAACAGGTAAATTTAAAACAAACGTTTTAATTTTTTATCGAATTAAACTCAGATCGGTTTGCACAGGCTAATGCAAACTCAGCTGTAGACCAATCATTGCACACACTGTGTTGTGTTTATTTTTTTCTGATTGGTCTACAGCTGAGTCTTCACAGGCTAATGCAAACTCAGCTGTAGACCAATCAGCGGACGCACTGTGTTGTGTTTATTTTTTTCTGATTGGTCTACAGCTGAGTCTGCACAGGCTAATGCAAACTCAGCTATAGACCAATCAGCGCACGCACTGTGTTGTGTTTTTTTTTCTGATTAGTCTACAGCTGAGTCTGCACAGGCTAATGCAAACTCAGCTATAGACCAATTAGCTCGCACTGTGTTGTGTTTTTTTTTCCTGATTAGTCTACAGCTGAGTCTGCACAGGCTAATGCAAACTCAGCTATAGACCAATTAGCTCGCACTGTGTTGTGTTTTTTTTTCTGATTAGTCTACAGCTGAGTCTGCACAGGCTAATGCAAACTCAGCTATAGACCAATTAGCTCGCACTGTGTTGTGTTTTTTCTGATTAGTCTACAGCTGAGTCTGCATAGGCTAATGCAAACTCAGCTATAGACCAATTAGCTCGCACTGTGTTGTGTTTTTTTTTCTGATTAGTCTACAGCTGAGTCTGCACAGGCTAATGCAAACTCAGCTATAGACCAATCAGCGCACGCACTGTGTTGTGTTTTTATTTTCTGATTAGTCTACAGCTGAGTCTGCACAGGCTAATGCAAACTCAGCTGTAGACCAATCAGTGCACACGTTTTATCGTTTTTATTATATATAATTTACCTAGTGTTCAGAAAAATCAAATCTATATAGATTGTACCTACCATATTCCTTAATCTATAAACTTGTGTTTAAGTTGTTATTCATCCAATCAAGGGCACGGATAGTAAATTAATTAGTGCATAAATTAATTACTGCATAAATTAATTACTGAATAAATTAATTACTGAATAAATTAATTACTGAAAAATTAATTACTGATTAAATTAATTACTGAATAAATTAATTACTGAATAGCTATGGTACCATGTTTTCAGCAATGTTCACTTATTTACTCAAGACCGTTGTTGTGTCATCAAATACCATGTGTGACATTGCTAAATTTAGAAAATCATCAAGAATCTTTGATCTAGAAATCTAGTTTATCTTTTTATATTTTACGCAGCTACTTACTATAATATTATGTGTTCAGTTTATTGTAACTAGAACTTTCTATTTTGATCTCTAATTAATGATTTTGAACTCACGTAAAGGAGCCAAAGCTGACAAGATCAAAAGTTCGTGAGGTTGCGGAGACAACTGGAACATCTCTGGATCCTTTGCTTGTTGTGGTACGTACCTATATACATATGTAGGTGTTTACGTACATCACAAGTATTTCACATGTCACATGATATCACCATATAGGGAATATACAGTAGGGCCACTCTCAGTGCAATGTGCTGCTGTATATTTAATTGGATTACTGGCTGCCGTTTGCCAGCACAGCGCACCAATTCTCAGAAAAAGCAATTTAGTGGCTGCCACTATGGTAATCACATGCGTAATAAGATATATATTAATCCTAAGATATATATTAATAAGATAATTGAAATAAAATAAACCACGAATTACTTCATCGAAATTTATTCCCTACAGAACTGTTTCGTATGGCAGTTGTTTAACTTGCCACACTCCTCAGGAGAATACACTTCTCCTGACGAGTGTGGCAAGTTAAACAACTGAAACATACTATGAGGAATAAATGATAATAATCGTGGTTTATTTTATTTCAATATACCGCTCTGCCGTGGCATTGAGCACTCTATCCGTGCGATTTTGTTTGCGATAGTTTCTATCACAAAATCCCATTATATTAATAAGATATATATTAATAAGATATATATTAGGATTAATATATTATATATATTCTCTGATGATGGCTTTGGAATAAAGTCGAAACACGGTGCCATCCAGTAAACTGTTATAGTGGCGAGAATCTCTCGTCCATACGCAGTTTAAAAGAGATTTGACTCGTCTCCAATCCCTGTGGACTTAGTAGCTCAACAGGTAGAGCGGCGGACTAGTATCCCGAAGGTGCGAGCTCAAATCTCCTCCAAGTCACATGTTTCTCACGTGCATATTAAACCGTGTTAGGATTAATATATAATAAGATATACGTGGCGCAAAAAAATTAAATGTAGTGGCTCTACTGTATGTTCTCTATTCTGTGATAACATGAAATAAAAGATGTTTACTGTGTTTGCGCAGGCTTATGCAAACCGAGGAGACCTTTGGGAGAACTCGAGAGCAGATCAGTGCAATCCTGTTGCACCTGCTCTCGAGTTCTCACAAGCGTCTCCGAGGCTTGCAAATACGAAAAATATCTTTTACATGTTATTTTCATAAAATAACATTAATGCAAAACAGTTACGTGCGTACTTTCCAAATTTCTCTCCGTGTAATTCGGTAATATTATTTTGACTTCAGAAAGAAAAAATCATCCAATCTCCTGTTAAGAACATCATCTCACCTAGTAAGAAGAGAAGATTCACACCAGTTAAAGTTAACACTCCAGTTAAACTTGAAGACAAAGGTCCATTCAATGACGAAGTTACAGTACGTAAGAAATAACTAGTGTTTTGCTAAAATTGAAACACACTTAAGTTAGTAGTTGCTGAGCAAAGCTTCATTGTTAATTATACAGGTGTTTACTGTCACTTGATTCATTGAAAGCTCAACAGCCTATTCCATCAAAGGTTTTTATAGATCTTGCGCGCTCATAACTTTAGCGACGTTTTGCTATCTCTTCAGTTTTTTCATACACCCTGTATAAATGGGTTTTTTTTTGCATTCATTGTTTGTTGAGTGCGCCAAATTCCTTCAACACCTTCAGTTTTTTCATACACCCTGTATAAATGGGTTTTGTTTTGCATTCATTGTTTGTTGAGTGCGCCAACCTCCTTCAACACCTTCAGTTTTTTCATACACCCTGTATAAATGGGTTTTGTTTTGCATTCATTGTTTGTTGAGTGCGCCAACCTCCTTCAACACCTTCAGTTTTTCATACACCCTGTATAAATGGGTTTTGTTTTGCATTCATTGTTTCTTGAGTGCGCCAACCTCCTTCAACACCTTCAGTTTTTCATACACCCTGTATAAATGGGTTTTGTTTTGCATTCATTGTTTGTTGAGTGCGCCAACCTCCTTCAACACCATCAGTTTTTTCATACACCCTGTATAAATGGGTTTGTTTTGCATTCATTGTTTGTTGAGTGCGCCAACCTCCTTCAACACCTTCAGTTTTTCATACACCCTGTATAAATGGGTTTTGTTTTGCATTCATTGTTTGTTGAGTGCGCCAACCTCCTTCAACACCTTCAGTTTTTCATACACCCTGTATAAATGGGTTTTGTTTTGCATTCATTGTTTCTTGAGTGCGCCAACCTCCTTCAACACCTTCAGTTTTTTCATACACCCTGTATAAATGGGTTTTGTTTTTGCATTCATTGTTTGTTGAGTGCGCCAACCTCCTTCAACACCATCAGTTTTTTCATACACGCTGTATAAATGGGTTTTGTTTTGCATTCATTGTTTGTTGAGTGCGCCAAATTACTTCAACACCTTCAGTTTTTTCATACACCCTGTATAAATGGGTTTTGTGTTTGCATTCATTGTTTGTTGAGTGCGCCAAATTACTTCAACACCTTCAGTTTTTTCATACACCCTGTATAAATGGGTTTTGTTTTGCATTCATTGTCTGTTGAGTGCCCCAACCTCCTTCAACACCTTCAGTTTTTTCATACACCCTGTATAAATGGGTTTTGCATTCATTGTTTGTTGAGTGCGCCAACCTCCTTCAACACCTTCAGTTTTTCATACACCCTGTATAAATGGGTTTTGTTTTGCATTCATTGTTTGTTGAGTGCGCCAACCTCCTTCAACACCTTCAGTTTTTCTTACACCCTGTATAAATGGGTTTTGTTTTGCATTCATTGTTTGTTGAGTGCGCCAACCTCCTTCAACACCATCAGTTTTTTCATACACCCTATAAATGGGTTTTGTTTTGCATTCATTGTTTGTTGAGTGCGCCAACCTCCTTCAACACCTTCAGTTTTTTCATACACCCTGTATAAATGGGTTTTGTTTTGCATTCATTGTTTGTTGAGTGCGCCAACCCCCTTCAACACACAAAAAAATCATGAATACTGTACATTGCTGTTAACTTTTATATTGTTTGCATGAATACAAAGATCTCTGCTTACGTACATAAGACAACCTACAAGAGCCAAAATCGAGAAGTCAAACTTTAGCTATCGTTACTCGGAGGTTCAAGTGCAAAGCGAAATATCTACATACGTAGTTCCCATTGTGTACTATTTTCATTTAAAGAAATTTATTGTTAAACGTATTTCTCACTGTGTATTATTTTTTCTTATGTTCAAAATATGTTGGTTTTTTTTCAGAGTGTTAAGTTGCCTTTGGCATTTCTTCATTTTCCTGAATGTGAATTGTCCGATGAAGAATATGATCCTCTAAAAGAGAACAATGTGAGTAAATTTTCGTCTTGTTCTTTTTTTTGTAGTTGTTGTTGTTGTTGTAGTTTTTGTCGTTGTTGCTATTGTTGTCGTTGTAGTTGTTGTTGTAGTAGTTTTTGTCGTTGTCGTTGTTGTTGTTGTAGTTTTCGTCGTTGTCGTTGTTGGTGTCGTTGTAGTTTTTGTCGTTGTTGTTGTTGTTGTAGTTTTCGTCGTTGTTGTTGTTGGTGTCGTTGTAGTTTTTGTCGTTGTTGTTGTTGTTGTCGTTGTAGTTTTTGTCGTTATTGTTGTTGTTGTCGTTGTAGTTTTGTCGTTGTCAATGTTGTTGTTGTTTGTGGTTTTTGTGGATTGTTCATTTATTATTATTCTTTAGATTTTATTTCTTTATTTGTTTATTCCGTTCAAGTTTTGTTCATTATTCCATTCATGTTTTCATTCTATTATTCTTCTTGTTATGAATTTTATAAATATTTATTTATTTATTCCATTTGTACTATTTATTTATTTATTTATTCCATTCCATTTATTTATTTAATTTATTGTTATTTAATTTATTTATTTATTCCTTTTGTTTATTTATGTTATTGTTATTTATTTATTTATTTTATTTATTTATTTTTTCATTATTTATTCCTTTCATTTATTCCATGCGTTGTAGTTTTTTGTCGAAATGTTGTCCGTTGTTGTTGTTTGTTGTGGCTTATTCCATTCCATTGGTTCCATGCCATTGTATTCCATTGTTTGCTTCAGATTGTCCATTTAGTTATGAATTATTCCATTGTTTATTCATTCATTTATTCCATTTATTTGTTCATTTGTTTTCCATCCATTCATTCTTTATGTTATTCCATTCCATTTGTCATTCCATTTTGTCCATTATTCCTTGTCCATTCCATCCATTCCATTCATTCTTTATCCGTTATTATTCCATTTATTTGTTTTTATTCCATTTATTTATTCCATTATTTGTCATTCATTTTATCGTTTGTCATTTATTTATTTATTTATGTGTCCATTCATTGTTGTTATAGTAATTTATTTATTTATTTGTTCCATTTGTTTTATTTTCATTCCATTACATTCCATTGTTCTTTATCCATTCCATTTTGTACGTTGTTGTTCCATTCCATTTTTATTCATTTGTTATTCCATTGTTATTCCATTTAATGGTGTTTTTCATTTATTCATTTATTTGTCCATTCATTCTTTATCCATTCATTCCATAGTTCTTCTTTGTCCGTTATTCCATTTAAGTTGTCATTTCCATTCCACTTATTTATTCCGTTAAGGATTTATCCATTGGTTGTCTTCGATTCATTTATTCCAATTCATCCATTATTTATTTATTTATGTTAATTCATTTTATATTCCATTTCTTTATTTTAATTTATTCATTCATTTGTTTAATCATTATTTGTTGTTGTTGTAGTTTTTGTCGTTGTTGTAGTTGTTGTACTTTTTGTCGTTGTTGTTGTCGTTGTTGTTGTTGTTGTTGTTGTCGTTGTTGTTGTAGTTGTTGCTGTTGTTGTTGTTGTTGTTGTTTAAATCATCATTTAATTTTCGCCAGACTTGGAAACACGCACAAAAATGAAAAAGAAATTCCGATTTTCAGTGACAAACTTTTAGGTTAAAGTTATTTAAATCACTTTACACGTCATCTTCAACTGTTTCTATTCGATATACATGTTCAACATGTTTTATCTAGAAGTGACATTGTATAATGCGAACCTACGCATGTGGAAAATTTTCATTGATGTTTTTTATATGCGAACCTACGCATGTGGAAAATTTTCATTGATGATAATGGTTTTATATGCAGACCTACGCGTAATGGAAAATTTCATTGATGGTTTTTATGTCTGAACCACATGTGGAAAATTTTCATTGATTTTTTTATATGCCGAACCTACGCGTAATGGAAACTTTTCATTGATGTTTTTATATGTTTGAACCTACGCATGTGGAAAAAATTTCATTGATTTTTTATATGCGTTCACGTAATGGAAAATTTTCATTGATGTTTTTATATGCGAACCACGCGTAATGCAAAATTTTCATTGATTTTTTTTCATATGTGACAAATAAAATAAACGACAATTTTAGCAACACATACTGGTAAAACATTGTCATTTTACACATACGGGCGTATAGTCCAACTTTTCATAATACGTAGCCAATATAAATGATCCGCACTATGATTTCGGTTTTGTAATTATAACTTACTGAAATGATCTGCAGAATCTTGTCTTATGTCTTTGAATTCATGAACATACAATTTTTTTGATCTAAATTTCCTATTTTAGGTGCAAAGTGACGATGATTCAGAAAGTGGACTATCAGTGCATTGTAATGATCCTGCACTTATTACGTTCCTGATTTTCATTCCTTTGCATTCAAGAAGTCCTGTAGCTCAAAGTTTTCTGGTGCGAAATTTTCTTTGGTAATGTTTATATGTGCCTCATTGTTTTTGTCCATAGTTGGCTTTTTTGGTAATGTTTATATGCACTGTTGCCTCGTTGTTTTGTTCATGTTTAGCTTGTTTGGTAATGTTTATATACTGTTGCCCTCGTTGTTTTGTTCATGATTAGCTTGTTTGGTAATGTTTATATACTGTTGCCTCGTTGTTTTGTTCATGATTATTTTTTGTTTATCTATTATTGTTATTCCATTCCTTTGTAATTTTTATACCCCTCATTGTTTTGTTAATTCTTTTTTAATGTTTATATACTGCCTCGTTGTTTTGTTCATGATTATTTGTTTGTTAATGTTTATATACTGTTGCCTCGTTGTTTTGTTCATGATTAGTTGTTTGGTAATATACTGTTGCCTCTTGTTTTGTTCATGATTAGCTTGTTTGGTAATGTTTATATACTGCTGCCTCGTTGTTTTTTGTTCATGATTAGCTTGTTTGGTAATGTTTATATACTGCTGCCTCGTTGTTTTGTTCATGATTAGGTTGTTTGGTAATGTTTATATACTGTTACTTATGTTGTTTTTGTTCATGATTAGCTTGTTTGGTAATGTTTATATACTGTTGCCTCGTTGTTTTTGTTCATGTTTAGCTTGTTTGGTAATGTTTATATACTGCTGCCTCGTTGTTTTTGTTCATGATTAGGTTGTTTGGTAATGTTTATATACTGCTGCCTCGTTGTTTTTGTTCATGATTAGGTTGTTTGGTAATGTTTATATACTGCTGCCTCGTTGTTTTTGTTCATGATTAGCTTGTTTGGTAATGTTTATATACTGCTGCCTCGTTGTTTTTGTTCATGATTAGGTTGTTTGGTAATGTTTATATACTGTTGCCTCGTTGTTTTTGTTCATGATTAGCTTGTTTGGTAATGTTTATATACTGTTGCCTCGTTGTTTTGTTCATGATTAGCTTGTTTGGTAATGTTTATATACTGCTGCCTCGTTGTTTTGTTCATGATTAGGTTGTTTGTTAATGTTTATATACTGCTGCCTCGTTGTTTTGTTCATGATTAGGTTGTTTGGTAATGTTTATATACTGTTGCGTCGTTGTTTTTGTTCATGATTAGCTTGTTTGTTAATGTTTATATACTGCTGCCTCGTTGTTTTTGTTCATGATTAGGTTGTTTGTTAATGTTTATATACTGTTGCCTCGTTGTTTTTGTCCATGTTTACCTTGTTTGGTAATGTTTATATACTGTTGCCTCGTTGTTTTTGTTCATGTTTAGCTTGTTTGGTAATGTTTATATACTGTTGCCTCGTTGTTTTTGTCCATGTTTATTGTTTTGTAATGTTTATATACTGTTGCCTCGTTGTTTTGTTCATGATTACCTTGTTTGGTAATGTTTATATACTGTTGCCTCGTTGTTTTTGTTCAGTCCATTTTTTTTATGATTTATTATATATTGCTGCCTCTTTGTTTTTGTTCATGGTTAGCTTTGTTTGTAATGTTTATATACTGTTGCCTCGTTGTTTTTGTTCATGTTTACCTTGTTTAGTAATGTTTATATACTGTTGCCTCGTTGTTTTTGTTCATGATTAGCTTGTTTAGTAATGTTTATATACTGTTGCCTCGTTGTTTTTGTTCATGTTTGGCTTGTTTAGTAATGTTTATATACCTCAATTGTTTTCATTCATGATCGTTGTTTAGTTATGTTTATACTATTCCTCATTTTTGATCCATTTTATCTTTGTTTAGTATGTTATACTATTGCCTCGTTGTTTTGTTCATGTTTAGCTTGTTTGGTAATGTTTATATACTATTGCCTCGGTGTGTTTGATTCATGATTAGGTTGTTAGTAATGTTTATATACTGTTGCCTCGTTGTTTTTGTTCATGTTTAGCTTGTTTGGTAATGTTTATATACTGCTTTCGTTGTTTTGTTCATGATTAGGTTGTTTGGTAATGTTTATATACTGTTGCCTCGTTGTTTTTGTCCATGTTTACCTTGTTTGGTAATGTTTATATACTGTTGCCTCGTTGTTTTTGTTCATGTTTAGCTTGTTTGGTAATGTTTATATACTGTTGCCTCGGTGTTTTTGTTCATGATTAGGTTGTTTGGTAATGTTTATATACTGTTGCCTCGTTGTTTTGTTCATGTTTAGCTTGTTTGGTAATGTTTATATACTGTTGCCTCGGTGTTTTTGTTCATGATTAGCTTGTTTGGTAATGTTTATATACTGTTGCCTCGTTGTTTTGTTCATGATTAGGTTGTTTGGTAATGTTTATATACTTTTGCCTCGTTGTTTTTGTTCATGTTTAGCTTGTTTGGTAATGTTTATATACTGTTGCCTCGTTGTTTTTGTTCATGATTAGCTTGTTTGGTAATGTTTATATACTGCTGCCTCGTTGTTTTTGTTCATGATTAGGTTGTTTGTTAATGTTTATATACTGCTGCCTCGTTGTTTTTGTTCATGATTAGGTTGTTTGTTAATGTTTATATCCATGTGTTCATGATTAGGTTGTTTGGTAATGTTTATATACTGTTGCCTCGTTGTTTTTGTTCATGTTTATTGTTTGTAATGTTTATATACTGTTGTCCTGGTGTTTTGTTCATGATTAGCTTGTTTGGTAATGTTTATATACTGTTGCCTCGGTGTTTTTGTTCATGATTAGCTTGTTTGGTAATGTTTATATACTGTTGCCTCGTTGTTTTTGTTCATGATTAGGTTGTTTGTTAATGTTTATATACTGTTGCCTCGTTGTTTTTGTTCATGTTTAGCTTGTTTGGTAATGTTTATATACTGTTGCCTCGGTGTTTTTGTTCATGTTTGGCTTGTTTAGTAATGTTTATATACTTTTGCCTCGTTGTTTTTGTCCATGTTTAGCTTGTTTGGTAATGTTTATATACTGTTGCCTCGTTGTTTTTGTCCATGTTTAGCTTGTCGGTAAACAATAGTGGGGCTAAGCACCGTCCTTCTTATATAACTCACAGGAAATTTTTCCTCAAGTCCGTTATTGTGTTCTATAAAATCCATGATTGGTTTTTGAATATCTGCAGTGGGTTTTCATAAATGAACATTCTCTATTCACGAACTGATATATTTCCACTTTTCCATTATTTGTTATTCAACATGGGAATGGCGTAAACTCCACGATAAATTAATTGTTGGATTTTTTAAAAATTTTCCCGTGACTGCAATAATTCACATCCATATTAATTTCTCAAATTTCATTTGTATGCAGTTTTCCCGAAAATATCTCACTTCCCCTTGTCATTGTTTCATATACGAATAAAAATTATTTAAATGGTTTTGAACTGGAGCCTGTCTTTTAATAATTATGATAAATTACACTGTTGTCTATCTTTTGAAAAATATTAATAAAAATTAGTTATGAAGATTATGTGCATATTCCAGTTAAATTATGCCATTATTGTATAATTTGAACCATTTCAGCAACCTTGCCTCTCCTGCACTTCATCGTTTTACTTCAAGGGCAAAACGCTTGGTCAATGATGACGTAACTCCTAGCCTGTGTCAAGTTGACCAATCTGTTGATGACGAACGGGATGATAAAGTGGAGATTGGTACGTATGTAAGCTTTTAAGCCTGTTTTCCACTAGCCATGTATCGTAACGTATCGTAGCAAAAAGTAACATGGCGCATGCGTGCTTGTGTCCATTGACCATCAACTCATTAGCACGCATGCGCCATGTTACGTTTTCCTACGATACGTTACGATACGTGGCTAGTGGAAAACAGGCTTTACGTCATTCACAAATGTCATTAATGGCTCACTTCAGTGTATATGTTCATTTGAGAAGATCGGCAATTGTTATAGATAGTTTTGAATTGATTTTTTAACTAATAAGGTACGTATTAATGTTTTATGCAGTGCGGTGTTTGAAATTAAATGAAGATATGATCTTCGCACTTTGCTGGACAATTTAAGCAATTGTCTCAAGACCTGAAAAAATCCCGTTGAGTCACCTGATTTTTTCAGGTCCTGAGACGATTGCTTAAATTGTCCAGCAAAGTGCGAAGATCATATCTTCATTTAAATAAGGTACGTATTGTGAACAACGTCGTTTATGTTGTGTGTTGGTCAGTGGCGTAACTGCCATGAGCTCTGAATGGGTAGAGCCACGTGACTGCCATGAGCTCTGAATGGGTAGAACCACGTGCAGCCAAGCTATCAGCTTGAAACTGGGCAGAGCCACTTGACTGCCATGAGCCCTGAATGGGCAGAGCCACGTGCAGCCAAGCTATCAGCTTGAAACTGGGCAGAGCCACGTGCAGCCAAGCAATCAGCTTGAAACTGGGCAGAACCACGTGACTGCCAAGCAATCATCTTGAAACTGGGCACCCTCAACGCTGTTATTTATGAAAATAAAGATAAAAAGTAGGTTTATATTTGGGCAAGTTGAAGCACAGGATATTTCTCATTGAATTCGTGTTCCTTGTAGTAGAAAACTCTATTTGGTTTTTTCTGTTTATAAATTGAAAACCTGTTAATGTTGTGTTCTATTAACAATTATTAACAAAATGTGTATGTTGTCTGATTTTGGTGAGTGTGTGTTTGTGGGGGAGGGGGGCACCCCATTCTTGAAGGATGGTGTTGGCACGTATATCCTGTATCTTTTGGGTTTTTTTAAATTATCTTCTCGGTGAAGGCCATATTGAGCGCTCTCAAATGCAACTAGGATTCTTGAAAATAAGTAAAGTAGCTCTGTACTTGACAGACTTTGCATGCGTGCTTAATTTATCCTTAGTGTCGTATGTATACACTATTCAAGATCAACAACTAACGTTTATTTAAACGTAACATAAAAGCGTAATACACATATTCAATCAATCTATAGCATATGTCCCATTCCCCAATAGTTCCAGTCCTTTTTTCTCAATCACTTGAGCCTGCAATGTTCCGCTATTTACATGAGATAAGTACGTTATATTATCTGGATATTGTTCATGCACTTATCATTTTCTTTGATTTGTGTTTCAGTACACGAGGAAAAATCTTTGTCGCCATTATCGGCTTTGCCACAAACCCCTGAGAAGGTAAACTTTTTACGTTCTTTGAACAACTGAATTTATCTGTCAAGTTTTGTGTAGCTATGTTATGTGGTTGTTAGGCCGACATTTTTTTGTCAAATTTAACGAGTACGTACGTCTGACAAAACAAGTATATCTCTCAATGAGTATGTGCGTTTCAGTGCCATCTAATCGTTTATTTATTCAACGTTAATTTTTTTCATAGATCAATGATGATTTGATTGCAACCCGAACGAGATCGAGGTTGCCCCTAACGGAGACCAGTATTGAAAGTATTGAAGGTACAGCAATTACGTACGTACTAACTCATAATTTGTGGTTTGGATGCATTTTGAACTCATTCGCGTATGATGCTTTTCACCCTAAAAAAACATTAGATAAATTCATTTATTTTGACAGACGTTAGATTTCCAACACTTCTATATAATTTTGCTTGTTACAGTATAAAGCAAATTCCGAAGAAGAAAGACATCTTGAGATTGCAAAATATGCATCAAAACGATTGCATCAGAATGATTGATAGAATGATATTCTGTCTGAGGATGACTTTGAAATAGAGTCGAAAATTTACTGTTCACTTCTCGTCCTGTTTTGATGCATATTTTACAATCTCAAGATGTCTTGCTTCTTCGGAATATGCTTTATACTATATTTCTTTAAATTGTCGGTTTGTCATGGCTTTTGCTTGTTACATATCATGTAAATAATGTGTTAAAGTCGACAGCAAGTTTCCTTGTTGTTTTGTTTCTGTGCTAATCAATTGATCAGGTTTTCATTCACTATAAATACTGTTGTCCTGCTGGTCACGCAATTGTGTCATTCAAATTAAAGGTATGCAAAAATGTTTCTTTCTGCATTAAATTCTACTTTAGCACAATTTGTTCCTCCTGATCTGCCATCGGATCTTTACGATGTTATTACGTTGGAGGATCTCGAAGAAGATGAAATTGATTGGCATAAATGGTTGTATGGTATAAATGCGGAAAAAGGTATGGCATTTCATGTTTCGGTAGGTTTGAAAAGAACTGTTGAAAATCATTTTGTCTCTATTTCATTTACCGTGGTAAATGTTTTCTTTAAGGTTGTATTTAGAATGTTTATGCAGTGAAATTTTCATACACTTTTTTATGGACCTAATGAAGTATTCAGATGTTTGCAAGCAATAAATATATTTATGTCCATTTTACGTTGACTAATTTCAACTCAAAAAGTTGTCCTCTTGTGCGAATTTTGCTGACCGCCATGTTTGCTCATTTGACGTCATAACTTGTACGGAAGTCGCCAAACTAATTTCTATTGCCATGTTGAAACTATGTACTACGTATGACGTCAATTTAGCAAACGTGGCAGACAAAAAAGTTCGCACAAAAAGAACCAAAAACCGCCACTTTTAACGTCTATAAATTCAAACCGAAAAGACAAAATTTAACTCTGTTTCCATAAAATTGATGCTGAGAGCAAGTACTTTCGAATAAGCAAATAAAGCAATGTGGGAAAATTTCACTGCATAAGCACTTTAAGTCCGTTACCAGTACCAGGCCTCTGTTACGTTACGCAAATACAGCGAACTACGTAATTTTTCGTCAGAAGCGGTAATAGAAACGGATGATCCCGAAGACTCCGAGTATAACTTCATGGCCGAGGAACAGAAAGAAGAGAAGGAAGAATACCGTACGGATCGAGCTGTAAAGATATCACGTAAGACTGTAAAAACATAAGAAATATGCCTCGAATTTTCATTAAGAAATTTATATGTAAATAGAGGAATGAGGTTCGTTTTCGTACGTTCATCTTGAAGGCCATATTGTTATAGTGTCGTATTATTCTATGGCTGAAATCAAAGTATCAAAAATATATAGCTGTGTCTTGTGAAGTTAGTACAATTCAACCACAGTATAGTGAATATACAGTAAAGCCACTCCATTGAATTTTTTCGTGCCGCACATGTCTTATTACACATTTGATTACCATAGTGGTAGCCAGTCAATTGCTTTTTTTGACCAATAGGAATGATGAAATGGCTAACGGCAGCCAGTAATGAAATATACAGCAGCCAGTTGTACACGAAGGGGACCTACTGTATTTTCCTTTTACCGTGATTTGACGCAGCTTTCGATCATTTTTATGTCGTGAAAAAACTTGGGATGTTCCGGACACCGGCATCCAATACCCGGTAATATGTGCCTATCCGGCAATATCCGATATCCGGTAAACTTCTGCAAGTTATGTACCGGATGTTGGGGAAACTTTTTTTACCATTTAAAAAATAGAATGCAGAATATTTTTTGTTTTAATATTACTCATTCTCAGCCGTGGGTTGCTAGCAAAGGGATAGAACTGTAAATGTTTGCTAGCTAGCAAAGTTATTTATAAATATAGTTAGAAATATTTTTTATTTTGAGACGATGTTAACCCGTTGTAATATTAACATTTTATATGACACGGGTAAAACTTTGAACGTAAATTCTATACGGCGTATGTTCAGAGCTTTAGCAGGTAATGGGCATAATATCCGGTATCCGGTAGACTGCCACCCGGTACTATTCGGTATAACGGACAAAGTGGTATCCGGCACATTCCTATCAAAAACAAACAGATATCATTACTTAAAAATAAGACATGATTTATTGCCACGTTGTTTTTATCTGCCAATATTGTTTGTACTCATAAATAACTACAAGACATGATTTATTGCCACGTTATTTTGTTTGCCAATATTGTTTGTACTCATAAATAACTACAAGACATGATTTATTGCCACGTTGCTTTTATCTGCCAATATTGTTTGTACTCATAAATAACTGCAAGACATGATTTATTGCCACGTTGTTTTTATCTGCCAATATTGTTTGTACTCATAAATAACTTCAAGACATGATTTATTGCCACGTTGTTTTTATCTGCCAATATTGTTTGTACTCATAAATAACTACAAGACATGATTTATTGCCACGTTGTTTTTATCTGCCAAAATTGTTTGTACTCATAAATAACTACAAGACATGATTTATTGCCACGTTGTTTTTATCTGCCAATGTTGTTTGTACTCATAAATAACTTCAAGACATGATTTATTGCCACGTTTTTATCTGCCAAAATTGTTTGTACTCATAAATAACTACAAGACATGATTTATTGCCACGTTGTTTTATCTGCCAATATTGTTTGTACTCATAAATAACTACAAGACATGATTTATTGCCACGTTGTTTTTATCTGCCAATATTGTTTGTACTCATAAATAACTACAAGACATGATTTATTGCCACGTTGTTTTTATCTGCCAATATTGTTTCTACTCATAAATAACTACAAGACATGATTTATTGCCACGTTGTTTTATCTGCCAATATTGTTTCTACATAAATAACTACAAGACATGATTTATTGCCACGTTGTTTTATCTGCCAATATTGTTTGTACTCATAAATAACTACAAGACATGATTTATTGCCACGTTGTTTTTATCTACCAATGTTGTTTGTACTCATAAATAACTTCAAGACATGATTTATTGCCACGTTGTTTTTATCTGCCAATGTTGTTTGTACTCATAAATAACTTCAAGACATGATTTATTGCCACGTTGTTTTTATCTGCCAATATTGTTTGTACTCATAAATAACTTCGAGACATGATTTATTGCCACCAGATATTGAATGCGTTTGCTTTGCAATCGGGAATCAACGTAGCAAACCGTTCATGTCTTATTACTAGATTACATAGAGCATTTATGCATGCAGCACGTTTGTGAAAGAGACTTTTTGGATGCATGAATGATACATCATCAAGATTTTTCCAGCTTTAGTTTTGTTCATTGTTGGTGGATTTCATGAGAAATAATTGTTACTTTTTTGTTTTCAAATATTAGAGAAAGAACTTACAGATCTTTTGGAGCAATTTTTGAATGAGGTACGTTAACGTAAATATATATATTATGCGTTTTACGTATGTAAAATGTTTGTGAGTAAAATGCGCACGAAACTTTGAAATTGCCTGGTTGTCGACTTAACGATAAAGAGTTGAGGAAGTTCTTTCCCACATAATTCGAAGACTAGAATACAAATTTCCAAAGAAAATTTCATGTCGAGTGCTGGAACATTTTACTTCGAGGACGATAAGATGACGTCTTACAGATTACAGCGCTGGAACATTTGACTTCGAGGACGATGAGATGACGTCTTACAGATTATAGTGCTGGAACATTTGACTTCGAGGACGATAAGATGACGTCTTACAGATTACAGCGCTGGAACATTTGACTTCGAGGACGATGAGATGACGTCTTACAGATTACAGTGCTGGAACATTTGACTTCGAGGACGATAAGATGACGTCTTACAGATTACAGCGCTGGAACATTTGACTTCGAGGACGATAAGATGACGTCTTACAGATTACAGCGCTGGAACATTTGACTTCGAGGACGATAAGATGACGTCTTACAGATTACAGCGCTGGAACATTTGACTTCGAGGACGATAAGATGACGTCTTACAGATTACAGCGCTGGAACATTTGACTTCGAGGACGATAAGATGACGTCTTACAGATTACAGCGCTGGAACATTTGACTTCGAGGACGATGAGATGACGTCTTACAGATTACAGCGCTGGAACATTTGACTTCGAGGACGATGAGATGACGTCTTACAGATTACAGTGCTGGAACATTTGACTTCGAGGACGATAAGATGACGTCTTACAGATTACAGCGCTGAAACATTTGACTTCGAGGACGATAAGATGACGTCTTACAGATTACACGAATCACTGTTTTATTTCATACCGTATGGATATTCGACATTCTCTTGTCACTTTAACTCAACAATCAATGGCAAAATGTCTTGGGTCATCATATGTAACAATTTCGTGCCACCTGCGATTGAGAAAGAATTCACAGAACTATGTTTTGATTCTCATGAAGGAAACTATTTTTAGCTTCAGTAATATGCATTAAAAAATCTTAATTCCGATTGGTTTAGAGCATTACAGTTATATAGTAAATTGTGTTGTGCAGTGGACTTGTTTAATCTCTTGTTCTCTTTCTACTTCCTCGCCATTTTTCTCAAACTGCATTCAATTTATAATTGCGTCTGATTTGATATTAGCACTTTCGTCGTAGAAAAATTTTGCTCATGTCAAGTGGTTTCAAAGAATTTATCGATCGTATATGATATATTCAGAGAAAAGAAATCTAATGCATGCAGTTATTTAAGTTATGAATACGTAATACTTCATGTATACCTCTCATATGAAGCGGTTTCAAAGAATTTATCTATAGATTCCGAGAAGGTCATCAAGGGCACATCGAGCTTTGCAAACCGTTGAAATATATTTGCTTATTGTTATGACATGAAGTTTTTTTGCGTTTAATTTATGATATTTGCATTTAATATTTGACGCTCTTCTTGACCATATCATTTCATTAGGAGAATCATGCTTTTTTTTGTTTTATAGTAGAAATAAACACATTTGCAAATATATTCTGTAGTCTACGTAGAATCATTATTCTAATTATCTTCAGTGTCTGTCGCTACTGTCTGTTCTCGTGCATTCATTAGTATCATATTATTCATATTTATATACCGCACTTATATTCTGTAGTCTACGTAGAATCATTATTCTAATTATCTTCAGTTTCTGTCGCTACTGTCTGTTCTCGTGCATTCATTAGTATCATATTATTCATATTTATATACCGCACTGTTGCAATTACAAAATACAAAACAAAATTCGATCGGTTCCGTGATAACGTATTGTTCAATTCCTGTGCCAACTTCGCAGTGGTTTTTTTAAACCGTTGATTATCGTCTGTTGGTCTTTATCTTTGATGAAAATGTGGCTTGTTGCTGAAACTGAAATATTTATTGCTTTCATGGCTGTATTGCTGGCTTGGGCAGTCATACGTTATATGATTTCATCGACTAAAGGTATGCGTTTAAAAAACGTAAGCTCAAGGAGACGTTTGGGCAAATTTGAGGAGGAGTTTCTTTTAATGAGTGACGAACGTAAAGGTACGAGTAACTCTTGTTTTGTGTTAGTCCTTCGTTCGACGCAAAGTTTAGTGGAATCAAACGTTCGCCACAGTTTGTTGCGAGTGGCTATGAGTCAACCCATGCTTCGAGCTGTTTTGAGAAAGGTATCAAAGTCATTCTTTTTTGGCGAAGAATCCTTTTTTGACATAATTCAGCCTGATAAGGTCGAAGACATGATTCAACTAATAAAATTTGATGTTTGTGCTTATAAATGGTCGAAATCGTGGCATGTTCTTGCTGTTCAGGAATTTAAGACGGAATTGCTGTGGCAAGCAGTTTTATTCCGTGAAGAATATCTTGTGGAGGAAAATATCTATGAAAACACTATTGTGTTCCAAGTAAAACACTGTATCATGGACGGTGTATCGGGCATTAAAATGTGTAAGCAGTTTCTCAGTGAATTAAATTCCTATGGCGCATGGAAGAAATCTCCTCGCACACTGACGTCATCACCTCCGGAAGGTCTGCCTAGTTTTTATCATTTACTAAAAGATCAGTATGAATCTCCGTCCTTGTGGAGATATATGAAATCTTCTTTTCCACCATTACGGTATTTCGTCAAGTTTACAGAAAGGTTAAAATTACGAATTGTGTTGTCGCAGCTCCCAAAGAAACCTTATGACTTTATTGAAACACACACATCTTTTGAAACTCGCGAACTTGTGTTTAAAGTATTTTCACCGGAGCAAACTAATGCCCTACGTAAAGCTTGTAAATCGAAAGGTGTCACTGTTACCGCTGCCCTTATGACAGCAGTTCACATGGCATTTTGCAAACTTATTGAAAATCAAAGTTCGAATTTTCCTGCTGAAAAAAATTTGTCGCAATTACTTGCTATCAACGGTAGAAGAGCATGTCACCTTAGACCACCAGAAGACTATCTTAGTAACATGGTGTTGGTTCGTTTGTTTTGCATTCCTTGTGATAATGAAGACTTTTGGTCAAAAACCGTGAAAATGAAAAAGCGTATGGATGATGTACTCAGCAAAGACGAGTATGTTCATGATGAATTGGAACAGCACGATATTTGGCATCCTAGGGAAAGAGTTGAAGAACTTCTTTCCCCCCTTAATTCGAAGACTAGAATACAAATTTCCAAAGAAAATTTCATGTCGAGTGCTGGAGCATTTGACTTCGAGGACGATGAAAAATCGTCTTACAGATTACACGAATCGCTTTTTTATTCCATAGCGTATGGATATTCGATATTCGCTTCTCACTATAACTCAACAATCAATGGCAAAATGTCCTGGGTCATCATATGTAACAATTTCGTGCCACCTGCGATTGAGAAAGAATTCACAGAACTATGTTTTGCGATTCTTATGAATGAAACTATTTTTTAGCTTCAGTAATATGCATTAAAAAATCTTAATTCCGATTGGTTTAGAGCATTACAGTTATATAGTAAATTGTGTTGTGCAGTGGACTTGTTTCATGTCTTGTTCTCTATCTACTTCCTCGCCATTTTTCTCAAACTGCATTTCAATTTATAACTGCGTCTGATTTTATGTTAGCAATCAAAAAACTTAAGTCATCGAAACAATTTGCTCATGTCAAGAGGTTTCAAAGAATTTATCGATCGTATATGATCTATTCAGAGAAAAGAAATCTAATGCATACAATTATTTCAGTTATGAATACGTAATACTTCATGTATACACCTCTCATTTTTTTCATCTATGCTATCTTACGCATGCGTGTGCAAACTTTGTTTTGTGTATTTCAGGGGTTATTACGTTAGTAACTCTTTATAGTCTGATCACAGCATAATGAATATACAGTAGGGCCACTCCAATGAATGTTACGTGCCACGCATATCTTGTTACGCCCGCGTTTACCATAGTGACAGCCAGTCATTGTTGTTTTTTCGACCAATAGGAATGATGAAATGGCTAACTGCATCCAGTTATCCAATTAAATATACAGCAGCCAGTTGCACACGAAGTGGACCTACTGTATATTCCCTAAACTTTAGTTCTGACATAAATAAACATATCCTTCAAATTATTTCTTTAGTTTAGTGACGAGACTCCAGTACCTCAATTTAATCCATCCAGGTACGTGTTCATTCATCAAATGAAAATTCGTTGCCTGTGCACGTTTTATGGTTTATTGTTGACTGACGTTTCGACAACCTTAGCGGTAGTCATTTTCAGAGTCAAATGAGGAGTAAACTGAAGAGTCAAATGAGGAGTTTTATGGTTTATCTTAAAAACAGTTATAAAAATGATTCATCAAATGAAAATTCGTTGCTTGTACACGTTTCATGGTTTGTTGTTGACTGGCGTTTCGACAACCTTAGCGGTAGTCATTTTCAGAGTCAAATGAGGAGTAAACTGAAGAGTCAAATGAGGAGTTTTATGGTTTATCTTAAAAACAGTTATAAAAATGATTCATCAAATGAAAATTCGTTGCCTGTACACGTTTCATGGTTTGTTGTTGACTGGCGTTTCGACAACCTTAGCGGTAGTCATTTTCAGAGTCAAATGAGGAGTAAACTGAAGAGTCAAATGAGGAGTTTTATGGTTTATCTTAAAAACAGTTATAAAAATGCGTATGGCTTGTACTTTAATATTTTCATATTAAACTTCTTCGAAGAAAACTTGTTGGCAATAGTATAAACGCAAGTAAGGAATAGTATAAACGGAAAAAGCCATGCAGATTAAATTTGACTGAGGACTCTGTTTCAAACCAGCACTTTCGTGAAGTGTGGAAAAAAGCAAACTTCTGGTAACGTTATCTTGCAAACTCGCAATTTTATTTATTAAAATAACCGGATATAAAATTCTAGAAACGTGAAATTAATGAAACGAAAATGTTTGTGATGGCTTAGTGGTACTTTGAAGTTTTCAAATAAAACTTTCTGACACACGCATTCTTTAATATCACAATGCATACTTGTCATTTGGATTATCTGGAACAATTTGTTTTTGAGCAAAGTGTTCACAAATTTAGTCACATGATTTAACGTCCAAGCCTATTCACATTGGCTCCTTTCCAACTTTTGCGACCAGGCCCATTTTAGGGGCCGATTACATGGAGCAATTTTAGCCCGGGCTGAGTTTCAGTAGAACACTGCCTTGTGTAGAATATGTAAATGTGCAATAAAATACCGTTCTGACTTCGCCACTTGTAACAACAAACTTAAATTAATTGTTTTAAATTATTATTTAAATATTGAACTATTGCTATGCTCAATGACGTGTGTTTTTTTAACTGTTAACGTTTTACCTTGCCTTCCATAAACTGCCATGTCTTTCTTTATATCATGGACCTTTTATTTACTTCAAGCTAATACGACCACAGACAGTCATTGTCTTTTAACGTATTTTGTTGTAGGTCAACAAATGACGACGATTGCACAATTTTTTTACGACATCGGCAGTGTTTGGTGGAACAGCTTCAAAAGGTAATTGCGTGATTATCGCAAATCGCTCTTTATGATCACCCCCTTATCGAGCTTCTGCAATATCTGAACAACTGTTCGTGCAGTTTGGTTCGTGGCTATGATTTATGATGTTAGCTAAGCAGCATGTTGCTTAGCAGGTTTTTGCTTGACGACGGAGGTTGTTAGGTAACATGTAGTTCTTTACAAACTACCAAGTACCATTGTAAAAGTATATGTTCTTCAAAAAAGTATTTTTATTTTTTATCCTCCGAGTTCGTTATTACATGCAAGCGTGTTATCCGAGACAGGTATTTATATACAAATGAATTGTTTGTCAACAACAATATTCAACGATATGAACAGATCCATCATACCAGAACAAGTTATCATGTTGATTTACAGACAAGCTATCGTGTTATTTTCATGGCCTTTTGTTGCTCATGTTTTTTTTTGTTTGTCAACAACAATATTCAACGATATGAACAGATCCATCATACCAGAACAAGTTATCATGTTGATTTACAGACAAGCTATCGTGTTATTTTCATCGCCTTTTGTTGCTCATGTTTTTTTTGTTTGCGCAACATTTTTGTGCTCATGTTTGCGCAACATTTTTGTGCTCATGTTTGCGCAACAACTATGGAAAATTTCTTACATTTATGTTGTACTTAATCTATTCCGCTTAAAACTGTTATTTTTCTGCGTTAGAACTCAAATAAATGCCTCTTCCCTCTCAAGAAATGAACAAAATAATCAACTGAAATCTCTGAGTAATTTTGTTAAACTTGTTGAGTTTCGATTTTGTTAGGGTTATAACTCCTTAATCAACTTTAAGTAATTATTCATAACTATTCGATACTTCCGCTTTATCACCATAACATATTATGATGTAAACTTCCTATATTGATTCACTTCGCACTGAAGATGGCATAAAGTATGCCGAAACATGTTTTGCTTAAAAGAAATTTGTCGTTTATGTTAAATGTGTTACATGAAGGTTGATTACATGTTAACTGTGTTTGCGCGGGCTTATGCAAACCGAGGAGACCTTCGGGAGAACTCGAGAGCAGATCAGTACAAGCCCGAGACCGAAGTTCGAGGGTTGCACATGCTCGAGAGTTCTCACAAACGTCTCCGAGGTTTGCATAAATCAGTGCAAACACGAAAAACATGTTTTATTTCTTTTATAAAATAACAATAATGCGAAAAAAGACAAACATTTTAATTTTTCCTCTAAAATGTATTCATGATCGATTTGCAAATTCTCTTTGACTGATTGATTGTTTAGATTGATTTGATTGGTTGCGCTCAGATGTGTTTTGCACTAACTAATGCAAACTCAGCTCTAGACCAATCAGCGCACGCGTTTCATTGTGTTTATATTATAATCTCTTGTTTAGCACACGCAGCTGTTGGTGCAGATATCTCTACTTTCTAAAGAACATCCAGACCTCAGTTATGTGACGTCATCTTGTGAGGAGTTATTTCAAGACATGAGTCGAATGAATGATATGGCCAGTTCTGTATACGTATCTCGTCTTGCTTACAATAAGTATGCCTTACCTCCTGTCTTCTCGTCTGTTCAACTTGATGAGGCTCAAAGGTACGCTATATTGTCTGTATTTGTGTTTCACACAGTTAAAATCTATCTATTAATGAACACTTAATGTATGCTCCCGAGGGAAATGGTGAGTTTTATTTTCCAAGCGTCTCAATGTTTCGAAGTCGAGGGAAACATTGAGACTCGAGGGATCAACGTCTTTTTGGCAAGAATTCGTGGAAGATGCTAAATAGCATACCAAAAGGCAACAGTTTGATATTGTGGATGTATTACTTCACTTTTGACACCAATGTTAGTGGAAGGTGCTAAATAGCATACCAAAAGGCAACAGTTTGATATTGTGGATGTATTACTTCACTTTTGACACTAATGTTAGTGGAAGGTGCTAAATAGCATACCAAAAGGCAACAGTTTGATATTGTGGATGTATTACTTCACTTTTGACACCAATGTTAGTGGAAGATGCTAAATAGCATACCAAAAGACAGCAGTTTGACATCGTTGATGTATGACTTTACTTTTGACACTAATGTTAGTGGAAGATTCTAAATAGCATACCAAAAGGCAACAGTTTGACATCGTGGATGTATGACTTTACTTTTGACACTAATGTTAGTGGAAGATGCTAAATAGCATACCAAAAGGCAGCAGTTTGACATCGTGGATGAATGACTTTACTTTTGACACCAATGTTAGTGGAAGATGCTAAATAGCATATCCCAAGACAAAACAGTTTGATATTATTGATGTTGAATAAATATATGTTTTTTTACCGTTTACGTCAGTCCATATAGGAAAATATCTTCCCGAGGACGCAGATTGAGTATGATTTTAAGAAGGAGGATGTTTTTAAGATCGAGGATGTTTTTAAGATCGAGGATGTTTTTAAGGTCAAAGATGTTTTTAAGATCGAGGGGAAATATTTTTCTATCCTGACTGACCTGAACGGTAAATAACGTATTTATTTTTTCTGAAGGCGACAATGTTTCTAGATTGTGCTGTTTGATTCAACAATGGCGGCAAAGTAAAGAATCGAAACTTTACTGTTCATTTCAATTACTTTGAGGAATTCAAAATTCACTTAAAACGGATAAAGCGACGGACTAGTATCCCAAAGGTGCGAGTTCAAATCTCGTCCAAGTCACATGTTTTCCATGTGCATATTAACCGTGTTAGGATTAATATATTATATATTTTCTCTGATGATGGCTTCGGATTACTACCATCCAAGGTTTTTATAACAAAACAAAACAGAACAAAAACAAGTCTTCACTCAAGGATTGGGCTATAGGATTCTGGACCGCAAAATTCCGCCCTCTACTGCAGTCAATCAGATTGCATGAAAAGGCCGAGTTTCCGTGCACTTCTCAATTTTGAAAAAATAAACAACGTTTCTTGACAATAAAGTTAGCGAAGGATGTTAAATAGCACAAAAGTAGAATATCGTAAAAAACAGCATGTCTCTGAAAACGTCGTCTAGTTCTTAAATTCAACTCTTGAACCGCAAGTGTGCATGCATTGAAAATAGAAATGAACTAGGAAGATATTGAAATGAGATTTTCCACTCAGAAACATAGGAGGTATTTCTATGTTTCCATGTGGCCGCTTCTATTTTATATGATTTAGGAAATAGTGATTCATTCAGGTGAAAAGAGAAAATAATATTTATCGTGTTCTTAAACGTTTTTAGATTGATGAACATCCCTTGGCCATCACCTGTTTCGACGAAGACCACAAAATCAATTAAAAGCACGTCACCTCTTGTTATCCCGGATGAACTGAAAAATATAATGACGTCATCACCTTTCTTTGCATACCCGGATATATTACCACACGTGACTTTTAACGTGAAAAAATCGATACCAAGTCGGGGCGAGAAGTTTCTACAAAGCGAGGATAATCTTCTTGTCTTGGGTCTTGAGAAATGCGGTCGTTCCTGGAGTGACATCAAGAAATGTTTTCTTCCCGTGAAGACGTTGAATCAAATCAAAATAAGGCGGAAGAATATGTGCTCGAAGCGAGCTTACGATAATATCGTCAAGGAATTTGAAAACACGGGCATTGTTCCTTTACTACCTCGCATTCCTGCCATGCCAGGTAAAGCCACGTGCAAACGCGCTCAACATGTTGAATCAACATTGTCCTGCTCTTGTTGTTTGATGTTTAGCAATGTGTGCAAACGCCTTCAACATGTTGACTCAACATTTATTCAACATTGTCCTGCTCTTGTTGTGTGATGTTTAGCGATGTGTGCGAACGCTCTCAACGTGTTGACTCAACATGCACTCAACATTGTTTTGCACTTGTTGTGTGATGTTTAGCGATGTGTGCAAACGCTCTCAACGTGTTCAGCATATGAGATAAAATATTCCACGATGCCTAGCAACGGCAGGAACACACATATTTAGTGACGCCATTTTTACAATAATATACGCCGCACAGCGCGCATACGTAAGCTCAACATTGTTAATTGAGCTGTTCAAACGCACTAAACAATGTTTAGACGCGCATCGATGAGCGTGGAACAAAGAAAATGTTTAGCGTGGTTGAGTGAAAGTTTGAAGAAGTCCAAACTTCTTTCAACAACGCTCAACTCAACACAACTCAACACCACTCAACACAACTCAACACAACTCAACACAACTCAACACAACTCAACGCAACTCAACACAACTCAACACAACTCAACACAACTCAACACAACACAACACAACTCAACGCAACTCAACACCACTCAACACAACTCAACACAACACAACACAACTCAACACAATTCAACACCACTCAACACCACTCAACACAAATCAACACCACTCAACACCACTCAACACAACTCAACACCACTCAACACAACTCAACACAACTCAACACAACTCAACACAACTCAACACAACTCAACACAACTCAACGCAACTCAACTCCACTCAACACAACTCAACACAACACAACACAACACAACACAACTCAACACAATTCAACACCACTCAACACCACTCAACACAAATCAACACCACTCAACACCACTCAACACAACTCAACACCACTCAACACAACTCAACACAACTCAACACAGCTCAACACAACTCAACACAACTCAACACAACTCAACACAACTCAACACCACTCAACACCACTCAACACAACTCAACACCACTCAACACAACTCAACACAACTCAACACAACTCAACACAACTCAACACAACTCAACACAACTCAACACAACTCAACACAACTCAACACAACTCAACACCACTCAACACAACTCAACACCACTCAACACAACTCAACACAACTCAACACAACTCAACACAACTCAACACAACTCAACACAACTCAACACAACTCAACACAACTCAACACAACTCAACACAACTCAACACCACTCAACACCACTCAACACAACTCAACACCACTCAACACCACTCAACACAACTCAACACAACTCAACACAACTCAACACCAGTCAACAGGCTGTGCAAATGTGTTCAACATGTTGAGTGTACAATGTTGAGTGAACATGTTGAGCGCGTTTGCACGTAGCTTAAGACAAGGACATCGGTTACATCAGTCGATTTCAATGCTTTTATATAACATCTGTTGTGATCTTTTTATTTTACGTTGCTATTACTTGTTAGTGGAATCATACTAGTATTCTATTTGAAATGCTTCGATTTGATTGGCTACTCTACCGGCATTCCAATTTTCAAAACATTGCGAGTAACAAGAGTCGTTTGCTTTTTGGTGTAAACGATGTCAACTACAACAAATGGCTAAAACAACGAAATAAGGAAAACTTAAGCAACCCTTTTCTTTATGAATACTAATATGATTCTACTAAAACAATTAGATTTCTCGCTCTCGATTTCCGTGATGCGTGTAGTTGCTTCCAATGATTTAGAACCCAATCCCCTAGATGTCTAACTACATTGTCAAGGTGAAGCAAGGGCGCCATCTTGAAAGGTGGCAAAAAACAAAACTCAAAATGAAAAAAGTTAAAACAAAGTTTAAAAAACCTATCCTATCAAACATTTTAAGAATCAAACCTAGACTATTAACTTTGCGACCCTATATCAACTCAGAAAAAGCAGATATTAGTCGTAAATATAGTCAGGTTTGCCACCTTACAAGATTGCGGCTTGCCTCACTCATTAATATACAATTTTAGCGGAGTCAATTATCTAGTAGATTGTGTTCTAGGCCATTTGTTGATTCGGTCTCGTAATCTAATTGTTAATTCGAAAGCACTCATTTCAGCCACGGAAAACCTGTCGAAAAGTTAATTTAGACAATTTGTTTTACATCAAAAATCGAAACACTAATCATTTTGCTAACTCCAGGGAGATCTACTCGACATTTAAGACGAAATTCAAAATATCATCCACCAACATGCAGAAATAAAACAAGCAGCAATAAACAAACAGAAAGCACTCAACTACGCCAACAAACACGACATGAGAATTAAAATAACGACCAGCAAAAACGGACAACGTAACATCCATCTGATTCAATCTACTATTATAATGCGTATGATATACAAATATGAAACAGAAAGCACTCAACTACGCCAACAAACATGACATAAGAATTAAAATAACGACCAACAAAAACGGACAACGTAACATCCATCTGATTCAATCTACTATTATAATGCGTCTGATATGCAAATATGAAACAGAGAGCACTCAACTACGCCAACAAACATGACATAAGAATTAAAATAACGACCAACAAAAACAGACAACGTAACATCCATCTGATTCAATCTACTATTATAATGCGTCTGATATGCAAATATGAAGTTGATTTAAAAGTTTTATGTTTGTTCTATGAACGCCATTATTTAGCGAATGCAGAGGAAAAAACGAAGAATTCTACACACTATGCTGTGCGCAACAAAGATACCACTCCATCATGGTACAAGAAACTCAACCCAGTTAAAGTACCCACCAAGTCAAAGAAACCATCTCCTATTTCGTGTAAGAAGAAAGACAATAGAAAGAAAAAGACTATAAAACCATCTGAGGGTGATGTAAACAAAATAGACCTTAATTCCGGAAATTCTTCTTCTATTACCCCTCCTTCAGTTATTCTATCCTCATGCCCATCTACTACGTCTCCGTCAATTACCTCTTCTATCACCCCTCCCTCAGTTGCACTAACTTCACTCCCATCAACTACCTCTCAGTCAATTACTTCTTCTATCACCCCTCCCTCAGTTGCACCAACTTCACTCCCATATAATGCTTCTCAGTCACCCAATACTACTATGCCTGCTGTTGCTACACCTTCAAGAACGACGCATGAAATTTCAGAGGTATGTTTCCCCAATTTCGCCTGATTTTTGTGGAGTAGTCCTATATTCGATGAAGCATTTTTGTGATAGATGAGGCTTGGTAAAGATTGAGGGGAAGTGTGGCATATCCCCAGCAAAACAAATGGAAAAAACTTCTATGCCGGCAGTTCAAACAAGCACATCTGGGGAAGCTCCTCAAGGCCTGGATTGCGTTATCCATTGGACAGTGAAATTTTCAAACTTGTAAAAAAAGTGCACATATTTTCGTTAGGACAAAGAAATGTAGTAATTTTACAAGCATTATTTAATTTCAGCGATTGCTCAGTTAAAATCTTATATTTTTCCCTTTTCAAGAGGTTTTTAAACGTTTAAAAAATGGCTATCCAATGGACAACGCTATCCAGTAATTTTTGTAGCCTTTCAACCAATGAAAAGTGTTGCGAATTTAAAATCCCAAATATTTTAACGATTGTTTACTTCCTATGAAGAATGTTTTTATGCAGTGCGGTGTTTGAAATTAAATGTAGATATGATCTTCGCACTTTGTTGGAAAATTTAAGCAATTGTCTCATAAAATTGTCACCTGAATTTTTCAGGTTCATGAGACAATTGCTTAAATTGTCCAGCAAAGTGCGAAGATCATATCTTCATTTAATTTCAAACACCGCACTGCACAAAAACATTCATCTTATGACATTCCTTTCACGAGAAAACATGAGCCCAACAAAATTGACCTGCTCACCACTGTGTGACATCATAGCTCAGTTGGTCAGAGCACTGCACCGGCACCGCAGAGGTCATGGATCCTGTTTACTTCCTGATAACACACTAATTGTACATTGGTTGGAAGTCAATTGGTTAATTGTGTTTGTCGTTTTGATACGACCACTGAATCATCATCTTGAATCTGAATCTGTTGTCTTCTCTTCCTTCACGAAAACAGCTGTGCTAGATTAATTGTGCCTTTACAGATAACTGCATTCGAGCTGAAAGATGTCTCTCAAAGGACAAAAAAAGACTCAGCATTGATGGAATCAACATGCTCTCCGGCTAAAAATACAGATAACTTGAAGGAAACTCTTCTATCCAAAGTTAATGATTCTACAGCTTCTATGATTAGCAAAGACAAAAACGTGTCAACAAGGTATGGAACAATTTTACCTGATTTTTTCTTGTTTGTTTAAGACGTTTTCCTTGTTTGTGTAATGCATTAGTGTTTGTTTTTGACATTAATAAGCCCTTAATAATCGAGCGCGAGGTCTTTACGGAGAAACATCGGACCGAAGTTTTTTTGTACAGATCGAGCCCGTAAGGCCAGGTTAGTAGAAAGAGACAGAGGTCCGATATTTCTCAGTAAAGACCGAGAAAGCGAGGTTATTAAAAGGTTTATTATATGGCATTATTTGATCTGAAACGAAGCTTGCTTTCTTTCTCGTCCTTGCTGTTTTTTACCGGTTGGCTTTCACTTCACTAGTTTTCGTCCATAAAAAATAAATCATTTCAAATTGTATCGTTTGGAAAGTTGAACTGTTTTCGAAGTGTGTTTCCTTCGAATCACCTTCGTAAATGTTTTTTTGTTTCGTTTATTTTGCGTTTTGCTGTTTGCTTTACGAAGTTTGTTTACATTTGACTGTAAAATTAAGCGTTTTGGATCGTGGTCGATTACGGGAAAATAATGGACCGGCAAAAATGTTTCTTGCGTGTGAAGCAAAAAGTGCAAGGGTTTTTTAAATAAAAAATTGTTATATTTTCGCCATTAAAATTTCACGCACAAACCACGCAACCTGCGAGATTTTTGTGAGACTGAAATCTCGTGCATTATTGAGTTGCACGAACAAAGTTTTTTCGAGTATTCGACCAATCAGTGCCCGTGTTTTTTTAATATTATTTTATAATATACATTGCATTTTTGAGATAGACAGCCTGTTTCAGCACAAAGTAAGATGGAAAGTAAGATGAGACCAATATTACCGAATCCGATAAGTTTGCTAAACGAAAAAGAAAAACTTCCGACTTCTACCGCTCAATCCAAGAGCAACGATAGCATTGATCCTGGGAGATGTCGGTCAAATAGCTCCACAACTGAAGCTGGTAATGTTGACACAATGCGGACATCGAATGCCAAGTCAGTGATCTTAAAAAGTTCTGAGAAAGAAAATATACAACCACAATTGGATGAAAAATCTGTTGAAAATAGCAGAGATTGTAATGTTTCCGACTCGACATCATCTGTGGTGGACGATAGCGAGGTAACTGTTTGTCTCTGTAAGTCTATTGTACTTAAATATCCTCTTGTGTTCTCTTATCGTTTGTTTCATTATTGTTCCACTCCATATTGTATCGTCTGGATAGTTTAACTGTTTTCCGAGTGTTTTTCCTTCGACTCACATTCGTACATAAATATCCTCTTGTGTTCTCTTATCGTTTGTTTCATTATTGTTCCACTCCATATTGTATCGTCTGGATAGTTTAACTGTTTTCCGAGTGTTTTTCCTTCGACTCACATTCGTACATAAATATCCTCTTGTGTTCTCTTATCGTTTGTTTCATTATTGTTCCACTCCATATTGTATCGTCTGGATAGTTTAACTGTTTTCCGAGCGCTTTTCCTTCGACTCACATTCGTACATAAATATCCTCTTGTGTTCTCTTATCGTTTGTTTCATTATTGTTCCACTCCATATTGTATCGTCTGGATAGTTTAACTGTTTTCCGAGTGTTTTTCCTTCGACTCACATTCGAAAAAGCGTCACTTCCGGCAAAAATGTTTAAGATCCAATCTAAGCGCGCCATTTTGCCGGAAGTGACGCTCGCCATGTAATAAAAGCAAACAAAATATGAAAGTTTTATTGTTTTTATGTCGATTCTTCGTCAATACATGCTATGATATCTTGACTGTTTTACACAAGTGAAGCCCAACGATAGAATCATAGTGACAATGCAATTGGGAAAGCAAATGGAAGTAAATGTTTCACATGTCCTTAATGTGTCTCAAGCCTCTTTGTAATGAAGATATTCGACTTGTATACAGCTCTTTCATACTTCATGTAATGTTAGTTTAACCGTTTACCAAGAAGACGAAACAATCTCCCGCCTGAATTGATGCACGTTTTTTATAAAATGAGGGAAGGAACTTATCTGTTTTAGCTAACCTGTATCTATCTCCTTGAAGGCATTTTCATTCACATAGAGATGTCCGTACAATGTATATTGTGAAGTGTTATTGTACAACGTATAATTCAATTTGTTTTTTAATTATTGAATCTTTAGGCTCGTGCAATCTCATTTGCTCAGACCTATTTAAATAATGTCAAGGTAGGCCCTTTTATTGGAACCGTTTCATCGCATATTGAAATGAGACAGCCTGATGCAATATGATTTTTTCAATCAGACTGATAGGCATTCGTCTAAATTTTGAATTTCGCTCTTTACTATAACATTTCTTTCATATTCTTTGAATAATATTCGACTCTTCATAGTTCATTTATAAATTTTAGAAATTTGTGAAGGAACATAGTCCATTGTATTTGGAATTTCTTAATATTCTCACTGAGTCAAAATCAAACTCGTGGAAACCAACGAGGGTAAGTACTCAACCATTAAAGTAGTTGTCATTTAGGAGGAAAACTGTTTTCATTTGTAAATTTTTTTACAGTTGTGGTGACTGGCAAAATTCACATCATTCATACATCAGATATCATGGTGTAGAGTTACTGTAGTGTATTACTCCAGTGTATTACTCCACTGTGTTACTCCAGTGTGTTACTCCAGTGTGTTACTCCAGTATGTTACTCCACTCTGTTACTCCAGTGTGTTACTCCAGTGTGTTACTCCAGTATGTTACTCCAGTGTGTTACTCCAGTGTGTTACTCCAGTGTGTTGCTCCAGTATGTTACTCCACTGTGTTACTCCACTATGTTACACCAGTGTGTTACTCCAGTATGTTACTCCAGTGTGTTACTCCAGTATGTTACTCCACTGTGTTACTCCACTGTGTTACTCCAGTGTGTTACTCCAGTGTGTTACTCCAGTGTGTTACTTCAGTGTGTTGTCCTGTGTGTTACATTAGTGTTACACCAGTGTGTTACTCCAATGTGTTATCCAGTGTGTTACTCCAATATATTATTTCAGTGTGTTACATTAGTGTGTTACTCCAGTGTGTTTCTCCATTGTGTTATCCAGTGTGTTACTCCAATATATTATTTCAGTGTGTTACATTAGTGTGTTACTCCAGTGTGTTACTCCAAAGTGTTACATTAGTGTGTTACTCCATTGTGTTATCCAGTGTGTTACTCCAATATATTATTTCAGTGTGTTACATTAGTGTGTTACTACAGTGTGTTACTTCAGTGTGTTTCTCCATTGTGTTATCCAGTGTGTTACTCCAATATATTATTTCAGTGTGTTACATTAGTGTGTTACTCCAGTGTGTTACTCCAATGTGTTACATTAGTGTGTTACTCCATTGTGTTATCCAGTGTGCTACTCCAATATATTATTTCAGTGTGTTACATTAGTGTTTTACTCCAGTGTGTTACTCCAATGTGTTACATTAGTGTGTTACTCCAATGTGTTACATGAGTGTGTTACTCCAGTGTGTTACTCCAATGTGTTACATTAGTGTTTTACTCTAGTGTGTTACTCCAACGTGTTACTGCAGTTATTCTAGATGATCCTTCTTGTTGTTGTTTGACGATAATTTTGTTTATATCGCTTCTTCAAAAAGTGATGAAGCTATGTTTACATTATAGTTCCTTACATCAATACTTGCAGGTTTCATTTTAGCATTAGCCAATGCATTTAACACAATGTTTTTAAGCTAATACATTGAATTCAATGTTATTTAAATGAATAAGCAGTTTTAAACTTATGGTTTACCGTAATGCACCACCAGAATGCAATTATCCTAACTCATAAAGCGCTGTTGTGTTTTTGAATTTAGTTGTACAAAAAAATAGCTGATATTTTCAGTGAATTTCCTGAATTGGTTCGCGACTTTGTTGGATTTCTTGAACCACATGAAGCTTTAGAGGCCAATGTTGTAAGAAATATTATTGTTGAAAGTGATTCTAAGTAATGAAGTATTTTCTTGCAATTTTCTTTATTCAATACAACGCAGTGATAACTTGGTTTCATTTCCCTGCTGACCTCTCACATCTTGTCATCTTACTTTACCCACAGTATGGTGAACATACAGTAGATCCACTTCCTGCGCAACCGGCTGCTGTTCATTTAATTAGATTGCTGGCTGCCGTAAGCCATTTCATCATTCCTATTGTTCAAAAAAGGCAATTGCTGCCACTATGATAATCACATGCGTAATAAGATATGCGTGGCATGTTTGTAAATGTAGATCGTCCAGGTTGGTATAGTCCTGAGAAGGACTGTTTTTGTTGTTGTTGACTGACGTTTCGACAACCTTAGCGGTAGTCATCTTCAGAGTCAAACGACTTATTCACAGTACAAACGATCAACTAAAAACATTGCACTTCACACTAATTCACAATGACAATACACAATTGACACCCACACATTACAACTAAAAACATCACACCTAAATCACACATCACAACTAAAAATAAAAATATTTCACTTCACACTAATTCAAAATGACAATACACATTTCCTAAACACACAATACAATGACGTAAGAACCAGATAACAAATACGGCTAACCTGACGTTTACTCCTCATTTGACTCTGAAGATGACTACCGCTAAGGTTGTCGAAACGTCAGTCAACAACAACAAAAACAGTCCTTCTCAGGTCTATACCAACCTGGACGATCTACATTTACAAACATGTAACGATACTCCCGGGTTCAAACCATTTACTTTAAGATATGCGTGGCACAAAAACATCCAATAAAGTTGCTCTGCTGTATATTCACTATACTGTGCTTTAACACTACATTCTAAGTTGCAAGAAATTATTTCATGGTGTTATGTTATGGCTGTTTATTCATGTCCTTCATCGTCGCCCAACTTTTTTTTGTATTTTTGCAGTTCATGCAACACAAAGATATCGTAAAAGCGAGAAACTTTTTTGAATGCTTGCAGGTGTGTGAACGCTAATTCTATAAAATGTCAAAATGGCAAATACAATTTTTTGTTGAGCCTAAAATAATTTTGCACCAAAATTTTTAACACTTAACTTGTGTTTAGAGAGCTAGTTGATGTATATGAATGAAACCTTTGTTACTTTTAGAACCATTTTGCCAAAAGCCCATCTCATTTGCAAAAAATACTAAAATGTTTGGCTTCGTTTGATTTCAACAGGTCAAGCGTTAATCAAGTAAGTTATTCTTTCTAACCACATTAGTATTTTCATTAGATCATGGAAATATATATATATGTTATTTACCGACTGTGAGGCCTGGATAGAAAAATATTTTTCTATAAAAGCAAATAGCCAACAGCGATATAATATTGCGCAGTTAGATTCAATTATGGCGGTAAACTAAACAGTGAAAACTTCAGCTACTATACATTTTACCTTAGAAAACTCAAAATTCACATAAATTACATTATTACAATCAAGAATTGACTGATAATTTCCTTTTCAAAACGAAAAAAAAACAAAACAAACTAAAAAAGAACAAGTCTTTGCTCAAGGAGCTATTTGGCTGTGGGATTCTGGACCCCGGTCAGTCATCGTTAAATTCCACCCGCTGCTGCAGCCAATGAGATTGCACGAAAGGCTTGGACTCCACCCGCTGCTACAGCCAATGAGATTGCACGAAAGGCTTGGATTCCACCCGCTGCTAAATTTTTAAAAAACAAAAGGACGTTGTGTTTTTTAAGCAGTTTTCTTTTTTTGTGCTAGTTTCAAATAATAAACCAGGTCCCAGCTTTTGTGTGAAAGTTTCACCCGAAGAAGGTTAATCAGTTTGGGAATTATTATTGCAGCTATTTTCATCACAAATGACATGAAAAACGGAAAACTTATTTGAACATCTTGATTTCTACATCACTTTTGCAATTCTTATAATAATCTTAATTGTTTATGTATGTTTATAAAATGAAAGCAATAAAACGCGTGCGGTGTTTGGTCTATAGCTGTGTTTGCATTAGCCTGTCATATGTTATATATTATTTCCTGATGTCACGACTGCCTTGTAATGGCCGATGTCACGACTGCCTTGTAATGGCCGATGTCACGATTGCCTTGTAATGGCCGATGTCACGATTGCCTTGTAATGGCCGATGTCACGATTGCCTTGTAATGGCAGATGTCACGACTGCCTTGTAATGGCCGATGTCACGACTGCCTTGTAATGGCCAATGTCACGATTGCCTTGTAATGGCCGATGTCACACGATTGCCTTGTAATGGCCGATGTCACGATTGCCTTGTAATGGCCGATGTCACACGATTGCCTTGTAATGGCCGATGTCACGATTGCCTTGTAATGGCCGATGTCACACGATTGCCTTGTAATGGCCGATGTCACGATTGCCTTGTAATGGCCGATGTTACACGATTGCCTTGTAATGGCCGATGTCACGATTGCCTTGTAATGGCCGATGTCACGATTGCCTTGTAATGGCCGATGTCACGACTACCTTCCATAGTTAACAAGAGAATTAAAAGATTTTAACAACACATAAGATTGCAATCTGCAATTATAATCTACAATCAATAAATATAATCCCACCGGTTTTTTATTTGCACTATACAATGCAATGTGCAAATCGGGGTTTTCGCATTAAGCAGCCAAAAAATGTTTTGCTTTTTATTTTAGTTTTACGACGCAATCCTACCACTGTTGAAAGGTCAACACTTCCTAATCGAACAATTCAACTCCCTTTTTGACCATTTAAAGCCGAAACAAAGGTGTGACGTTTGTTTTAATTAAGATTTAACAAAAATAAACTCTCTGTAATCTTTTTTTATTGGTGGGTTGCAACCATCCCCCCGGGAGTAAGAGAACAATGGAATGCTCGCCATGTTAGATGAAATTTGCATTGTAAGGGAAATCCTTTGTTAAAATAATCCAACATGGCGACTATGACGTAACTTGCAACCCAAGAATTGACTAAGGAGCTGTTCACATGAGCCCAGCTAAGCGGGATTCAGCGAGGCGTGAAGTGATTTTGAGATATTGAAAGGAGTAAAAACTTTAAACGCAAATTTTACAATCTTTCTCAGAAGTCATGAGTCATTTTAGTTGTAATTTTCAAATCTGGCCTAATTATTTGCTTTCATTTTAAAGGTTTTGTGAATTTGCAAGCTCAGAACATAGGGAAATTGCTTAAATAACTTTTTTGTTGTGAAGGAATTAATCTTTTCCATTTGCTAAAATGATTAAACGCTTCGCTGAATCCAGGCTACCCGGGTTCATATGAACAGGCCCTAAGTCCTTCGTTGATGTTTGAACTGTTTTATTTCTAATTATGATCGTATCAACGTATCTCATGCGATCTAACTTTTGTCTTTAGTAACGTTGACGACTTCGAAGAAGTTGAATTAGGTAGTGGAAGTGAGATTGAGGTATTTCTTTATAAACAGCCATGCGGCTGCATTGTGTTTGAAATTGTATATGTAATGTATAGCGTTAACAAGCAATCTCATAAAATAAATACAATAAAATATGAGCGCTGATTGGTCTATTGCTGCGTTTACATTAGCTTGTGCAAACTGATCTGAGCTTAACCAAACAAATCAACCACTCAATCAATGAGAATTTGCAAATCAATCATGAATACAATTTAAAAGAAAAATTAAAACGTTTGTTTTAAATTTGTCCGTTTTGCGTTGATTTTTTTTAAAAGAAGTGAAAGATGTTTTTCGTGTTTGCACTAGCTTGTGCAAACCACGAGATGACGTTCATGAGAACTCTCGAGCATGCGCAACTGCTGCAACCCTCGACCTTCAAACCACGATGACGTTCGTGAGAACTGTCGAGCATGCGCAACTGCTGCAACCCTCGACCTTCTGTCTCGGGCTTGCAGCTCACGAGTTCTTCCAAAGGTATCCTTGTTTTTTATAACCTTGAGAAAACGTATGCAGTAAGCATCTTTTATTTCTTAAATAATTATGAAAATAATTATGGTTCAGATTTTCACGTTTTTGATAGATATATTTGTTTAGCTTGATTGAAAAACGGCTTATATTAATTTCTTTGTGTATTGCATGCATATGCTATTTTCAGCCCGATAAATTCCTCATTTGAAATAATAGACCATTTTTAGGGTAAAATGAAACAATTTTAACACACCAGAGACACGTGCACGCCTCTCAGCAACTTCAACTTATTCCACAGAGTCGTAATGTATGGTGTGTTTATGATGTAAAACTTTATTCCAATATATATCTGTTCGATCCTTTAGGCAGATGACTTTGAAGACGTTATCATTCCTGATATAAAGAGAAGCTTGGCTAAGGTTTCTCAGGCTTGCAAACCAGTAGCCAAAGGGACAGGTGGACCGTTGTCAAGGCGATTCTCTAAACCCAGAAAAGATGAAACCGGCGAGAGAAAGGATGGGAACCGTGAGAGAAAAGAAGGGGATGATGAGAGAATTGATGGGTATGATGAGAGAAATGATGGATACGATGAGAGAAATGATGGGTACAATGAGAGGAATGATGGATACGATGAGAGAAATGATGGGTACGATGAGAGAAATGATGGGTACGATGAGAGGAATGATGGGTACGATGAGAGGAATGATGGATACGATGAGAGAAATGATGGATACGATGAGAGGAATGATGGGTACAATGAGAGGAATGATGGAGAAGATGAGACAAAAGATGGCGACGTTGAGAGAAGCGATGGATACGATGAGAGAAATGATGAAAATGTCGATGTTTCAGAGAAGTACGTTGATGTCACGGAAGAATCGATTGAACTTTCTGTGAATAACAATGATGAAATTCCCCCGATGATCTGATGATGACGTAGAACTTGATGACGACATGCTAGACCAGGAAAACAACGAGAACGAAGGCGTTTATAATCAAAGTAATCATAGCAGTCCAAGTAGTGAATGCCGGTCAGTGTACGAAGCTTTTGAGGATTACATGCAGTCACATGAAACCATTCACAAAAATCCGTTGACTTCAAAGTCAGAAGTCGTCAATGTCAGTGAGTCATTGGACATAAAAAATGATGCTGTTGAAACGCCGTCCCTGATTGGTGGTTCACGTGCTGATATTGATCATTGTGAGAACGGTGTTTTTTCGAGTTTTGAAAATTGGAATGTTCGTAAAGATGAGCGTTCTTGCTCGAATCAAGTTGACGACGAAATGTCGAATTCGTATGAAAAGAAAACTCGAGATATTTTAGATGTTGCCGAAAATAGTCACACGAAAGTAGAAAAAGTAGCAAACAAAGTGCAAATCGACACTAACGCATCGACAAATATCCAGAGAAAAATATCTGCGCAAAATCTTCAAGTTGATGAAGATGGAAAGTCGATCATTTGGACGAGGTAGAAAAATTGCTGCATGAAAGTACTGGAAGTAACAATAATTTAAAACACCGAACAGTAGACTCTCGCCTTCTTGATAATTCATATTTTTTGTTTTTCCAAATAGAGAGGAGGACAAAATAATATTACAGTTTTGTCAGATGCGTGGCGTGCATGAAAATACATTCGAAGATATCGCGAGAGAACTCGGCGAAAAGACTGCTAAGCAGGTTATCATTTTTGCTAGTTTATCGTGTTTGATTAAGGCCACAACGCACACGTCGAAAATACACAATATTTGATTGGTCTATTTTGTTTATGTGTCTTTCCCCACCCCTTATTTCTTGACTTCTCTCCGTACTTTCCGTTTCACGTTAAGGGTATAGTCTATTTTGTTTATGTGTCTTTCCCCACCCCCTTATTTCTTGACTTCTCTCCGTATTTTCCGTTTCACGTTAAAGGGTATAGTCTATTTTGTTTATGTGTCTTTCCCCACCCCCTTATTTCTTGACTTCTCTCCGTATTTTCCGTTTCACGTTGAGAGGTATGGTCTATTTTGTTTATGTCTTTCCCCATTATTTCTTGACTTCTCCGTACTTTCCGTTTCACGTTGATGGTCTATTTTGTTTATGTCTTTCCCCACCCCTTATTTCTTGACTTCTCTCCGTATTTTCCGTTTCACGTTGAGAGGTATGGTCTATTTTGTTTATGTGTCTTTCCCCACCCCTTATTTCTTGACTTCTCTCCGTATTTTCCGTTTCACGTTGAGGTATGGTCTATTTTGTTTATGTGTCTTTCCCCACCCCTTATTTCTTGACTTCTCTCCGTATTTTCCGTTTCACGTTGAGGGATATGGTCTATTTTGTTTATGTGTCTTTCTCCACCCCTCTATTTCTTGACTTCTCTCCGTATTTCCGTTTCACGTTAAGGGATATGGTCTATTTTGTTTATGTGTCTTTCTCCACCCCCCTCTATTTCTCGACTTCTCTCCGTATTTTCTGTTTCACGTTGAGAGGTTTAGTGCTGTATGGATTGTAGCCCTAGGATGTACTGTATACGCTTTAGTTTGCTATTTCAAACCGAATCACGATGTAGTCGCGTTTTTCAAAACGAACAAAGTTATTCCTGACATAATGAACTCTCAGTTTTACTTTAAAGCAGTGATGTAGCCATCCTTTTTTTGGCACATGTACTCTGTTCTCTCACTCCGAAATCTATAAATTATGGTAATGTTCTGAAAGTTAAATTGCTCTATTAAAACTTGTAGATTAGCAAAACCACTGCTTTAGAGTAAACCTTTTGGAAGTCAGGTTTCGATTTCTGTTGTTCGGGCAATTTTGCGCAAGTACACCTTTCATTTAATGAAAACTTTTATCTCCAATGTTTGTTTACCTTGTTTTTTTGTATCGTTTCTTTCTTGTTGTTGCCCATAACAGAATCAGTTTGTAGGAAGGAATTTTTTAAAAAGTTTGTTTCGTTTATGATAGGTCAAAAGCCGATTTCGTATTTTGATGAGCTTATTATCACGTGATGAAAACGATAGCCAATCGGAGAGTGAAGATGACAGTTGTCATGACGACGAATAAATGTAAATTTAAAGCAAGATATTTGACCAATAAGGTGAACAATGACTGAATTATTCAATTATTTATACAGATATAATCTTCGATGATTTACTTTCCTGTGTAATTTTATATAGTCCGACATTCTTTTGTGATCTTATATCAACTCTGATCTCCTGGATGTTTAACATAACTTACGTATCGTGATGATTTTAATGAAGAAAATGGGTGCATCAACTCTTATCTCCTGGATGTTTAACATAACTTACGTATCGTGATGATTTCAATGAAGAAAACGGGTGCATCAACTCTGATTTCCTGGATGTTTAACATAACTTACGTATCGTGATGATTTCAATGAAGAAAACGGGTGCATCAACTCTGATTTCCTGGATGTTTAACATAACTTACGTATCGTGATGATTTCAATGAAGAAAACGGGTGCATCAACTCTGATTTCCTGGATGTTTAACATAACTTACGTATCGTGATGATTTCAATAAAGAAAACGGGTGCATCAACTCTGATCTCCTGTATGTTTAACATAACTTACGTATCGTGATGATTTCAATGAAGAAAACGGGTGTTTCAAACCTCAAAAATAGTTCAAAATGCTTTACTTTTTGTGGGTCGCCACGCGCGCATGCGTGGCTAACCACTATTGTAAGCTTATTTCCATTCAGTACAAATTGTCGTGCGATCGACTTTTTGCGATGACTTTCTTTTGAATTGTATGCAGCCGTGTGAAACTGCTCCGGTCGAGAGCTTACAATTGAAAAGAAAGTGATCTCAAAAAGTCGCTCGCGCGACAATTTGCACTGAATGGAAATCAGCCTTTATTCTGCAAAAAGTAGAACGGCCGACCGATTTCCAAATCATTGACCTCTATGACTGAACTGGATGTAGCATAAACAATATAATTTTATGAATTCGTTTCGTTTGCGCTATAATGGTGTAGTCCTGGCCCTTGTTCTCACTTGTGATTATGTCGCTAGTGAAAACTATTCTTAATGGGCTGGCATAGTGTCTTGCATTGAAATTTCACAATAGGTTAATGATTTGGTATCTCCAGGACTCTTTGAATACACCCTGCACATATTTTGCTACGCGTTATTCAGCTAGTCTGAATTTCACTCATTTATGTACATACTGTAGTTAAAAAATGCTCATCTTTGAAATTCACCGACTTGTAGAATTTGAATGATTCGGGATAAATTAATCCCCAAGGAGCCGCAAACGCGACTGAAATGAATTTCGTGCTCGAAATTTGCAATGTACAATAGCTGCAATACGTAAGTATTGTGGTTTTTAGTTGTGTCTGTACAGGTCTTCGATTACAACTGAGTTACTGCATTCGGAATTCATAAAAAGGAAACCTCTTACAACAAGACAAATTACGTCAAGTTACAGGTTGATGTTTTTACCAGGGTGAATGAGTTTGTTGTGGAAAGTAGACACAGAATAAGAATTCTTGACTTGCAACGATTCTCTTGAGATTTACCAAACAATGTTGTTCGCCCACGTCGGCTTGTGCCAGCAATAACACTGATAAAATATCACCAATATGGCTGAATTGCAAGTCAAGAATATACAAAAGAGCCACTCGTGCCGGAACCTTTGATGTTTTTGTCCTCGCGCATGTCGTGCCGCGCATGGTGGCCGCCATTATTCCAGCCAGATGATTAAGGTTTTTGACTTTTTCCAAACCTTTAAATTGATCCGAAGTCATCTCTTGTGTCAAAATATACTTGAATTCATTATTAATTATTGACTTCATGTATTTTTAATGGTTGGAAACAAGTGAGAAATCGTAATCATCTGGCTGGAATAATGGCCGCCATGAGGACGCGTTGTACACCTGAGTGACTCTTCTGTATAATCATTATTCTATGGTGCAAAGTAAATATAAAAATTATTACGATTTAATTATATACGTCCATACGTCACATGTATGTTGTGAGATTTTATTTGCACAATAATTCTTAGCCAGTAGGAGCACAGAAACATAATTTCATTTTTTATGTTACAAAATTTGCTTTCTATGACCACCAAAAATATATTCACCATAAAGTTTGAAAAACTACTTATTTAAATTATAGAATAATGTTCTAAACGAAGTTGGAATTTGTAAACTTATGTATCTTGCGAACTATCCGTCAATGATTTTCAATGAGCAGCATTTTCTAGCCTAATGAATCCCAAAAATTTCACTTGAAGAGCATTGAACAATATAAGGAAGTTTTTACTGCAATAACAGTCCTTTAGGTAGCTACAATTTGCGAGCAAATGACGGAAATCAAGGTGAAGAATCCTCGTGGATCAGAGCAAATTTCTTATAAATTCCGTCGGCAAAATGTTGGCAATTGTAAGTACGCCACGTGTAAGGTTTAAGTAACTCCGTATCATTACATAGATAGCTAACTAACTCGAACATAGTCCCTCGACCATTAGCAGAGCGCAATTCTGTAATATCACCTGGACGTTTATTTTTCTTAAAGCTATCTTTCACAAATTCGCGATTGCTGCTGTTTTGAATTGTTATTCCCTCGTTATTCTTTTCGATCGACCACCAACGCTGGGATGTTTTGATTACGACGAATTGATGATTGATTATGGATTCGGTCAGCTGTGGCTGCCAGTACTTTAGCGGATGCTTATAGATGACGATGTTTTCAATCGTTTCCTTCTCATCGATGATACTTTTCATGTCATAACATACACCTTTATGATCAATAACCATCACTCCTACAGATGAATCAGGTTTGAGATAAAAGCATACCCGTCCTGACCAGTCTGGTGCTCCAGCGGAACTGCTAGCGCTGCTGCCCATTACTGCACTTTTTTCCTTTGATAAAAGCAAGATTTTACATTGTTAGGAAGAGTTAGGAAGAAACACGTATCTAAGGCTGTAGAGTCGAACGAATTCGACACACGAGACGGGAGATTCAACAAATATGGCGGCTAAGTTTTTCATGTGGTCACAAGGCGTGTTTACAGTGGCGTCCCCAGGGAGGGAACTGAGGGGGATTTGTCTCTCCCCCCATCCAGTTATTTCAATGATCAATTTTGAGATTAAAGAAGGAAATGAAATAGCGTTTTAGAGAACATGAAGTCAAACATATCTCTATGGAAGCATGCCTCTGAATCGCCATTGAAGTCACACACATTTGACGGTTAGATTGTCCTCCCTTGTCTGAACAACCTGGCGACGCCACTGCGTGTTTCCATCGTCGTTGTCACAATCGTGTGTTCTATTATTATTAAAAGTCATTTATATCGGGTCATATTATCAATCATTATTATAGTTTTATTATTGTTTTGTTATTGTTTTATTGTTATTGTTTTATTATTATTGTTTTATTGTTTTATTCTTGTTGTTTCATTATTGTTTTATTATTGTTTTATTGTTATTCTTTTATTATTATTGTTTTATTATTGTTTTATTTTTATTATTCTTTCATTTATTCATTATTCATTTATTTATTTATTTATTTGTTTCATTTATTGTTTTTTTTATTTTGTTTTATATCGGGTCATATTATCAATCATTGCTGCTCGATGTGTTACAAGTCTACGATTATGGGGCCTCACCTAACTCATTCTGCTCAAATAAGCGAATAACTAAGATGTTAGTTGATGAAACAGGGATTTCTAGTTAAAATAACCAATACATTGAGTCCGTCCCGTAAGGAATATTATTTTGTTATAGTTCATTCCAAAGTTCAACGGAATTTTGCAATTTGATCTCTCATTCCTTTATGCGGCTGCCGCTGTCATAAATCAAGGATAAATTTATCGATAAAGTAGTAAGATGATTTGATTTCAATTTTAATTTGCGAACCGAACTTATTGTGCATTAATTTTATAATAAACATTTTGCAAGGAATAAGCCTTCGTGACTGTACAAAAATACAATTTGTAGTTGTTGAGTTTATAGGCTATATGTACTTACGTCTTGAGCGTTCAAAGTTCACCGCAACAGCTCGAAGGAAGTGAATAAATACATCAAAATTATTTCCTATAAACGCAGTGACTAGCCTGTAAATTGCTCAAATTTACCGGGAACTGCTCTGGACCTAATCATCTAGCGATAAATATTTTCTCTGTGAATACATGAAAATGAAAATTTCACTGGGTTTTGTGCTTAATTTCTTTGAAATTGTCGTGATCTGGGCGTTCATTTCTTATGCATACATGAATGTTTAGATTATATGCAAGCGCTTGTAATGTATAAATACAGTAATAAAACGGCAGCATACTTGCGTGTTGAACTCCCTCAGGATTAACGACGGGAATGAGACAATAAATGTAAATTAATTTTACTCAAGAAATACATATATCTATCAAACTGCGCGTGCAGAGTTCATACAGATATACAAAAATCACTTACTCGCGACAAGCAATGGCTCAATAATCAATGTCCACTGGCTATAAAATTTCATCAATCAAACAGCGTCGAAGGTATTTTAGAAGTAAAAGTAAGCTGTTAGAACTTTATTTGACATTTAGAGATCTGCAACTGGCTTTGAGCAGGCATTACGAATCCGTTTTATTTGCTCCATTGTTGAATATTGACAGTCAATATTTTACATCCTTACCTGCCTGTAACTTTAAGAACTGAAATTTAAAAACAATTCCAAATGAAAGTTTGGTCTGCACTGTTTGCTGCTTGACAGGGCGCAAATGTCAGGTGAACAAAATCGTCTTGCATTAAAATTCCTTTTCTATAGGAATAATTAAAAATTCCTTAATATTTTAACAACTCATTTGTTTTATAATTCTAGTATCTTAAATAAACGAAGGAAAATTTTACAAGATGTAGTCACGAAGTAGCAAGAGCATTTTAAGGTTCAATCAACCAATTGTTAAAGTAACAGAAGTATGGATAGAAGGACCGAGATATCACTAATTTAGTAGCAAGAGCGTTTTAAGGTTCAATTAACCAATTGTTAAAGTAACAGAAGTATGGATAGAAGGACTGAGATATCACTAATTTAGTAGCAAGAGCATTTTAAGGTTCAATTAACCAATTGATAAAGTAACAGAAGTATGGATAGAAGGACTGAGATATCACTAATTTAGTAGCAAGAGCATTTTAAGGTTCAATTAACCATTTGATAAAGTAACAGAAGCATGGATAGAAGGACTGAGATATCACTAATTTAGTAGCAAGAGCATTGGAAGACTTGAGCATTTGCACTGCCTGTATTTACACAAAAAGATCTGATGAAGTAAAGAAATTTGGTTTGAGGAACTGAGATTTAACAAAACTAAATATGCATGTTAATTTTGACTTTAAATACTGACCAATGTAGCCATACATTACGGACAAACTAAAAAACAGCACGATACTCATACTTACCAGTGTAGCCATACATAACGGACAAAGTAAAAGACAGCACGATACTCATACTTACCAGTGTAGCCATACATAACGGACAAAGTAAAAGACAGCACGATACTCATACTTACCAGTGTAGCCATACATTACGGACAAAGTAAAAGACAGCACGATACTCATACTTACCAGTGTAGCCATACATTATGGACAAATTAAAAGGCAGCAAGAGACTCATACTTACCAGTGTAGCCATACATTACGGACAAATTAAAAGACAGCAAGAGACACATCATACTTACCAGTGTAGCCATATATTACGGACAAATTATGAGACAGCACGATACTCAACTTGTTATTCATATACAGTTTTGGCAAGAACATGAGATTATTACAATGATACAATCACTGTAAAATATATGAATAGCGTAGCGCTAGAGATGAAAATCCAATCAATTAATTTATAAACATTCATGACACAAGAATGAGGAGCTGTTTGACTTCCTATATCACCCTCAAGAAAATAATCTATTCAGATAGAGTTGACCATTTTAAGAACATTTGAAATATATTTTTTAAGACAAAAATTTGATCTTCCTTGACTTTTTGCCCCTCAAAGTTGGATTTTTTCGTGTTTGAACGTGAGGTGCTGTGACTGGGTCTAGTTCACCGACCTCTGACGTACATTGGAGAACATGCTGCTTTTTAACATTTACAAAACGGGAAAATGGTCGTCACAGTATGCGTTGACAGACTAAAAAAATTCAGTGAAAAAGTTTGTAGTTGAATAAATTAAACAGTTATACGCAAATGGCTCGTAAAGGATTGATCGCTTCATGTATGACTGAAAGATCACAATAAAAAGTCAAAGATATTGTGTAAAGTTTTAGTACATAAACATTATCTTATCAAAGATTGTTCACATAAACACGCTTATTATATGCGTTTGCCCAATTTTGTACAAACCGGAGCAACCTTTGATTAGATTAGTGCAAGATCAGTACAAGCTTAAGACCGAAGGTCGTGCAAGGGTTTGCACCTGTGTGAGAGTTCTCAAATTCGACTACAAGGCTTGCATTACAAAGTGCAAACACAAAAAACATCTTTTGATTCCTTTTTAAAACAACAATAGTGTAAGTCAGATATAAATATAAAACAAATCTTTTAATTTTCCTTCCAACATTTATGAATTATGATTAATTCGCAAATTCTCTTTGATCGAGTTGAATTGTTTGAGCTTAGATCGGTTTGCACAGATTAATGCAAACTCAGCTATAGACCAGTCAGCGCATGCGTTTTATTGTTTTGCAAGTAATGTGGACCCTTCACGTTTACATAGAAAACTCAGAAAATTATATGTTTTCTGCTGTTAAACAAAAAACTTCCATTTCAAAGCACGTCAAGTACGAGTAGTTACTATAGCTGTTAATAAGCTCTGATCAACGCTTGTGAACAGTCGCGGGCGGATGACGCATATTAATAATGAACTAAAGCTAGCGACGTTTTTGTCAACATGAGCGTCATGAGTCACGTTGGGGAACTGGATCCAAGACGGCGGCTTTGATGTAAAGATATTCATTAAGCTGACTAAAAATATAAGGCTTTCTTTTGCCTTTAATTAAACGAGGCAATTTTATTTTAATAATATGTGAACAAAACACATTTTAGGGGGAAAAATAAAAAAAATACGTTTACCTGTCACGTTTCTGTTAAAAAACAAGAACGCCAAAACAAAATTATGTCATCAAAATCGTTGGTAAATTTTACTTCCGCTTGACGTTACAGATTTCAAAACATCGCTAGTTTAAGCTCTCTAATTTACAGAACACATGTGATGCAAAATGTTGCCTCTGTGGGAGAGTACAACTTTGAATCATAATGTGACAATCTGATAGATTTGCAATAATTTTATAATACGCGGAAATGAAGCTTCTCGCGAGTAACAACTAATTATCTCACATTATTTATAGAGAAGTATTTTATATTTAGTAATAATTACATTCAATTTTAGATTCGATAAACCGTCATGTATATTGTGAGAGTTGACATGATTCAATTGCGTTTTAAAATATCAAGTATTGCGCATAATATCCGCAAAAAGATTTTAATATGTATTGCGAACATTTTCAAAGCAAATAGTAGCTAATAGTTATAAGCCAAAAAATATTGTGAAGAGGTCTTCGAGTTCTCTCAATTTCGCTCACAATCGCTTATTCGTGTCTTTGTTTTGTGCAATTGTATATTTTGTAAAATACGCAGGGGTTCAAAGTTTGTCTATTTTCCTAGAATTGATGTTCCTGGCTTGTTAATCTGTAGTTTGAAAATTTTTTTCTGCTATTCTAGTTTTTTGCTAATCTGTTTGTCGATGAAGAAATGCTTCTACTCTATCAATGTTGACGGTCCCAGAGATAGGAAACAGTACAAGCTGTTGAAACCATTGTTGAAACTAGAAAATACGCTCTATGTTTTGATAAATATAGATGACCATCAGGGCATGGACATAGTAAACTGACGAAAGTCTTAAATATTAGGAATAGTTACTGATGCGCAGTATGAATGACAGCTTATTTAGCCGGCAATGCGTACATACTACATGGAGAGCGAGTTTCACGAGTTAGAGGATATAAGTCTGGCTGAAGTGCCTTGAGAGTCCTTCTAGGTGTTACATTAGTTCTGTGCAATTATATAACTGGCTCAATACTTTGTAATTGATTTCTATGAGATTTCTATGACGGGTATATTTGATGAGGGAGAAGCCCGTAAGAAAGAGTTGTTGTAGTTTTCTTTAATTTCTTGCATTTCTGTGTGAATTTTTATTTTACCTGTGAATATGTGCTTAGTGACAACTTAAGTCTTCTCTGGAATTGTTTTATGAAGTAAACAAGCAAGTTTATCGTCAGAAACATGATTAAAACGTAAAACAACGGCAAGGTAGGCAGCCATGTTTTTTTCGCTTCTTGCTATCTATTAAATAATGATGGGCGATTACCGATTACTTGGTATCGATACCGCCCGATACCGAGCCTAATCCGGAAGTAGTCGATACTGCGTTGTATCGAAAAAGGACTTCGATTACTTTTAAAATTTCACTATTATGTAAGTTTGTCTTCCTTTTCATTATTGGTTTTGACAAACATGTTGGGGTTTTTTTCTGTTTTATTATTTTAATATTTTATTCACTTTTACTAATCAATACACTTCGAGATCTCGCCTTCAGAATAATATGCAACCAATTTTTTCAATTCGCATTTATACAGCTTCTGAAAATTTATCGTTACTCCTAATAATGTAACGATAAAAATGACAGTGTAATTTAAGACAAGAAAAATAAAAATTTCGTCGTATTTTTGAAGTATATAAGGCCACACTTTAGCAATTCCATTATCAGATCTTTCTCAAGTGACTCAGACGTTTATTTTCGAAATTGGAGAAAGTAATCGCTTTAGTAATCGATACCTCGATACTTTTAAGAAAAAGTAAGCGGTATCGTATCAAATCGATACAAGCGGTATCGCCCATCACTCCTATTGAAAAACAGATAGCTAGTAGAGTAGCCAATCAATATAAAGTATTTGCAATGGAATGCTAGTATCATTCTTCCAAATTCAGATCGAACTACAGAGCATAATTTGTTAAGAATGACATTTTGTGTTTGATTTGCGCGAGGAAAGACGATGTTATAAGGAAAATTCCAAATGAGATCGAAAAGAACAAAATGAGAATTAAGGCTGTTCTTGTCGAAAGTGCGAAATCACCATCCCTAACAAAATCTAAATTACGTTAATTTTTGGCTACAAAAATTTTTATTATGCTTTCATCGCACCCTTTTTGAACAAAGTTGTGAACTCCGTTCGTTCATTGACAGATCTAGTTTGGCATACTCTCTGATATTTATCTGGTAAGGCTGTAAACTTGGGCACTTTTTCTTTCCAAGATACTTTTGTGTTGCACTTTCTTATAATGCTTGAATTTTCTTTGGGAAGATTTGTAAACTCATTCGCAAGAGTCTGAGAGGACAAAATTGCAGATACAGTGTCCTTGCTCGTAAACCACGCTCGTATGTTGGAAGTTGAGATTGGTCGACGTTTGGCTGTTGAAGCTCGTCTTTGATACGTTTTACTCTCTAAAATCATAACAAATTGTTTGATTTTCGTTTTATGTTGCTAAATTTTGAATTTCTGCTCTTGTTTAACGGTGTATTTAAATGTTTTAGAAATCAATATTGTACAGAGTCATGTCATATATTGTTCATCAATCACCCTTTCAATCACCTTGTTTTAGCTCCTTTTCATATGTTCTTCGCGACAAGATGAGCAAGTTTCTGTTCTTTTATTGGAGTTTAGCCATAGTGATTCACTTTTTGAAGACTGAAAAATCAAATTTTTATCAAGTACAATGTTTTGGGGCTGTTTACTTGTGGGGCTGGAATTGGCATTTGAAATAGTGGTAAAATGGCCTCTTAGTGTGATCAGAATGTAATAAATAAACAATAGTCCCAATACGCCTGTTCAACTTGTTGCTGATCAGCGTTCCAATTGGTCAGAAAATACAATTGTCTGGCCACCATTGTGCTACTCATGTGTTTAGTATGAATTTTGGTGCAATACTGCTCTCCTCCATCGTAATGACGTCACGTGAAAAGTTTTCTAAGAAATGCGAATGTCTCTATTCTTTCCACAAAAACAGCATCTCATTTTTTGTGCAACATTTCCGGAAGAAAGCAAGAACAAATTTAAAAAACTACGTCGATAAAAATGTACCTTAAAAAATATTTAGCAAATAACGTTTCCCGAACTTTGTCAAATAATCGTTACATTCAGTTTTCTGTTTTACGAAACTACTTTTGCTTTAAGTATAGCTATATTGCAATTTTCAATTTTGTGGAATCTGGCATGTAGCTATTTTTCAGAATTTACATCACCACGTAAAATTGAATCAGCAACTTGCGATTCTTTCAAGGCAGGTCAAGGTTAAAATTATATAATTACGTAGATTAACAGTTGGAAAAAAGATACACGAAAAAAATGTCTTGAACAATTTCAAAAAACGAACTATTAGCACCAGCCGATGCAAATGTTTCAGTATTGTGATGTGAAGTCAAAAGTATTTACGAAATAAACCGGCTGCCTACGACACTAACGACTTCAGTTATTTATTCACATTATATTGCAATTGCGTCCTCTTTTATACTTTATAGAAATTTCCCAAGATAGTCCTCATACTGCACGCGTAATCAAACTATAGCGTTAACATGACTTACAGTTTCATTCTGCGACAAGCTCTTACTTCTTTTCAAGATATCCTTGCAAAAATCCTCAATTTTACAAGATTTCTCGACAAGATCTGTTTGTTTATCAAGCTTTGCTTGCGTAAAGATATTGCTGACTTCACTCAAAACAAAGGATATTGGGATTTCAAACGTTTGACCATTGAGATGTTCAATTCTGGTATCGCCTTTTCTAGAATTCAAATTTTTGTTTTTTGATGATGATGCCCTTGAACGAACGGCATTTTTTGCATGACTAGCATACTTTGGAACACTCATTTTATGCTGTTTCTGTCACATTTTAAATCTACAACTTCATTACCGTATTTAAGCTCGCGCATTTCAGTTCACGATGTCATAAAATTTGAGCATGCGCATTACAATTAAAAAACTTGAAAAAACTTGATTATGATGATGATGATTCCATTTTGCTACGTTTTATCAAAAATTTTGTTTCAAGAGTTGTTTTAAAAAACTTAATGGGGTCAATCAAGCTGGAAAAATAACGATGCCGCTTACGAAAGTCATCAATCACCATACATACTGGGCTGTCTCCATGGTGTACAGACTGTCCCAAAAAAAACGGAAATGACATAAATTAATTGTTTATTCCCAACAGTTTTATGCTGAACTTGACAGTTCTGCGCCCCTTGGATTTCATTGGGTTTGTAAAACATTAGTAGAACCAAAACAAAGTACCGCATACACTGTATTTCTTCTCAAATTTCCAACGCAAAAGCTTTGTAAAAGCAAAAAGACGTTGACTGACTTACAGCAGCCACAAAAACGTAATCATATTGATCATATTGATCATATTGATCATAAGATTAAGTTGCAACAAACATGGACAAAATAGCGTGTAACTAAATTAATCATGCGGAACAAATTGTCTCTCTCCAGTTACACAAGCTAAATGAAATACACGATTTTCCAGCTTTTCAATGAAAAGCAAATTTATTGCATCGTAGCCAGAATTTCACCTTTTTGAGCGACGAAAATGGGCATTTGATGTAATTTTTGCTTGCAATAGGCCAGGCTGAAAGGCTTTTTTATTTTATTGTCAGTAAGCTTCATCAGCAAAACAAAATAAAATCAAACATTTAAAAAAGAAATCCACCTGCCGCTGAACAGTCTCGATCAATTCCGTTAAATTTTATTATAATTATAATCAATTTACACAATTATAGCAAATACATTTACATAATTAGCAACGAAAGTTTCTAACCATTCCCATAGGAAGCGAATGCTCTTTTGCTTTAAGGCGTAGTGCTTTTGATCCGGGACTCTTTCTGTCCATTTCAGAGTTTCCTTCTAATGGATGATTGTGTATTGAGCCAGACATCATTGCGGCATGTCCTCCGTTCAGTATAGTTCCACCAGGTCCGTGAGAAAGAGGCTGAGATGTGTTTATAGGTTGTGAATGCATATTCTTGTTTGCCGCCATTTCGTGAGGCAACATGGAGGCCGCAATATTGTTGTGAACCATACCTGGATGGTGACCTGTTTGGCTCGATATTACACCGCGATTTGACGGGAGATATTGTGGCATTTGGGAGGACATTGTAATGACATGCGCAACAGGATTACCGTGCATGTTTGCTCCCGTGTAACTTTGGGGCGAATTTGACGTCGGCGATCTTATCACTCCTCGGTTTGCTATTAGACCTGAGGACATTTGGGGACTGTAAGGAGATATTGGTGACTTTGGTGGAGGTCTTGCCATTGCTGCAGTGGAAGACCAATGTGGTGGAGCAGAATTTGTGTAGGAAGGGGATTCGCGGTACAAATGGGGTGAGTTTGGAAGACATGGTGGCCGAACAGGAATCTGAGGAAATCTTTCCCGTTTTCGCCATTTCGCTCGTCTATTTTGAAACCAAACCTGAAAGTAAAACGTACTAGTTAGGTTTCTTCTTGAAATACAGGCACTTCAGAGTGAAGGAGATAGAGCTAAGGGGCTATAGCAATGATTTGAAGCAATAAGCAAAAACCAATCCTATCAAACATTTCAAAACCCAAACCTAGAGTATCAACTATATGCAAATGAATATCAACTCAGGAAAATCAGATATCAGTCATAAATATTATCGGTTTTTCCACCTTCAAGGATAGCGACTTGCCTCACTTTTAACTATAGAGTTTCGACGCTGTCAGATATCTAGTAGCTACGTTGGGTTCTAGGTCATTGGGCTGTAGCTCATCCCAATAAAAATATGCTAGGCGGTCCATGAATCAGACAAGTTGAATACCATGAGTGTTTTTGTTCACATAATAGTTTCATTCGAATTCGTATCAAGATAATCAACTTTGCATAAAAAAAGTGCTACTTAGAAATGCACTTGCCACTCGACAAGCTTTAGTTATTTTAATTAAAAGATGATTGGTTGAAATTTCAAGCCGTAGAAGTTAAATACCGTTTTATTGCTTCATTGCTTAGGCTGATCGATTTGAAGATAAATAAACATCAAAATTGTAATAAAGGTTCAAGCACATCTTAAAAACACATCGTCAAATACAAAATGTAAAGGGATATCGTTATTGAGCATAAATTTTATTTGCTGTTGATGTGCGATATGGCAACATTTATTTGCGTATGAAATATTTTGCATTTATGAAACGCACACAGAACGTCAGAAAGTCAAAAAATTCACTTTAATATCCTGTGTAGACGAATGCACTTGAGAAATATCTTAAACATATAAGTCTTTTTCACAAGGGCTGGACCCCTGTGAGATAATCTCTCGTTATCTTTCATTGAATGATTGAAAAATATGTACAGACATTGATATGTGCTGCCGAATATTGTGCATGACACAAAGCGCTACAATAATAGCATTTTGAAAAGCGTATGACAAGTATGTTTGTTGAGACAACGAAACAACAAGAAAATTTCTTTTTGTGCGTGCAATTCAGAGTGTCTGGCGCGCGTGGGGGGGAGAAGCATCAATGTTTGATTTTTTCAAACATCCGAACTAATTCAATCATGCAATTAACTTTTTTTCTATTTGATTTCTTTTTATTTCATGACTCTTGAAAGCACGTGATGTTAGCCATGTGTGTTTCGTGTGTCATTCATATTTATTGCATGACTGCCGGCTGGGCGGGAGAAATATAACTGAAAATCAATTTCCTGTACTCTCATCGCCATGACAAATCAACGCTAAAGAAAAGTAAAAGTTTCTTACTTCGAGAACAAATGCAGGCGGTAGTTTGTGCTACCTCAACTGAACGTCACCGATATAAGCATTTCAATGTTTCCTTCGTATAGTTCAATGGCATTGACTGAATTTTTACACACCATCACAATTGCAGTTGTAATTCGCAAAATACATGCATTGTATCCATGATTTTGTAGAAGCACTTTTGCTCATGCGCATTTAATATACACGACGAGTTTTTTTAAAATAGAAAAAATTGAAGACATTAACAAAACTAACCCTGACCTCAGTGTTCGAGTTTCTAAATTCAATACAATATTTAGTTTATAATACGCTTGGACGCTCCCCATTAATTTATCTTATTTCCTTATAATTGTTGTAATTTATGTATCATATTACTTTTATTAATAATATTACTATTATTTATTATTTCACTTATACTGAAGATGGCATCATGAGATGTCGAAACATGTCTATTTTAAAAAAATTTGTCGTGTATATTAAATGCGCATATGCATTGTAGCTAACAGGCCATATTGAAAATGATCGAAATATTTTCCAACAAAATATTCATCACATTTCATTTCTCAATTCTAAAAGCGTTTCAAAGAATAGACCTTAAAGAATCAATGTCCAGGCATCGAAAACTTGAAATGCCACTATGCATATGTGAACTAAAATATTTGAAGTGGTTGGTTCAGTTTTACAGAAACGAGAAAAAATAACTTAAAATTAAGTCATTCATTGTTTTTCCAATAGAATACAAAAGTAGCTACTTGCATTGTGTGCGTAAAAAACGAGCTTGTTTTGCTTCTGGAAGGAGAGCCTGATATGCGCGCACGTGTTTGAGCTAATAAAATGCCTGACCGATTACTGCTGCCATGTTGTAGGCTGTTAACCAAGACAAATCTATTTTAGGCTATTTTAGCTTCACAACAAACTTTGCCTAAAATGTGGAGCACAAAAATATCAAGTGATTAGTATACGTTAAAAATCTATTTGTTCATAAAGGGCTTGTTACAATTGTGCTAAATAATGTGAATTATTGCTCAATAAAATTACATTGATCCAAGTTACTATGCATGCAAGCAGTATTTTCCTGATTAGCTATTGAACTGTGAATCATGGATTAAGACATAAAATATAACACGAGAGGAAAACACAAAAATGTTGCATAAGCTGATCAATCTGAGAGAAAAAATATTTATTGAAACATTTAAGTCTGCGATGCAGTCCATAACTCAGATGACTATTTTCATGTTTGTTTAACTATTTATTATTGATTTTGTTGCTAATTGATAAAATGCCTCAACGCTTGTGTTGTAATAATCGTGAAAACATTTAATGTTTGCTAGCTAGTATTTGGAAAGCTCAACTCTTTACAAGACACACTAAAATATTTGAGGTATTTTAACGTGAAAGTTAACAAATCAATCTAAAAATTTAAATTAGAAAATTAGCACGCAAACATTTGACGATTGATAAAGCGAATACCAAGCATCTATAAAATACAAGCTCAAACTAAAAATACATGAGCTGGACGAATAAAAACAATGAAGAATTAGCCAAGAAATTCCAACTTATTCTTGTCGTAATTAATTTAACTAAATAAAGGAAAGATTTTGTGGTTTTAATACGAGTTAGTTAAGTGTCATTGAATCATGACCGGATCTATTTTTCCTTGCTGTATATCTTAAAATAGTAATGTTTTCATTATTTTGATCTTCCACTGAATTCTTCTTAAATTTCACTATAGTAATTATGCATGTTTTCGAAGAAGAACAGCTTAAGTAAATAATTTCTTTGATCGGCGAAAAGATATGCAAAAGGCTGTCAAGCGACAGTTTTAACAATGCTGAATTAAACATATGCTTAGCTCGTGCGTAGTTGAGTGTGGCATTGTGAGCAATTGTCGACGCTAAGGGTGTTGACAGATTATAACACCAATGAATAGTCGGGTCTCTTTAAAGAGAAAGATTACCATGCCCCTAAGTACTTAAACGTCACGCAATGAGCAAATACTCACGACAGCCGCTTTCAGATTTGAATTTATTTCCCATATTTTACATTGGGTAAATTATTTTAACGATGAAATTGCTCTTGGTTTTGTGAGAAAAAATTAATTCCTGTTGTGAAAAAGTAAATTTTCAGTCGACCGTGTAAGTCAGACATCATCTCTATAACCAGTCACTTTAGTAGAAGTAAACGCATTTCATGTAAGATACATCATTTTCACTCACGAACATCCACACTTTGGGTACTGTAGTGCAATAAATTCTAATTGAGGAAGGCCACACTTTACAACCAACCATCAACCTTTAATAAGTTTCAAGTTTCAATAAAAGTTGAGTTTACATATCCATAAGAATTTCATTCAAACGTAAACTTTAATTATGTTACGTAGCAAATCGAACTTTTTTCACTTAATCCTCTTTTCCGACTCACAAATACTTATTACAAAGTGTTGAAGTGACGCAAGCGACTCGCGTTGATAACTGTTCATTCATAGCTGCATTGATGCAACGGGTCAGTCCAACTGGTTCAACAACTTAGCAAACTATGTCCATTCTATACTTGAATATCGAACTGTTTAAAAATGAATTTTCATTTCCAAAGTCGTGTTCAGAAAACGTGCTCAGATTTACAACGAATATGTTCAATTATTCTGTCCAAGGGTAGCGCTAAGATTTACAAAATGCTTCTTTTAATGCAATCATTGTCATTCAAAAATGAAAATTACGAATTACACTTACATTTATTCTGTAATATTTAAGGAAGCATGATAAGCGAGTTGTAAAATTTAACATTAAAATGTTAAATATTTGTAAAAATATTTATAAATGTTTAACATTGTTTAACATGTAAAAATAAATGTGTAACAGTAAAAATATTTGCTTATTGCACTACAACTTAGATTCAATGATCATAGTTTAAACGATTGAGTCCATAACTGTGTGATTCTCTGGGATTGTTTTGATTGCTTTTCACTTGTAAAAATATTGCATTTTGCATTGATCCGTGTAAAGTTTATGAATATAATATATATTGTATCCTGTAAAGAGTTTTGTCAGATGATACCTTGATATGTTGAATTTAGTTTCATGTAGATTTTGTGTGGGAGATGTGATTATATAGAACCATTTGAACAAAACAGCAAGAATAAAGACTTACGCGCTTTGATATCACAATTACTGACCACAACTTTCTTATAGCAATAATAAAATTAAAGTTTTTGTAGCAAGGTATGCATTATATTGAATGTATAATTTAGCTTTTGAGTTAGAAATTGATCTACCTGTTTAGAAGTTGTTTGGTAAACTTACACATTGATGGTTGGTGATTTACTTAAATGACACATGAACTTAAAGAAGCTCTATGTTGCTGTCGTCTAAATATATACATAAATGTTTCTACTAAAATGAGTCGTCTTTCATATTTTGTTGGTCTAAATATATACATAAATGAATTTACATACAAATTATGTGACACGACTAAAAATGCAACCTAGTAACAGCAGTAAAATCGAGTTGTATAACAGTGTTTTTCTAAATATTTCAAATTCAATGTCATTTCAATTTTTGAGCAAATATGAAAGATTTGAAATGAACCCAAAACATCAATGCTGTAAAGTTGTCATGTCTTGTCTTTCAAGCCCTTTCAAATATTGAAATATGTTCTAATCAAAGAAGCTATGTTTTATTTTCGACTCATTGCTTATATCAGCTGGTAAACGATATCGGTGACTTTTGTGTAATCAAGATGATGCAATCTTTGTAGTAAATTACATCCCATTCAGCTCGCCAGCAAAATCAAAGAAAGGTCATTTCAGACAGTTTGACAGCACGAAACAAATTTGACACAACCTGCACTATTTTAATAGTCTATTCAACCATATGTAGTCATTTGGGTACTTATAGTTTACTTCGATGCTTTATTTGTTGTCAATATTTACATGTTAGTTCTTGCAATAATGAAAATAGTCAAGGTCGGACAGGTTTTTATTGAGGTCTAAAACGTATTCTTCATGTGGTCTGAAAGACTTAATCAAATTAATGTAATGTAGATCACGAATTTCTGTGACAAGTTAAATCTATACAAAATGTAACTTTCTCTCTTACATATTACGCGATTTCTTTTTCTTGCTTTACTAATGGCGAGTGTTGTTGTTCGTATTGTGCAAGGCAAGCTAAAACTGATACGATTACTTTTGCTACATTAGCTAGTTGATACATTAAACTTGATAGGGAAAATAGCGCATTAGAAACAGTTAAATAAAACCTGAAATTGCTTTGATAAGCAGTTATTTTTTTACTGTGGCAGGATGATATCTTAGACTCTTAGGCGCGAGCTTAACAAAATATACGAGAATTGATCAGCTATAAAAGTTGTCAGAAAATTAGCTGTGATTTCAAACAGTTCCTCTGAATTTATGCTTCCAAGTTGTAATAAAAATACATAGCTAATTCAGGAAGATGTTACTTCATATTTTTGTTGCTATTCGCTATAACTACTATCTTGCTTCGTTTTTGCACGATGCCATATAGATTCCACAATACCTTATAGATTCCTAAAATATATACAGAATGCAATCGCATTTTTGCTTTTGCTTCTGGCCTCTTGTAGGAGCACAAAAATCATACAAAACTCAAAAATTCATGCTTTTCGCATAAATTGCAGCTAACTATGTCGACGTTTATTTCTCACGTATAAAAACAAATTTTTAACGATGAGTATGTCCTTCTGGACGACAGATGGTGAAACACTTAATTCAGATGTTCATTTCTTAAATTTCCTTTTAAATCTGACATGAATGATTCAAAATTATGAATAAGATCGGAGCCCGTTTTGCTTGTGTAGTAATATTTGTCAGCTTTCGTTGGTTCGCGTACAGTTTGCGATCGTATATGTAGTTAAATTATTAATATCAAGTAAATATAAATATATTGTAGCTAAGGTTTTGTGTTCGTGTCCATTCATAGATAAATTTAATTTTTCTTTCGTTGACTCATGCACAGTTTGTGATCGTAAATGTGGCTAAATTATCAATATCGAATAGACATACAATATTGTAAGGTTTCGTGTCCATATTCAATAATTGACAAATTTTGTAAATCTTTCAATTAGTGTTTAAAAAATTTGCAGTAAAAAACTTAGGTAATATAAGTCATGGCAGATCTTATACCAATCTCAGCTCTAAAATCATCAGTTTTTACTTCAAATCTGTTCGTAAAGTAGCAAAATATACAAAGTGAACAATGATTTCATAAACACATTTATAAAAGTCAAGTCTTTGCATGCTGGTCCTGGTCATAAAGCTTCTATTGTCCACATTTACTCGCTCTGCTTGAATATTAGTTGGAAACTAATAAAATCGTGGAGAAATGCATTGAGCAGACAGTTTATTAACCCCAGGAAACTACTCGTGCTATTAAAGAATGAGTGACGGGGCCATTTAGATACAGATCGAGCAATTCGTTTTTTGGACAAATGAATTTCATTCAAAGCATTTCCTCGAATGAATCTTCGTGATTTTTACTCCAGATATCAAGCCATAACAGCAGTACCGAAAACACGTCCGAAAAGTATAACGATGTATTTTCCAATCAATAGAAACATCTGTTTTCATATATAGTGGATGGCTGAGCTGTATATACACTTTGTATTTTGCCGACAATGCCGAATCGTCTGGACAATGGAACGCACATGTTGTATTTGGAATTTTATAGATTTGCGTGACTCTGCTATTTAGTTAACCTATAAAATTACTCCTGATATGCGTTTTAAGTTTACTGTAAATCGCTAAACGTCAATTGCTATCGAAAAACATGAACAAGCATTTTATGTAAACTAGCTATTATCTTTGCTTCGTAATTCATGCTTTGTTACAAAATGTATTCAATTAAATTACGTTGATGAAAAAATTTGTTTAAGGGTAATTGAAACAGTAGTCCTTCAAAATCTTAGAAAAGTAAACCGTTGTATAGTTTGTGGGTACGTCGTTTAAGATGCAGCTCGTTCATTGGAGCGTGCTAATAATGTTTAATAAGAAGATAATGAAATAACAAGGTGAAATTGCCAGTTAGTGCTTTCACAGAGTGTTTGATGTTTGTTGACCTGTTGAAATAATCGAAGTCACTATCACGAGCGCAATCAATTACTAAATGTGTTTGTAAACAGTATGTGTAGAAAAATGAAACTGTTGATGATCGCCGTTCTTGAGCGACTATTTTCCCTCGCGCCCAATTTAGCTTGCATATTGAAATGCTTTTTTGATTTCTTAAAAAATACGCTTCATCTTAAACGTTTCTACCTCATAATAGTTGTGGGATTACGGACTTTGCAAGTTCTTTTGCGCACTAAGTTCTCTGTTAAGAGGAACTTCTCATGCCGTGATAGCAAATGCCATAAATGTCAAAGTACCTTTTTCTACAATGGTGTTTTATGACCAAAGATAGCTAATAATTCAAATTAAAGAGGCAAAGCAAAATTTAGCTAACAGAAAAATATCCTTTAGCGGATACACTATATATAGCTTACACTGAAGTAGGGGTATATCATCATACTGTGTTAGTATTCCACAAACGAATAATGAGACTTGGTTGGGGTCTTTGTATCGATTTTTATAAAATTATAAGCAAAATAAGCAGAGCTTTAGAAGTCAGCTACACAATAACACATGCAGGTAGAATCGAGCTCTTGTTGCTTATAAAGTAGCTATGCTTAGAATTTAATAATTTCTTATGGTTGTGAGTTTTAGTTAAAAGCATTCACATAAAATTTTTCAAGCTATGGCTACTCGTCACTTACGCTTCTATAATAACTACTGAAATGTTCTAATTAAAATGTATATTGATTGCCCTGTGTATTTATGATCTATAGCACTCAATTAATTTACGCAAATTGACTCATTCATCTTGCTGTAATAAAGTTACGTGGCTTGTGAGCGCCTTTTGTGATAATTTATGTTCAAAAAATTTTTAAGAAAATCCTACATCGTGCTGAATAAAAAATAGTGACTGAAAACAAAGCGAAATTTGTGATGAATGCTTTTGTTGTAGGTACTTAGATCAATATACAAATACCTGAATATAGGTAACACCAGACAAAACCATCTTTTCCCTTGCGTGTAGCTAATATATGAAGCTAAGTGAGATATTTTACCGCACAAAAAATCAAACATTTTGATCTTTGTGAAAATAATGGTTTGTAAAGTTAACGTGTAGACAAGACCAATTTCGCGTTGTGGACAATAAATTCTACATTTATATAAATCAATAAAAGTGCAACACCTTCATTAGATATGATAAATCCTACATTGGTTGTTCTCGCTTCACATGTAAAATTATGATCGTTGAGCCTTAGTATGAAGAAATGACATAAAACATAAACGCAGACATATTTCTTACTTGTACGCGAGCTTCTGTTAAATCTGTCCTCAGTGCCAATTGTTCCCTAGTATAAACATCGGGATAATGGGTCTTTTGAAATACACCTTCCATTTCCTCGAGTTGATATGATGTAAATGTTGTTCGATTCCGTCTCTTTTTACGCTTTGGTGAGTTTTCGTGCGCTGCTGTCGTGTCCATGATCGGTGAATGAGAAGCTGGATTGTTTGGGTTTTCGCCGTGTACTTGAACCATTGATGGTGTTCGCGCCTGTTCTCGTTTCACCGTTAATTTCTCCTTCCCTATTTTCAATACGAATTACCTTTATTGCATCGTTAACGCACCATGCTCGCGAAGTGGCGTGCGTTATAAAATCACTTCACTGATTAAAACAAATTGAATTATGAAGAGCGCGAGTTTTTAAGTTGGTCAGAGTGCAGCGACCTAATTTCCGGGTAGGTGTTAGAGGCCTTGTTTGATAAACATATTCAACCTGCTTTACATGGCTTTTTGAGTGTGCTTTTATTTACCTGTTTCCACTTGCTGCGGAAGCTCCATAGCCGAGTCTCCCGACAATAATGGTGGTGAACGGCTACTGGAACTTCTATTTTGAATTTGTGGATGACTCAATGGAACGTTTCCCATTTGGCAAGACTGTGTAACTGCGTTCATGGCGCGATGCATCATCTCAGCTCTTTTACCTATATTTCCAACTGAGTAGTTCTGCATTGCTTACAAAAGAAAGTGAACGAAAAACAAATTTTGCTATCAGGTTATACACTTGAAGCTTAGCAGATCGTATCTTGTCGTGTGGTAAACGGCAAGTTCACATGCAATATGTTACAAAACGTTCACAGAATTGACAAGCGGATCCGATCTCATCCAATTGTCAATCGCTAAGAAATAATTAGTCCTTTTACATCTCTTAATTAGGATCTGAACACGTCACTCGAGTAGTTGTAACGACGAACGAGTGGCATTGCTGAAATGAGCTGTCGGTATTGTGATAAAATATGCGCCAAAGAACTAACTCGCCTGCCTACCAGACTAGACACTTCTGTTTTGCAATCAATCGAATTCCATTTTTTCGCCCTGACAGATAAAAGTGTATGCAGCCCTGTCAGTGCATGAACGGGTGCGCTGAGCCGGAGAGTGGATGTTAAACCAGCAAGGAAATTACTAAGAAGAATGCATGCACCGCCTTGCAGGGGGACCACAATTGGAAAGACTATTTCATTCAAAGGCTGCCGACAGTTCGTTCAACATCCGAAGTGTCAGACAATCACGGTAGGACTCGAGTAAAAAACAACACCAAACACTCGTATTGGACACCATACAGACAAATGATTACAACACTAGAAGACTACTGACAAAACACAAGCTTATATAAAAACACGCGGGAAAGCGGCAAATGTACACTTGTGTTGGGTCAGGATTTCACTGGATGACAGATTTCATGTCGGTCAGTAGCCGTTTGTCAAGAAGATTAGGAAATATTTAATATAAAAGATTTCCCGCTTTATATATTTCCCACGGCTGTAGATGATTTTATTTTAATTGTCCGTCGCACGACTTGTGCGTGCTCGTACAAGTAAACAACTGGACAGCTTGTTTTTGTTTGTCATCTTGAGAAGAGCACGTTATGTTGACACAAAAACGTGTTTATGATTTCGTGAATTCGGTCGTACCTGTCGTTCGGGCATATGCGCAATTTGTGTACGGCTCCCACTGTTTGTTTGCTCGGGAACGATGCACAAAGATAAGATGTTAAAACATTTCGGATATGAAACTGCGATAAGAATCATGTCAAATATATCCTGCTGATCTTGATGACAGTTTAGATCACTCATGTTCCTTTATCCAATTGCCATACGACATTCATTGACACTGGATAACCAATTCTTACTTTTCAATATTTGCAATAGACTGCATTGTGGACTTTTTACCCCAGACGAAGTCCTACAGACCAGCTGTTTATTTACATTGGACATCATTCATTCACTTGGCTTCCTTTCAATAATTTATTAGCTACCACATATTGAAGCACTCACGAGGCTGTCAATATTTGACTGTGAGAGAAGCCGACTTAAATATCATGACACGTATTTAAGTTTATTAGTTTATATTTAGAACGTGTCCGCTCGACGATTATTTACGCGCTGCCAAATGCCTTGATTCAAAGTTTACATTACAACACTTTCCAATACGGTTAATTAGCATAATATGCGCATAACGAAAATCGAACGAACGTAGTGTACTAGCAAAACAAAAAATCTAAAAGGCCTTTTTGTCTGTCTTCTGCAAGCAAGCGGATTCATCTGGCATTTGTCTTATCTTTATGAATTCTTTCCCAAGTTTAGTAACTCTATTATATTTATATCCTGATACATGAGCTCTTAAATAAACAAAGTTAGACTAATTAAAGATTTATATGCCTCATATAAGTGTTGCATGCGGGCGGGAAAATGAGTCAACGACCAAATTGTGTGTCCACGTGACAATTTCAAGTCCCTTATTGCATCAACAGCAGATAAAAAATATTTTAATGATTACGACAAACGATAGTCTGAGAGAGGAATTTTTTTATAAATCAACCGTCTGAGATGTTTCTAATTCAATGATACGACATCAGTGTTGTTTCTATGTGCTGCTCAGTTTAAAAGAAATGACGTATTATAATTTATTGATATTTATGAAATTAGTGCGTTAAAACAGCTATGACGGCTACCAGTTTCGTAGGTATTCTGTATGACTGCTGCCTACATTCAAGTTTATATACCTACAAAAATACACTTAGTAATTCTTGGATTGCAACCAGTCAACACGAAATTATCAAAAAAATGTAGCTCGCCCACAACGGCTGGTGCCCACAATAGCATTGATAAAATATTCTTTTGTATTTGACCACAAATATGGCGACAATGATGTAAATGCAAACCACCTATGTATATATACACTTATTTTCTTTTAAAATACGTGTGTGAAATCAGGAAAATAAACACATAAGGAAGATATACTAAACGATAAAATGTTGATATCAATATAAATGCAAAGCTAATCCATATATAAAGCATACAAAGGTAATTTTCAACAAAGTTAGTATTTACTTCTTTAGAAAATTAATTTCATTTGTTGTTTTTCAAATATTCGACATAAAGAATATTTGCATTGTAGAGAATTAGAAGAGGCTGACTAAGTCTTTGCTACTGTTTCTGTGTATGAACCTTTTTCTTATGGTTTTGATTATTTTACTTGCGGTAAAGCACCGATTCGTTTTTGGCTGGTGGAATTGTAGCTTTGTTTTAGCAATTGAATTATTTGTTTTAATAATTAATGAGCCATTAATTACCAAAGTCTTCGCGAAGTTTTCGCAGAGAGATATCAGACCGAAAAAGTAACGTCATTAACTTTTAATTTACTATTTGAATAATTTATAAAATTATGTAAATGGTTCACTTACATAAGTGCATGTATACAAAATAAATAACCAGTTGACAAAGCTTCAAAGGCCTATCAGTCCTTTCTTAACATCTCATATCAGCATCCTATACCTCATTACAAAAATTCAATACTAATAAATTTTTTTTTTACTATATCTTTCTTAATTATCATCTTTCTCTTCATTATTACTTTTCTGGTTAACTAATGCCATTTTTCCATCTTCCTTTCATAACTTTATTACGCTCCTTTTCTCTAGTAACAATTCCCTTATCCAATCCTCAGTCACAGTAGCTCAGTCAGTCGTAGCTCAGTCAGTAGTAGCTCAGTCATAGTCAAGTTGTATAAAATTTGTGAGCAACACTGCATGAAATTATAACCCCTTCCCAGTTTGATCGTATAAGCAAATTTTTACCAGATCCCTTTGGATAAGCTCCATCATTCCCCCCTGTTTTGAACTTTGCAACTGTATGAAGCTAGTGAAAGACTAGTGGCGTAGCCAGCCGACAAGTTTTGGTCCTGCTATGTAAATTTTAGAACATTAGCATCATTCATTTCTTTAGAAATCGGTTGTTTTTACACTGAGTTAAAGAAGAAAAATTAACATAGCAGGGCCAAATTTGTGGGCTGGCTACACCAGTGTCTTAACGCATCAAACCAAATCTTCTAAAATTTTTTTCATTTATGGCCACTCGCCTGTATGAAACACTACTACTTCCTCAGTTCCTCTTCCCGTCCTTCATTCTAAACAAGCTGGGAGTTTGGCAGGTATACACCACCTGCATTAGTTAACCCGCTAAGCAAAAGCCAAATGTTATAAGTGTGAATGTACGTGCGATGACATATAAAAATAAAAAAAATATTGTTGTGCAACTTCAATTTTGAAAGAGTGTCTTCATGCGATCTTAATCCCTTTTACTAACTTTGTTGATATAACTTTGGGGGGTGGCTCGATGCCAGATATTTTAAATATCTTCAAAATTACATCTGCTCTAAAAAAATTTGATCCTGAAAATTTGAACAGTATAATTTCAATCTCAAATTTACACTTTCTTGCAAAGACTATTGAATTTGTTGCACCTCTTCAACTTTTTCATTTTCTTTGAAAGCAAAATCTTAAATTCACTCTATAAAGATCTATGAAACATCTCTTTTAAATGTTCAAAACGACTTCTTGACATTTGTAGTCAAGCTCTTCACCGTTAGGTGGATCTTTAATGATTTCCAGACCATAAAATTGTTTTTGATTGTCTGAAAACTGTTTCAGAATATGTACAACTTTTCCACATTCTGACATGCTTTAATGACAGAAGGAAGTTGAATGAAAATTAGCATTAGCCTAGAATCTATTCCATATGAAAAAGTAAAAACGTAAACGTCGTTTAGCTAGTAATTTGTTTCTCAATGTGTTGAAGTAAGTGCAGTCAAACACAAGAATAGTCAAATGAATGTAAATTAAAATGAATGTATGTCGAAACAAAGCCAGCCTGCACATTTACTCCGACAAAGCCAGCCTGTACATTTACACCCACGAAGCCAGCCTGCACATTTACTCGCACTTTATAAACATTTAGGATTACTGTTATTCTTTTCTTTAGAAGTTTATTCTTCTCGCGGTTAATGAACACAAAATTTGAAAGATTGTTGTATGAAGTGCGGTGTTTGAAATTAAATGAAGATATGATCTTCGCACTTTGTTGGACAATTTAATGAGACAATTGCTTAAATTGTCCAACAAAGTGCGAAGATCATATCTTCATTCGAACACAAAATTATTAGTTTGAGTAAATGTCGAGTCGGCTACGCTAATGCTTTCTAATTAGACATCGTTAATTCTTGTCTGTTGTCAATCTTGTTTATTTAGATTTCGGTCATAACTGATAAACCTAACTGGCATATTGTTTTCAGAGGCGTAACTAGAACGTTAATGGTGTATATTCATATATTCAGTTGTATCCTACTGATTTCTTTTCAAATTCGATTCGCTTTCATAAGAAATCAGTAGGGCACAACGGATTATATGAATATGCACCCAAGTTACGCCTCTGATTGTTTTACAAGACACCATTCAAAAGTTGTATTGAAGATTGGCGTTATTGTCATTCATTTGGCATTTATTGCACTAAGCACATCCAATTCTTACCTTCAACAAACTCTGCCTTAACAAGTGTTCTTGAACAACTTACATAAGTTCAGAATGTAAGTCTCTACAGGTAAACGTACAGTCAGGTCTGGTTATAGTAAACTGCCACTCCAAGAGAAGTTAGAATACATAAAAAGTCTTGCATGGTTGTTTGTCATAACATGCTTGTTTGTTTGTTACGGCCAAAACTATTTTGGGTCAAAGAGAATTTGTCAATGCACTGTTTCTATTCATGAAAAGGTCGTTCATTGGCGACAAAATATTATTGAGGTTCATTTTTAGCATATGATAGATTTACAGTTATGCGAATAGGACTGTGTCGTGTAACATTATGTATGATATTTTTATGTCCATATTTCATGCCGAACTTTCTCTACTTAAACATTCGTCTCCCAGCATTGCCACATGGCAACATGAAGGACACCATCCAAAACTCAAACGACAGAAAAACTTGAGAATTAAAGCCTGGTTCTCATTAAGTCGCTTGAGTGTTCCGAGTCGTTCCGAGTCCTTCCTAGTTTTTTCGTTGTTTTTCAAAACGACTGGGAGGACTTAAGCTATATAATTCTCATATATTCGTACAAGTACTGCCGAAAG